GAAGCACGACGAAGGCAAGGGCCGCAGGGCAAGGGATGACCTTGATCTGTGTTTGTGCATGTGCATTTTCAGCTTGGTTCAAAGGGAAACCAAAAGGCTCACTACCCATTTTGGAGTAGCTGTTGCAGGCGAATTGAGTTTTTCAGAACCCTCCCCGAATCCCACGCTCCAGACTTCCAGTGACGTGACTTGTGGCAGGTTTGTGTTTAGGGCGACCTAACCCCAGTCATTTCTAAACAACTTGAAGCGGGGGAATCCGGGGAATCCCATTTTTTGCAGTCTCTGGGTTGGATTCATTTGCGCAGTGGACCGGTTGTACAGGGCTTGCTCCAGGAAGTGCCGCGGGTTGAACGTGCACGCAAAGTTGCACTACATTGTTGTATGGGATTGCAGTAAGGCCAACATCAACCTTCATGGTGTCTATAAACCTTAAAGAGCATGGTGCTAGAAGCACAAGTTGTTAGAGTGAATTGGGATCATGGATCACATTGAATCCTGGAATGGGATTATGACCACTTGAACCCTTTTCCAAAAAGGATCCAGCCAAAAAGGGCGCGGCAGGAATCCTGCCCCTTGTTGATTTTTGTTGGCTTCACACATTTGTAGATCTAAGTGCGGGAGGTGCAAGGAATCCTGAGTTTCTGCCCTGATACAGACCTATAGTATATATATATATGATAATCATGTATACAGATTGGCCCCCGCCCAAAAAAGCAACAACAGCAACTCCCTGGACACTTACAGGTTTCTCCAATTTGTTGCAATGGCCAAAGTCACCCCCTGCAGGGATTTGAAAAAGTCGTGCCTCGCATAGAGGCATTTCTTAAATGCCACCGAGGGAAGGATTGTGAAGTCGTGCCTTGCAGAAATCGCATAGCAACGCGAAAAAGTAGCAGACTCTTTTCATAGGCATGTTGTGTCCAGTCTTGCAATCATCCCGGGGCTTGCTCAAGCATGTCTTTTGCATATCATGTAGCAGATGGAACACGGTTGTCAAATTCGATCTTGGGTGCAATTCACAAATCATTTAGTGAAACCAGGATTGCGAGACCATGAGCAGTTTTTGTTTAAGGTTTTCACCTACTAAACATCACCACACAAATTGTGGCTACAAGTAAGGTATACCATGCTTGCATCTCAAGACTTGCATTGCTGGCATAGAGTGCTGATCAATCATGGCGAGTATGTGGATAGCTTTAGCTAAATTGTTAATACACTTTGTAAATGTGTTGGGGTCCACAGCATTTTGAGAAGCTCACAATTCACAGAGCCAGCTTGTGGTGCAAAGCCTCTCTTCTTGAGAACTCCGCGTTTCTCCGAGAAAGCATTTAAGCCAGCAGCATCCCCTTATTTATCATTATATATAATAACTTTAGAGCCTCCGCCTCAGTCCGCCGACATTGTCCTCTCCCTTTTCTCCTTCTTCCTCTCTTCCTTGTCTCCCTTGTGTGTTCTGTCGTCCTCTCTCCCTCCCTCTGCTCCCATCCTCCCCATCCCCCCAAGCCTCTCTCTCCCCAATCTCCCTCTCTCGTATGTATGCATGCATGTACATAAGTATGTATGTATGCATGCATGTATGTATGTATGTATGTATGTATGTATGTATGTATGTATGTATGTATGTATGTATGTATGTATGTATAAGTAAGTAAGTACGTAAGTATGTATGTATGTATGTAATGTAATGTAATGTAATGTAATGTAATGTAATGTAATGTAATGTAATGTAATGTAATGTAATGTAATGTAATGTATGTATGTATGTATGTGTATGTATGTATGTATGTATGTATGTATGTATGTATGTATGTATGTATGTATGTATGTATGTATGTATGTATGTATGTATGTATGTATGTATGTATGTATGTATGTGTATGTATGTATGTATGTATGTATGTATGTATGTATGTATGTATGTATGTATGTATGTATGTATGTAATGTATGTATGTATGTATGTATGTATGTATGTATGTATGTATGTATGTATGTATGTATGTATGTATGTATGTATGTGTATGTATGTATGTATGTATGTATGTATGTATGTATGTATGTATGTATGTATGTATGTATGTATGTATGTATGTAATGTAATGTAATGTATGTAATGTAATGTAATGTAATGTATGTATGTAATGTAATGTAATGTAATGTAATGTAATGTATGTATGTATGTATGTATGTATGTATGTATGTATGTATGTATGTATGTATGTATGTATGTATGTATGTATGTATGTATGTATGTATGTATGTATGTATGTATGTATGTATGTATGTATGTATGTATGTATGTATGTATGTATGTATGTATGTATGTATGTATGTATGTATGTATGTATGTATGTATGTATGTATGTATGTATGTATGTATGTATGTATGTATGTATGTATGTATGTATGTATGTATGTATGTATGTATGTATGTATGTATGTATGTATGTATGTATGTATGTATGTATGTATGTATGTATGTATGTATGTATGTATGTATGTATGTATGTATGTATGTATGTATGTATGTATGTAATGTAATGTAATGTAATGTAATGTAATGTAATGTAATGTAATGTAATGTAATGTAATGTAATGTAATGTAATGTAATGTAATGTAATGTAATGTAATGTAATGTAATGTAATGTAATGTAATGTAATGTAATGTAATGTAATGTAATGTAATGTAATGTAATGTAATGTAATGTAATGTAATGTAATGTAATGTAATGTAATGTAATGTAATGTAATGTAATGTAATGTATGTATGTATGTATGTAATGTAATGTAATGTAATGTAATGTAATGTAATGTAATGTAATGTATGTAATGTATATGTATGTATGTATGTATGTATGTATGTATGTATGTATGTATGTATGTATGTATGTATGTATGTATGGTATGTATGTATGTATGTATGTATGTATGTATGTATGTATGTATGTATGTATGTATGTATGTATGTATGTATGTATGTATGTATGTATGTATGTATGTATGTATGTATGTATGTATGTATGTATGTATGTATGTATGTATGTATGTATGTATGTATGTAATGTATGTATGTATGTATGTATGTATGTATGTATGAATGTAATGTAATGTATGTATGTATGTATGTATGTATGTATGTATGTATGTATGTATGTAATGTAATGTAATGTATGTATGTATGTATGTATGTATGTATGTATGTATGTATGTATGTATGTATGTATGTATGTATGTATGTATGTATGTATGTATGTATGTATGTATGTATGTATGTATGTATGTATGTATGTATGTATGTATGTATGTAATGTATGTATGTATGTAATGTATGTATGTATGTATGTATGTATGTATGTATGTATGTATGTATGTATGTATGTATGTATGTATGTATGTATGTATGTATGTATGTATGTATGTATGTATGTATGTATGTATGTATGTATGTATGTATGTATGTATGTATTTCCCGCAAAAAACACGGTTTTTCCAGCGTTTTCGCAAAGAGGACGTCCAAAAACATTGAGTTTTTCCAGATTTTCGGCAAAAGGATGCAGGAAGCCCAAGCCAGCAAAAAAGCCGGCAGGGGGAATCGAGCCTGGGACCCCTGTTTTGCGACACCGGCTCCCCGAAGACTACGTTTAGTGGAACGTCATCAAATTGCCGCGCGGTACGTGGGGGACCCCCCCCCCCCCCCCCAAAAACCTACGTAATAGACGTCGGGCGGGGGGGGGGTTAGGGGGGTTATCCTCTATCCTCTAGTAAGTATCCGACACGCCGAGCAATGTCGGCGGATAATATGTGTATTGCTAAGGTGCTTCCACAAGACTGCAATTTCAATATTGCAGTGAAGTCCAAACTAGACTAGTACTCATAGCACCAGCAAATGGATACAAGCTTATGAAAGTTGTCCTCACTTGTCCTAGCAAGAGCATCAAACAAAATATGTTGTATATATGTTTAGCATATGTAGATGTTATGCGTAAATGTCATATTTAGATGTCTAGGGACTTATGCAAGTATGATTCAGAACACGTGGTGGTATTTTCAGGTTCAACCCGGCCCGTACAACAGGGACATGTCCAGGTATTTGTGTATTCATTTACGTCAATCATGGCAGCCGCAGCATAGAATTTGTTCCACGCGTTGAAAGTTGTTTGGTTTTGGGAAGGCAAGTGGTGGCTGGTCGTGGGGCCTGGGACCCACTCCTGAGACCTGAGCTCAAAGAGTCAGCCGCCCAGCCTGGGGTGGGGGGGGGGGTGGAGGGGGGGGGGGCAACTACGGGCAATCAACCATCTTAAACCTTCAACTTAAACCTTGTTGCGAAGATGAGTTGCACATGACGACAGGTACTACTCCATAGACGGCACAGATTTGGAATGCAGTGGTACAAACATCTAAAATTCAACAATTGCAGGTTTAGCACACGCTTTTTGTTTTGCCAATGCATTTTAGACATACACTGGGCAGTATGGCACCACATCTCAGCAAACAAGTAGATGTTGGTAGGGTTTGTGGTGCACAAGGCAGGCTTTGGATGGGGGGGGGGCTTAGCATACATCAGACATAATATAATACATATATATATATATATAGGTTAATATGATACATGCATAAGGACGTGATGAGTTTCCCACGGGTGTGTGCATATGATGTACATATACGTATATACACAAAATCATGAATATACATCCATGCACACTGGCGTGTAATATACACACATGCGCAGGTCAAACATCTATATGCACAGACACATCAATTCATATCTACACATATATATATATATATGTATATATAGATATACATGAACATGTCAGTGTACACGAATATGCACAGACATATGCATATATGAACATACATATATATATATATATTTAAATCCATTTAGAGGTTTGAAGGGTAGCGAATTGCTCGATTTGCTCGGCTCAAGTCCGCGAGAGGCAACTTGGCGGAGGTGGTCTTGCTGCAGCCGGTGGTGCAGCCCGGGGTGGCGGCCTCCGTAGGCTTCGCAAGTCTCTCCGTGGCGAAGCTCACGCGCCCCCGGCTGAGGTGTTGGTCGGGGCGGGCGGGAAGGGCGCTGGGGGTGACTGAAGGGCGGAGACATGGTGTGAGGTTCTGGTTGCTTGGGAGGTCTGGTACTGTTGATTGTTGTTTTTGTTTGTTTGATTGTGGTTGTTTGTTTGTTAATATATTTATATACGCTATATAAGCACACAATTGGGTTATATCTATCATCTATCTATCTATCTATCTATCTATCTATATATATATATATATATATATATATGTATACATGATGTTTGGGGGGGGGGGTGTCCTGATTGCCCTGTTCGAGACTTTTTACCATGAGACGGGTTGTATCCAGCTCGGCCGGCTGAGATGTCCCAAGTTCCAGGATCCGCGTGTTTCTGCAAATTCGGTACCCTTTGGACTGCTTTCGGTGGTTGGGCCGCTTGGGTTTTGTTTGGTTTCCTTTCCAAAGCCAACAACGACGGGGGTTCCACCAGGGGTTCCCAGAGGCTCCCCATCTCCGACCTTCGGATCTGAGGCTGCTGATCCAGGCTGCCACTTCCCCTGCTGCCTTGGAAGATCTCAAGAGCTCGCTGGCCACCGCCTTCGCCGCGCCCTCCCTTCTCAACGCCTCCTTTTGCGCCTACGGCCAAAGTCACTCAAGTGGTAGGGAATGAGTTGACCCATCCGGCTGGCGGTGTCCTGAGCCTTTTCAATCGGGTCATTTCAAAACCCCCAGTTTGCTGCTCTTGTTGTTTTTGGAAACCACTGGGCAGATGTCAGAAGTTTCCGAGGCTTTCCGGGGCTCTACAAACCCCGCCTGGATGCCGGGGGGCTGCTGACCGCTTTCAAGGCCCTGATTCAGAATCCGGAGCTCTTCGAGAAGGTGGACGCTTGGACGATCTAAGACTCACTTCCGGTTTTTCTGGACTTGACTGCTATTGGGTTGGATCTTTAGACTTTATTATTTTTTTGGGAATCAAGGGGTTTTCCGCTAAACACCCAAAACGTCGAACTTTTTGCAGGGGGGTCAACAGCAACCAAGTGGACTTGATACTTTTTGGCAAGACCATTTTGGTGGCAAATAAACAGTTTCTACTTTTTTGGCCCATCCACTCAAGAAGTGAGAAGATGGTTTCCACCCCCTAAACCGCCGTCCCCGGGAAAATGGCGTAAAGCGTTGGGTAATGGAAACCGTTGCGACAAGAGAAGGCGCCGGGCCAGGCGGGCCCCATCTGTTCCGCACGGAATGTCCGTTTTATTTGGTTTGCCCCCATTCAACATGAGCCCCAAACAAGAGCTGAACTTTTTGGAGGGTCACTGAGTTGGATGGCCGATGCTCGCGGTTTTCTATGGCTTCCCTTTGCCAGCGCCGTCTCTTCCTTTGCGCAGATTTTGCCATCGCAACCCCTGAGAACTGAAGAGCCTCGAAGGCACAGCTCCATTAGGCGCGTCATCTTGTGAGGATCTCGAAAGGTTGCGACTCTCAGGTCCTTTGGGCAAAAGAGGTTTTGCCGGGGGTGAAATTGGCTTAGCCTGCGGCCTTTCCCGGCTTTGATGCTTTCTATAGTTTTGCACATCGGGGGAGAGGGTAGTGGAGTATCATTTCTTGATGGCCCTCTATGAGCTTCTCATTGCGATATTGTACGGCATTGAGTTATATGATATATGGACTAGGGCTGGTTGCCTCAATGTCAGCCACCCGCACATAACGGATATCGATGGAACCATTCGGTTACGATATCAACTGGGGAATCATGACCATGAACCAGACATAGTGTTGATGGAACAATTTTTGCCGCAACCGACTAATCCATTGCCCCAGTCAATTTCCCGCCGACTCCAGTATGATTAGGGATCATTCTAGAATCAATACTAAATCCAATGCTAAACCGACATGAAGACAAGCCATGTGAAGGCCGCAGCCGGGCTGAACCAAGCCATGTTGGCCGCCTCGCAATGAAATGTGGCACCTTTTTGCTGCAGCTTTCTGTCGCAGCAGCCTACTGGGACTTTGATGGAGAGCTACCAACGTGGAGAACGTCTTTTCCTGACTATGACTGTTGGGCTGACGTGGAAGCTGGCGTGGATTGGAAGAACGTGAGGCTGAAGGCCGAGAATGGCAGTTTGCCGTTGTGGCGCCAACTTGTGGAGTCGCATCTGCAACAAATTCAATGGGACGAGGTGTATTCAATTTTGGCGGATCAGCGACTTCCTGAGTGTTTTCTTGGAGTTCTATTTATGGCAGCTGTTCGTTTTGGGCAGTGCAGTGAGGGTGGTTGCAGTGACAGCGAGATTGCTTTGCTCGCCGAGGTGGTCCAGGAGATTTTTTACAGCACACGCTTTACCATTGAGCTTCTCATGGGTACGCGCTGGCCAGTCCTTGCTGCCTTGGACAGCATCAGGCTTCCTTCCTTTTACAACGATCCGGAGTTGAGCTGTGACGGTTTTGAGGAGACCACCTTAGACTGGCCACGTCTTCGGCAAGCCTTTGCAGGTGATTGGTTCCACGATGCCAAGCATTTGGTGTACCAACGAAGCTTCCAAGCAAATTGGCTCGCAGCCATGGAGGAATGTCCCTATGGCTTTGCCATGGTGTCCTTGTGGAAGATGGTGGTGTGTGCAGAAACGCAAGCCGAGTGCGTCAGCCAGTATTCGGTGATCATCGACAACATGTTGCGTGTTCGACAATGGCAGGAGGTAGCATGCAACTCCTGGGGAATCTTTGGCTTCTTGGACCGAGTGCGACTGCCTTTGAAGCGTCACGAGTTCAAGTTGGATTTTACTCCAGCAGAGTTGCAGGGCCGCTTCCCAGCACCAAAGTCGCCTTTGGACTTGGGCACCTTCCCTGCAACTCTGTCACTGTCACCTTCGTTTGCCGGCGTGCTCAAGTCCGTGCTGGCAGGTATACCAAAGCCCTATGTCACAGCATCCCAGACTTCTGGTACTGGTTTGGAGGCCCGGGTCTTTCTGTACGTCACCATGGTCTTCGGCCAGCGCTATGTTCCCTACATCCCGCGTTTCGTCTCCAGAGCCGAGGCTTTGGGCCTGGGAAACCTGGTCTTGTTCTGCTTGGACGATGCTGCCATGGAGGCCTGCTTGGAGCTGGGGGTGCGGGAACGGTGCGTGCCTGGCAGCCCCTCCATCCTCAACAAGTTCACTCTGCCTCTGGTGTACTTGTGGCTCAATGTCGACGTATTCTGGCTGGACTTTGACATCTTTTTGCTCAAGGACCCCACACCCATCATTCTGGGCGAAGCACAACGGAGGTCTGTAGATCTGTTGGTGAGTGGCTCCTTTGCCGACGACTGTATTTGCAGTGGCTTGGTCTTCTTCAAAGCGTCCAAGGTGGTCGCAGAGTGGCTGCTTCTGCTTCTGTCGTGGATGTATGAGCACGTTTACACTCATGACCAGCAAGCCTTCAGCGCCTTTCTCGCTGGGCGGCCAGATCAGGACAATGCCACAACGCCCGAGTGCATTTCCTCATCCAAGCTCTTCAAGCTGTACCTCAAGTCTCAGGTGCCACACTGGGCGCTGCTGGATCCTGTGAACGAGTTCGTTTCTGCCCGGGTTCTCAATACCACAGGCTGGACTGGGCCATTGGAGAAGATGGTGATCTTCCACTTTCTGCATGGCGATTCAGAGGTGAACCGCGACCATGCGGCCTACGGCTGGAATGCCATGTCGGGCTACAATGGCGGGGCCTCAATCCCGCTCCTGGACATCTTCTACAACCAGACCGACGAACAGCTCTATCATGGCCCGGGGCTGAATGCTGCGCTGCGGCAGGCGTTGCTCGCTTCCCACCGGCCCACGCGGCCCAAAGAGATGCTGCACTGTGGGGTGCTGCAGCTGAACCCGTATTCGCCAGGGCGACAGTCTGCTGATGGATAGTCTGCAAAAAAGGAACTAAACCGATACTAGACCAAATTACCAATTCGAAACAAGCGCACATCTCAAAATGAAATGGATTTTAGCCGGTTGAATTCTCTCAAGACAACCTGCTGCCTCAGTGCCGTTGCATTCCGTGACCAAACTACACTTGGAATATGGATGGCTCTTCTTTTTGTGAGTGCCCTTTTTGCGGGTTTAAACAATCAATTCGGAGGGGTCCCCTAAAAAGACAGACCTATCTTTGTTCTCATGGACTTAGGGTTGCTGCTGCATTTGCAGTTTCCTTTCCCGAGTCTATCCTGAAATGTTTCTAATGCCAAGTGCTGCACTTTGCAAGCAGTGCAACTGCAATCCAAAGTTAAGTTGCGGCGGCGAACCTACATGACCACTGTATGCAGCCTGAGCGTACCCAAGTTTCCTTTTTTTGCTCGACATAGTGATTGCGCACAGTATATTTGTTTCAGATAAATTTACAGTTGGGTGTAAGATGGTGCATCCCCGCATTTGTGCCATGTGCTTTCACCTTGGGGACGGTAGGTTTTCTCAAATCATTGCCAGACTTAGCTTACCTTTTTGACTATGTCCTGTTTGATTTTACATAATTGTCCCTTTCAACCATCAAAAGTCGACTTTCGGCAGGCGGTCTACACTCCCATCGACTAACATGGAACCCCACTACAGGGCCCATTTTGAAGGAACATTCACTTTCAGGCCTCAGTCAGGTTCCATGTAAATGGACGGTAACTAGGTCTTCCAGTAGAGCCCGTTGACCCTTTTTTTGGAGCGTTCCCCTCCTAAAATAGACTACAGAAGAAACATCGGATACCCTTATTCTAACCTCTCTACTGGAGGACCTAGGATATATGGCTGTGGTTGTCAAAGCCAATGGGACCCCATTTTGGGGTAGGTGCACCACCCATTTTAGAGCCTGTTTTAGTGGTTGGATAGTGGGGATTGGGAAATCTTTGAGCCCCAAGAGCTTAGGAGATGCACGTGGTGAACGCTGCCTTTGAGGGTCTCAGTGTTTGGGCCAACGACCACGACGAAGCTGCGTCACTGGTGCATCGGGACCGGTCATGGCAGATGGGCCTTCGAAAGGGTTGGAGCTACGTTGAGGGAAAAGGTGGGTGAGTGACGAAATTGCAGGCGTGAAACATCCGTTTTGAGACGTGTTTATTGAAGTGGTAGCAAGTGGGGAGGTTGAAGGGCCCTAACAGCCAGATGCTTGCATCGGGAGTCACGTTCAACCATTTCCGAGTGTTCCAGCCGTTGAACTAGTTTCAGCCGCGTGTCTCTTGCGGTATGTTAGGCACCGGCGGAGTTCAAGCCACAAAGGCGCCAGCTTTCAGAGTGGCCCAAACAGTACCCATACAGGCGTCTTTTTTCGGGCAGTGCCACATTTGAGAAACCTCCCCATGACTTTTCTGTTTTTGGACTCGGATGACTAGGTTTATGTTTGCCCTCCAAAATATATTAAGTTCATTCCCAAGAGCTTGCTTGCTCGTTGCTCACGTGGGATTCAGCCCATATCTGCTGCTGTTCCTTCTCTTTGTATCCGCACAGCGGCCAATTCTTGCAAAGCCTTGCAATGTGTAAGTTTTTTTTGTGTCCAGTTGATGTCTAGGAAATTGGCTGGGCTGGATTTGAGGTCGGACACAGCAAACCAAATGTTGTATATGGCAATGGACTACACAAGCTGTCAATGCCTGCGGTCTCTCCCGGACAAGCGTACTATTGTTTTCAGCCCCAAGGTAAAGGATGTTTCGCATCACAGCGTCCCGCCTTTTTGGATGTGGATAAAACTTGCCAGCTCGGTATGGCAAACAGGGGACACTTATTGCCGAAGGAGTTGCTTGATTTCGGCGTTGATCTGCTTGATATTGTTCGGGTTGTTTCACACCTTAGGGCATGATTCACACTATACAGTTGTTCACGCTAGATTGGTGGGTTTGGACCCGTTCAAGCTTCTGCCACCTGCTGGCCACTATTTATTGTTTTAGGAGGAGGGGGGGCGGGGAACAACATCTTCATCACCCTCTTTCAAGCACTAAACTGGACCAAACAGTTTGGGCCAAAAGCCGGCTTTTCATCTTTCGGAAATACACAAAAGAAGAGGACAAGTTGAGCTCGTGCTCCGTGGTTTTGTGAGAAGCCGATCTCAGGGAATCAACAAGGGCCTTGGGAAACCAAAACGGATGTTCACTTCGGGTTCATTTCAACTCATTTGCCCATCGAACCGTCATTGGTGGTTTGGGGGTTCGAACTTCGCCCGGTTCTTTTCTGAAACCACATGGGTTCTCAGAATATGGACCCCCCCCTTTCACAATAGCTTTTGTTGGTTTCCCTCAACCCCTCAAGAGCACCCTTCGCCTCAAAAGCAGGGTACCATCCAGCATCTCAAAAGGGCACCATCCACCATCCCAATTTGCACCATCCACCATCCCAATAGGGTTCTTTTTATTGACAACCCCGCCTTTCCTTCAGTTTCAAGGCAAACCATGAAGCCACACCCATCCAGCCCAAGTGCTTGGAATTGATCCGATCCGGCCGAAAGTGACGTGAGGACCAGCTCCGGGGTCTCTCCGCGCTTCTGCTCTCCCCGGTCTTGGCAGAGCCAGAGAAGCCTCAGCCCTATGAGGCGCTGCCGGGTGGATCTGGTGGATCTGGTGGATCTGGTGGATCTGGTGGATGTGGATCTGGGTGTTTAGGGGGCCACAAATTGGGTGGTTGTCCTTTGGGCCTTCCTAAGGCATCAAATAGGCATACCCTCAAAATATCTCAAAAAAAAGACACAACCAGGTGGTGATCTTAGAAAAGGATTACAGGGTTCTTGAATGGGTTGTGGTTGGACACTTCCTTGGGTCGCTGACCATACTGGACATGTTTCTTTTGAGAAAGAACAAAACACATTTTGCAAAGCGCTGCCTGTTTCCATAGAACCATTGAGCAACTGTGTCCTGGAAAATGCGGGCAGGGAACCTCCCAATCGGTAAGGGTTTTGCGGGGTCTCCTCCAAAACTGTTTTATAATGCGAACACATTGATTGTCAACTTGTCCAAATTTATCAAAGGGCACCGAACCCCTGTCCAGGTCCCTTGCAACTTTGCTGCTTGGAGAGCTTTGGTGTTGGTGGTTACTTTTGTTGCTTGTTTATTGATGTTTGTACGCTTTGCCGGTTTCGAAGGGATGGGATGCATGTTTTCTAGGTCTTGGTTTGGATGATTAGGATTCGTACCAAGGAAGTGTGAGTTGTGCGTTTGGACAGAAGAGGATTTGGAAATGGTTGATCTTGAAGTTTGGCGCCTTGGTGGAACTTCAGCTGGGGATTTATTTATATCCACCAACCAGTTGGGTGGTTTCCTCGTAGTTATAGCCACGCAGCCTCTACGCTCGAGGTGGCTGGGCTGGGGATTCAGGCCTTCCACCAACCCTCAGTTGTTCAGTGAGTGGCACCCTTCTTCCCTTTTTTTGGTGGCTGCTCTACCTAAAAAGGGTCTTCCCCAAAAAGAATTGGTTCCTTTTTTTGTCCAGGGTCACTGAGCAACTGAGAGCTTCAGTTTTGAGGTGCGGTTTTTTTCCAGTTCCTCGCCGCGCCGCCTGCAGCCAGCCGCCAGACGCCAGACGGCCTCGACGCTCGCGAGTCGCGAGGTGATGTCTCGCATCATGCGCCTGGTGGCCTGGATGCCGGCGGAGGGCCGCCGGGAGCTGCAAGAGGCGAAGCGGAGTTTCGGCGCGGAGGTTCGGCGGAGCCTCTGCAGGGCTCCGAATAAAAAGAAATTCATTTTGCAGCCATTTGACACATGTGGCTTTTTCAACACCAAATATGAAAGGAAACCACCATGTACAAGGCAAGGTTCAGGTGTATAATGTAAGGATCCCTGTTTTGCCATAAAAAGAGCGGGGGGGATTTTGGAGGATCTGCAGGGTTAAAAGGTGGAACCAAGAAAGGTACCCTTTGGAGGGCTCCCTTTTTGAGGTCGGGGAAAAATGGGAGACTTTGACACAGAAGCCCCCAAGCTCTTTGTGCCGGAGGCTTCCCCAAAAGGGAACGTAGTCTTCCAACACCCTGCCAGCTTCCAGTTTTGGAGGGAAAATCTCAAAACTACTTGCTGCGAGGCGCTTCATAAACGGGGGTTACCTGAAACATGTCACCCATGGGAAGCCATTGTGCAGGTGATACCTGCATCCTACTTGGGTGTATTTGTTCTGCCTTTTGAATGACAGCTGCCGTTCGGTGCGTGGAGTTGCCTATTTGTGCTTGTGGGCGTTCTGCGTGTTGTTATTCAGGAGCAAGAGTTGAATTGGCTGTGGGTCAAAACCAATGGTACCATTTTGGGGTAGGTCACCACCCATTTTAGTCTATTTTAGTGGGGATTGGGATGTTCACTGGGGGTACGGGCTTTTGACCCATGGCCAAATGTTGAAGGCTAGTGGTCCTGCCAAAAAGGCACCCTTCCCCAACCAATGGCGACTGTTGCCGACCGGCTTTGTTCACGTTAAATCCGCCAAATTGAAGTGACGTTTCCTGCAGGAACCGCCTCAATGATTCGCTTGCTCTGCAAGTGGTTTTATGCGCTGGGAGGTTGCAAGTATAGTAGACATGTGACATATATATATATATATGTGATTGGATTGAGGGGTGCTTCGGTACCGTATCCAACAATTCTGCTATTGTCAATTGTTGTTCAAAGACAACCAACGTGAAGCCAACCACATACCTCAATGACCACCGTCCAATAGTTCGGGCCAGTGCTTGTTGCTGACTTGGGCAGCCGGGAATTCAACAATGGCAACTCTAAGGCGATTGCCGCGTAGTATGCCCTGCACATGGGTGAGCATCCTTTCAAACAGCATGCAAGGCGGACAACACATCGGGTGTATTATCCTGTTCTCCGACTAGGACTAACACCTTCATCGATGTTTGTGAAGCATGTATCCGCACATTGATACGACATAAACCATCATTTCTTTTGCTGGGAACCACTCACACGTGCGCGTACATTCACGCATCTCATACGTCTGCACACAGTGTAATGTCCATATGGATATTATACAATTGATAGATATGCTGGGGTATGGCACCATCTTCCCACGCGAACGCTGCAGGTTCTCGTCGAGGACTGCTCAGAGGAGGAGGTTTTGCGGAGCTTGGTGAGCCGCGTGAGGACCCACTGCGACGAGACGGTGACCCGCCTTGAATTCCACCAGAGGCAAACGGTGTACCCTTGAGATACTTCCATTTGCTTAAGAATATTTCTTGATTTTCCCTTGTTGGTCTAAAAGGGAATCTATCACTACTGGCATTTTCTGGATTTTTTCCCGGGGGCTTAAGCAAATGGAAGTATATAGTGGCTATTAGAGGTACCATTCACCCCCTCGGAGTGGCGTGGGGATAACTAGGAAGCCATTTGAGATCAATGCCCCCCGCTTGGCTTGACAAGGGTCCCTATCCTGTTCGTTTGGGTGGTTCCTCTTGTTCAGATGTTTGAGCATCAAGCAGCCAAACATTATTTGTTTTTTGGCAGGAGGTCAGTGGCCAAGTTGCCAGTGGTGGGCTTTTGTTGCATTTTAGTTTGCCTTGGACAGGTTAGTGAAGTGACTGAACTGAATCTGCAAAACGCAGAGGTCTTTTTTTCACGCTGGCTGCCGAGCGAGTGAGCTATGTGTCCATTTTCGGCCAGTTAATCCTCACCATGCGGGAATTTGGTGAGTACGACCAGAGTCTGTGTGTGTGTGTGTGTCACGTGGAAGTAACGGCCCTGTTGATCTGAAGGTGTTATTAGTGGGGCAAGGGGTCAAAACAGCTGGCGCTTGGCTTCAGGTAAAGCGGGCGCACCAAATGCAACGCCTCTCACCAGAGATCTGGGAGGCGTGGAGATCTGCGCGATGCGTTTAACCCAGGATGGATGAACCAGGTAAACGAATCGGAGATTGATTGGGGGGAAGGGAGGAAATCTTCAATTAGAAAAACCCACCTCATCAATCCAGCAGCTCGATTTGGGAACCCCCCCCTCCCCAACCCACAGAATCAATAAGGTTTTGCCAAATTAAATGTTCTGGGTTCCCGTCAAAGGATTGGTTTCCACATTTGTTTTGTCTTATGATGGGTGCTTGAAAAGAAGGCATACACATGTCCCCTCTCAACCAGCCAAATTTGCATTTACCGGGAATTCCCTTTGCCTTTACCACCTGACGCCTCCTAATTCCTCAAAAAACTCCGGGCCTACTCCGCCTACCCCCCAAAAAACAAAAAAAAGAAAAAGCGGGCGCCAGGGGCTGATGCTTCTGCAGCTGCTGTGGGGCGCCAACGAGCTGATTGCGCAGCGCCTGGCCTCGTCGCTTCGCACCTCCGAGTTGGACCTGGGCCAATCCCTGTCCACCCTGAAAGGCGCGCCCTCGAGCCGAGTCAGACGTGCGGAACCGCGCGGTGGCAGGAAGGCAAGAGGGGGTTCCTTATGAAAAGTCTCAAAACATATGGCGGTGCCTTGTGACAGGTGAAGAGTGACAAAAAAACAGTGCTGGTGCTGGTATGAAGGTTCACTTAGGAGCCTCAGGACCTTCAGGTATAGAAGTATTATACGGGCCCACTCCGCTTTGTAGTTGACATATCATTGATGTTACTTTGTTTCGAGCGTACTCTACATAATGCATAAGGTGTGGCTTGCTGTGTTGGGAAAGTATCGTGCACTTTAAGGTTCACTACATATGTACCAGAATCAAGGGACTATATGGACTTCTTTGAAGAGAAATCAATCGGATATGGTTTACCCGGCAGATGAACATGGCACCCAGCACTCCTTGGGTTTTTTTCTTGAGCCTCATGAGTTGCTAAAACCAAGGACATGATTAGGCGAAGGCCTCCCTGGGGTAACAACACCCAATAAGAAATGGCTAAGTTGAATTCCTTTTTTTTGGGCGCCACTGGATATGTTTACTTTCTTGGGGGCTTGCCTGTACGGAGTTTCAAGAATCAGCCATTTTTTTTTTTGTGGATTCTCATGAGATGGAACTTGAAAGGGAAGGGGATGGGCACTGGGACGTTTTGCCACGGTCTTTGGGTTGAAATTTTGTTTCCTCCAGCCGCAATTTGAAGACGCACTTGAGGTTACGCAGACGAATCAAGAGGCAGCAACAGTGCAGCCTTTGATCCAAGTCACGTGCCTCGAGTTCATACCCATACCAGCCACAAAGTGATGCCGTGCCTGAGCAACCTGCAGGGTCAAAATGGGTCGGGTGCTCCTAAGAATTTACCGGTCGCTTATAGATTGAAATTTCCCATGTAGCTACTGTTTGCCGCTTCGCATTTGCCTGCCCAGATGGAGAAGTCTTACCAACTCAATTTGCGGGACACGCATTTGACATGGGTTTGTTTATAAACAGGAGAACCCCCCCAAAGAGAAAATAGAGACCAGTTTCCCCCTTCACCTTTAATATCATCCATCCAAAATGGCATGTCGTCCACAACCTCACCCAGCCAAGTTGGAGCTTAGCCGCCCGAACAGGGGTCAATTGAGTCCCGACAGTCGGACCTCCAATCTAGGACGACCCAATTAGGTTCCCCCCAAAATTTGGGGGAGCACATCCCAGCTAGACATTTGGAGCTCCATACCTGAAACCTCTAGGACACCCATTTTGTTGTTCCCCAATGCGAATTCCAAGTAGACATTTGGAGACCCGACACCCAAAACTCCTTTACACCGCTGGCCGAGTTTGTGAAAGACGTGCCATTTTGGACGGCTTAAATCAAAGAGGCAGGGGGGAAACTGGGCCCAAGGTTGGATCTCCTTTACACTGGCGCCCAGTGACCCCAACGGACCGCCGTCCCGCCATCCCGACGGCAGGCGGGGCGGCCACGTTGCGGCGCTTCACGCTGGCGCCGTTGGTGCGCGCGCCGGTGGAAGCCTTCGACTTCCACCTGCAGAGCCTCGCGGAGGCGAGGCAAAAGGGGCCGCGGAGCCGGGGTTTCCCCCCTCCGCTTTTAGTCCCCCTGGAAATAGCCCATGTTGTAGGCATTTGTTCTTCCATTTACCAGTGTTGTATCCTTTTTTGGACAGGGGCCACTGGATTTCGACCTGAAAGGTTGATGAATTTGACGGGTGGTCCCTTGAAGCTGCCAGTTTGGGATCCAAAAAGAGGGGGTTCTAAACCCCCTTTGCCAAACGTTGCAATTGGTTGTAGACAATTACATAGGAGGGGCTTTAGGGTCACTTTGTCTGATACCTAAGCATTAGGGGACGCATTGGCATGACAGATGTCTGGCTCATGTTCCCCAGACGTCGCAGGTTTGACAAATATAGAACTCTTCGTTTCGTCTGCAGCAACCCAAGCACGACGCGAAAGGAAGTCTTACCTCTCGATTTTACATAGTCTGTAGGATGTGGATGCATCCTTTTTTGATGGTGCCCTTTTTGGAGCAGTTTGAGAAGGAAACCAAAGCAACCCTTCCCCCCGCGCCCCCATTTGCCAAAAGGACCGTTCCCCCCCCGCCCCCCGCCCCCATGTCGGGTTCCCTCTTGAGACAAACCCATGCCGACCGCTTCGAGGAGAAGGTGCCGCCGGAGTTGGAGTTCCGACTCTTCGTGGAGAACGCCTGCGCCGGGCCCATCACTCCCGCGGAGGTCTTGGAGCTGCCGCTCTACGCCGCGCGCACCGACTACGGCTTCGAGTATGTCCTGCCCAGCCGCTCACATTGACTTCTTTTAGAGGACCCCCCCCAAGACAAAAGAGGGGTTGTCCTTTTGGTTTCCCTTTGAAACACCAAAAAAAAGTGCCCTCACAAAAAGACACACCCAACTCACGCTCCTTGTGCCGTGCTCCCTGGGGGTTCCTCTTATTTTTTGTTTTTACCAAGCTCCTTGGTCTGCGTCTGGCGCGTGCAAATTCCAGTCTGACCCCGTGAGAGTCCCGTAGGTGATTACCTAAGTCATCTTTGTGATATTAACTGGTTGGGCCTGACTTGTTGTGCACTAGCTTGCAAAGGGTAGGCGCAAGGAAGAGACAAGGACATCATTGATCGTGTGGGCAGTTAGCTACCAGCTGCGCCAGTTCTGAAATCGAGGGTCAGCCAGATCGGCACAGTCTAGTCATGGTCATAGTGAGGTGGTGCAGTCCTTGTCGGAGTGAGAGGAGATATTTCGAAACGTCCGAGGCAAGATGAGGAGTTTCATGGCCAACCGAAATCTGGTGCCTGTGTCCTACACCCGCAAGGCGTTGCGGTTTATGCGCTCGACGCGGCGGTTGAGTCGGTTGAGCCCTGCATGATGGGATCAAGGTGAGCTCAACCAACCAACCTATGTCAAACTCATCTCTGGTGTCCTTCTCTTCAAAGAGAACCAGGTTCTTGTTCAAGCAACATTTGCACCCTGGGATGGCTCGGTGACAAGAGTTGCAGCAGCAACAGCAACCCACCTGCATGCAGGACCAATCAGAATCCAGCTGGGTAGGTACCGATACCTAAGCCTCAAGAGCTACTCTCCGATGGGGAAGTTGAGGCCAACCGCAAGCTCGGATGCAGAGACGTGTGAAGTGGATCCCCGTGAAAAGTTTACTTCGGTTTGGCAGGTGGGATTTTCTTTTTTGCGATAGCAGGGCTGGGAAGCGCCCCGGAGGAAACCTTTCCACTCAATTCGCTCAAAGGTGACTCCGGCTGCTTGATCACCGGAAACGATGCCCCCTGAATGTGAATTTCGGACTAAGGACTTTTCCGGAGAGTTACATGGTACCCGTGGCGAATCTTCACTCACCGTAAAGGGATCCAAAGGCGTGGTTTTCCTACTTCACTCCAAGTTGTTGAAAAGGCCGAGGAAGGTATCTGGGCTGGGCCTTCATTGATGGGAACCGCCTCAAAAGTGGTCGATGGACATGACTCCCCACCCAAAGGATTCCCAACTAAAAGTCAGAGCGCTTCGAGCTCTTTCGTGTGCAGGTGCTTCAGGTGGAGAACCACCACGCGCAGGTGTATTTGCAGCACCAGGTGGCAAGGAGAAGCCTGAAAACTCAAGGGTTGGTACGCTTTTCCACCTTGATTTAAAGGGAAATCAACAGTAGACTAGTCAGTTCCCCATTTTGCGGCAGGCGGAAATGGGAAGCTGAAGACACCTTCAACCTTGGCTATTGGGTCATGAACTTCATGGACCCCTTCTAGACTGTAGCTGGGTTCGATACTGTTGGTTCGATCCAACGCTGTCGTAGCTAGCTCTTGAGCCTTTACCTGGTTGGGAAATGTGTGTTTCCCACTAACCAACAAGCATTTGTTATGTTTGTCGCAGTGACTGTTGGCTGTGACTGCACCCTTTTGATTCGCGGTCCGCACTGTAGTTTGGTACTGTTTGAATGGAGAAACTGGTCAAGGAGAATCATCACGCGGCAATTGTAAAGATGTTCACGCAACATGGAGTAGACTTAGGATTCATGTTACATGTTACCGTGACTCCAAGTGAAGCAAGCAATGAAATGTACATTCTACAAGTAGGCCGAACTCTAATCATGAAATGTGTTTAGTTCATGAAAATGTTCGCGCAGTAAAGACTTTTGTCACCATACATGGATCGCCGCCCCAGCCGTCAGAATTCATTTGACCATGCCAGTGGTTTGCATGTGAACTGTCCATCATCCGGCCCGGAGCCTACAACCGCGGAGGATGAGGCACTGAAAAGGCGCTGAAGGAATTGGTTTCCTGGTTAAAAAAAAAGAAAGGGGAAAACAAAAACTTCAAAGGGTTGCGTTTCGTGTTGAGCCGGGAGCACAATATTGGCAAGAATTCTGGAGGGTTCCTTGCAGACCAGTCCTTGTCCAAACGCCCCACCAAACTTTCCCAAAATGGTTCCATCGTGTATTGTTGCCATGTCTCATTTTGTACAGGCCGAACGATTTCCCTTGGACGGATCACACCTTGGAGTTTCAAATGTTTCGTGGCCAATGGTTGTCGGCTCTTCTTGCAAGCGTTTGTCTAGGAAGACAAGTGTGGCTAAATCATAGCGCGCTCCTTTGTTGAGGGTTCGAACGCCATGAAGTTTGCTTCCTTCAGCCTTCATTTGCTTTTTTTTGTGGGGGGTCCACTTTTTTTTTATAATAAGGGGGTGTGGGTTTTCCAACGACAGCAAAGGTCAACAACATGTCCAGGGACCCCTCGCAGGAGGGTGGCGGCGGATTTGGAGGTGCTCCCGGGGCACGAGATACACATCGACCCGGCGCTGCTCTTCTTCATCCTCAAGGCGCTACGAGTCGAGAGAAAAACATACCCTAAGGCTACAATGCAGGCCCCCGGGCCCTCCAATGAAGAAGCCGGACCCCTCAAGGGCCCTCAACAACAGCCCATGTTGAGGGCCCCAAAACAATTGGGAGCCTTAGGGTAGGGGTGCTCCAAAACGGGTCCGGAGTTATGCATAGGAATATGGCTGTTGGTCAAAACCATTGGTATCCATTTTCGGGTAGGTGCGCCACCCATTTTAGAACCTATTTTAGTGGGGATTGGGATGTTCACTGGCAGACTGGGGGTACCGGATTTTGATTCATGACCATATGGGTGTTTCGTCTCCAAACTGGGTTGAGACATAGGTCTGGGTTTAGTTTTATATGGGACCCTCCCCAATTGTGTTGATGGGAGACAAATGGGTTTGAATTTCGAGAGTCTTCTCCAAGTGTTTTTAGTTAGGGAGATGGGCGTGAATTTGATTGGTCCCGAAATGGAGGACATCACTTTTTTGGTGGGGCTTTATGTCCACCAACTAACCATTTGAGAGGGTATTCCCGATTGAATTTCATAGCCATAATATGAATGAATACAGGAAATGATGTGTTGAATTTGAATGGGGAAGAAACACGGTAGTTTGTGTTGGTCGCTGTTTACTCCCGCAGCTGTTCTATTTCCTGCGTGTCTCTTTTGCTAGGGCGCCCATGCAAGATGAGGGCATTATTGTCTCTGATGCCTGCCACAGCTTTGTATTTTTCTTTCAGGCAAAACGCCTAAAGACGTGCGTTTTCCCCGCGGAACGCCACGGGTTCTCCGTGGTTTCAACGGCAGCGGGACCCTTCGAACGATTTTTGGTGCTCAGGTGCACCGCGACCGGATCCTCGAGGACACCACGGCGGCGCTGCAGAAGGCGACGCCCGAAGATCTCCGGCGCCAGCTGAAGGCGGGAGGATCGCAGAAAGCCGTCTTTTGTTGGGACCCCCGGAATGGTGGGGTTTTCCTTTTGGTTTGGTGGGAGTCCTTTTGGCTTGTACAATCAAATAATGACAGATCCACATAATAAGGATGTACTACTTTGTGAGTTCCCAACATGTCATCAGGTTTGAACAACATTGTTCGGGCCCATGTTGGAGGATCATTAATCATTCATTCATTCATTCATTCATTCATTCATTCATTCATTCATTCATTCATTCATTCATTCATTCATTCATTCATTCATTCATTCATGCATCATGCATCATTCATTCATTCATTCATTCATTCATTCATTCATTCATTCATTCATTCATTCATTCATTCATTCATTCATTCATTCATTCATTCATTCATTCATTCATGCATTTGTTTCATTCATTCATTCATTCATTCATTCATTCATTCATTCATTCATTCATTCATTCATTCATTCATTCCATTTCATGTCACTCCATTTCATGTCACTTCAGTTCATGTCATGTCATTTCATTTCTGTTCATTTCATTTTATTTCATTTCATGTCATTTTCATTTCATTCACTCATTTCTTTTGGTGGAACATATCATGTCATTTGCACTTGAATCTTTAGCCTCGTGGAGAGACCCCTTCAATCGCAGCTATGGTTCACGGAATCCCTCTAGACTACTAGCTTGGTTGGATGCTAGTGGCTAGATCCAACTCTGGTGTAGCTGGCTGCGTGGTTGGATCTTGAGTCTTAAACTTGTTTGGGATGTGTGTGTTTCCCACTAACCAACAAAGAGTCAACAAATCTCTGCGCAGGGGGTAACAGCCACCAGTGGATCAACCGTAGGCAACCAGTGTACCAGTGGAGCCCCAACAAAGGTTGATTTTGAAATGGACCTGAAAGGCAACAAATAGTTTTTGTTTGGGCATCCCTGGAGCCAGTTTTCTCGGGACGAGTGGACCCCAAACTGCACGTCTGCCATGACCCCATTGGTTTTACGTGGGTCAATGGCACCCTCGGATTGTGGTCTGGGTTTCGCGAGTCCGCTTTAAGTGGTCAACCTGCGAAGGGTTCCTGTCCGCCAGGGCACAACTGGGAGGTAGACCTACGCCACTGCAAGAAACAAGCAAGATGAAACCCAAAAGAGAGGTCCCAAAAGGGGGATGAACAGCTAAACATGGCGTTTTTGTTTTGGTTCCACGGTCCACGGTTAATCCGAAGGAGGGTTCGCCTTTCGAGGAAATACTGGGTGTGTCTTTTTGAGGGTGCTTTTTTTGTAGTTGGTTTCAAGGGAAAGCAAAGGGTGAAACCACCATTTTGGGGTCCCCTCACTTTTTGGCACACTCACATAAATGTGTCTGTTTCAAATGGCCACTGGCACTGCGCAGCCAAGGTGGTCTTTGAAGGCTGCTTGGCTGGCAACTGGTGGGCCGGGCTTTGCCCAATCGTGGGAAAACTACGATAGGCCAAGCTAAGCAGGTGCTTTTTTTGGTGGGATTGTGTATTTGTGTGGAGTCAAAGAGCATCTTTGTGAGTGCGGTACTTGAGAAAGTAAGGGTACAACTCTCCATCGTGGGCTTTGCAGGCCCAAGGGCTTATCGTGAACTTGTCGTGTCTTTAACGCAGTGCACCTATTCCACAGGCCCTGGATGATGCATGAGGGTTGTTGATCATGGGCATGCCTTATGGTTAGACTCTCTGTTGTCAGTGAACATGAGGGCACTGGCGTCAATTGTGGTTTGAATGTTTCCTTGGAGCGATCCTTGATGACAACACAGAGGACTGGGTGATCCCTGTGACATATGAAGATGTATCGATTTTAAGCAGCAAATAGATAGTTTCATTTTAAATTGCTTTGTGAAAACAAAGGGACCCTCAAAGTTGCAAAGAAAGACACACAACAAGGTTTTGTCGAACCAAATTGTACAAGGATCCTTCCAGCCAGTTGGATTGCTTTTGAAGCATCAGGTCCAATCCTTGCCCGCCGGCATCCCTAGACATGACTGTTGAGCATAGAAGTTGAGGGCCGCTTTCCGCCTGGCATTCCACTTCAAGCGCCACAGCGCATGCAGGACAGGAATCCCATCGTATCACATATGTCGGGGCCTGCTTTCCACAGCCATTTCTTTGCGCGTTCCAAGCATGGACCAGTCTATATAAAACTGACCACATCATGAACACTTCAGCGTTGCCCCCCTGCAATCCACCACGGAACCCCAAAAAGGCGTCCCTCAAAGGCGATGCCTCTAAAGAGCAGGTAATTGAATTTCCAGTTTCAGAAGTCGCTCTCGCAGGTGAGCAGGGCGTCGATGAGGGCGGCCTAGCAAGGGAGTTCTTCCGGCTTCTGAGTGCCAAGGACTGCCCAAGCTTGGGAGACTGGGGTGGGCCCCGGTGAACCGCCTCGACTGGTATGGCCCGGATAAATCAGAAGCTGAAATTGACCGTGGATAGGGGTGGCCCCTTTGGGGGATACACCCATATTCTTGAAAAGAGCTCTTGTGTTTACTAGCAGGAATAGACAACAAATTGACAAAGGAATAATACAGTTGGCGCACCAGCGGCCTGGAAATTTGGCTTTGCTGACATGTGTTGGAGAGGTCAGGGGTTTACTTGTGCTATGTTGAACGCCCAACTCAGCTGATTTGAACTACTGACTGACTGTTCTCCCAGGAAATGAATCTAGCAAACGGCGTAGCTGCGCATTTTGTAGGCACCTGTTCTTCCCCCTGTAGGTTCCTTTTTTAGTACTCTAGTATCCTAGAAAGGTGGATCCACAGAAACCGCATTCAAACCGTTTCCAAAAAGGGTGGACCCCCCCCCAAAAGAAAAAACCGAAACACCAAAAGCCCACCATCTAAGAAGGATGGTCGTTTCTGCGGGTTGTCTCTAGGGATTCCGAAAAAATGGCTTGGTTCGGGAGTCGGAAGCCATCGCTGGACGACACATCTACCTCCGAGCTCTGCAGGTCTTCACCACGGAGTGTGGGCTCTTTGACCCCGTGGTGGCGCAGAACGCCCGAGCCCGGGCCCCGGGCCCCGGGCCCCGGGCCCCGGGCCCCGGGCCCCGGGCCCCGGGCCCCGGGCCCCGGCACGACCCGATGGCCGTAAGAACATCTGTTTATCTGTGATTCTGGACGTCATATGTGGCTCAAAGGAAAGGTACCGCTCTTGCGCGCAAACACCCGCACATGAGAAAACGAGACACAATCAAACACAATCGTGAGATAGTCATCTGGCTGTGGCTCCAAAACAATGCACCAAAATGGCACCTTGGTAAATGAAACCAAAGGCTGAAGCCTGCGGTTTGCCCTGGCTCTGTAATTTTGAGCCACACCCATGTCTCCGAGTAGAACCAATGTTTTTTCGTGAGTCTCTGAAGTGGACCTTCCTCCTCTCGCCATTCCACCTGAGATGAATCAGTCAAGGTGCTTTGGTTCAACTCCAGCTCCGCCAGAGAGTCCACGGACTTTTGGCTGGCCGGTGTGATCCTCGGGCTTGTGGTCTACAACAACATGCCGGGCCTGGATGTGCGCTTCCCGCCAGTGGCACGGGTCTTAGGGGCACTTGAGATGCATTGACGAGCTCTTCGCATGTCTTTTCCTTGGTCATCTTCTTTTCACACTGCAACATGTCGTGGATGTGTCTTTGCTTGAGGCTACTGGGAGAAGGAACATGCACATTCCCTTTTTGGGACTCCCCTATTTTCCGACGATCCCATATTTGCTTTGAGGGGTCATCGGTCAAGTGTGCAAGGGCGAATCTTGGGATGAGCAGGATGAGCCCAAGGACGTGGTGGAGTGGGTCACCAAACAAGGATAAAAGAGCTACTAATAACGAAACATCAATTTAGTAGCGAAAGAAACACAACTAGTTGCATAAAAATCAAGCCATTAATTGCGTACAAACACAAGGACTCCTATAAAGCCTTACAAGAAGACTTACACAGACCTTACAAGAGTCTTACAAGCCATACTTTGCGTGTCGAATCCTCTTGCATGAGCACACAAGCCACAATGATACTACCAAGACCAGCTTCATACAAAACAGGATCTCTTTGCTGCTCAATTCTTCGGCATCTTGGGGGTCTTTGGCATGCCACTTTAATTCTAGCGAAAAGCCGGCCACATGAAACCGTCGCTGCGAGCGAGCACAACCAGGGCCCAAGGCTCCAAACGCGCCCTGGATGCTGATGATGCAGAGGGTCGCCGCCACTGGGAACGGCAAGCCCCCCTTGCCTCGACTCAGTCCGAAGCAGGTGCTATTTGCCTTTGACTCGGCACCCCTCTTGGTGCTGCTTGTTGCTTTTGGAGACGTGCTGAGAGAGTCGACCATAGTGGTTTTGTTTGGCATGTTTTGCAGATTAGGACACTCTTCTTTACTCTTTGAGAAGGCTTTCCCGCCGAGTTGGACGGCGGACACGATGTGTTTTGCCACATGTGCCGGGGGTGCGTTAAGACATGATTTTTTGGTCTGCAGCGGAACACGGATGGCAAACTAAACCAAGGGCTGTGCAGCCAGCGGCCATCCAAAAAGGTCAGCGTTTTGTGGCAACTCGACTCACTACATATATATATATATAGAGGGTAGGGTTGGGGGCAAAGTATCCTGACCCCAGTACGACAGGCCCAGGCCGAATAAGTCAATCAGGGCCCTCCTCTTCGAGGCACTGCCGTCTTCGGGTTTCGGAGGTCTTTAAGAAGGTCAAGAACGAGGCCTTGGTCTTGGAGGACTTGCGGCACGTGCACCCGGACACCTACCTGTCTCTGAGACTGGGAACGTAAGATCATGGCTTCGAGCCGTCAACAGATGAAACCACATGGGTGGGCAATTGGTTTGGTTTCCTGTGCTTTCCCCGGAGCCAAGTTTCCACCCTTGCGCCGATCAGGGCTTTGGAGCAACCCTGATGATGGGAGAAAGGATTGAAGTATGGAATTTTATGGGATCCGTTTCTAGCTATAGGGGTCTTTGGGACAGCCTTCAACAAGGGTTTCGGAGGGTTCCAGGGGGTTCCGGGGCTGTTTGGGATACATACCGCCTGGGCTGACTCGTTGTTTTTTGTGTTTTTTGTTGGGGGGAGGGGCGGGGGTGAAGGGCCCGCTTGCGCCTCGAGAGTTGGGCCTTCCAAAAAGTCTCGCGGCCAAGGAGGTCTCTGCTGTCCTGGGAGCCCGAGGAAGATCTCAAGGAGTCGGAGCTCAACGCCTTGCGCCTCGGAGAAGCCGAAGCCATCCCGAAGCCCAGAGGTTTTCATCAGACCTGTTGGAAGCTACGTGTAGATTTGGGGGGGGATGGTGCCCAACCCCAACCTCTGGGTATCTTTCATGTCAGTTTGTGACATCTGAGATCTTTGGGGGTTGAGGGTTAGTTGGCCAATTCTGAGGCCTGCTCATGGGTCGTTCTCAGCTGTCATAGATTGCTGGCATACCACGTGCTGTCCAGATGGGGCCATTGAAGCGCCGTGGGGAAATAGTCCACTTTTGGAGTGGGGCAAATCTCTGGAGTGTGCAGGCGCCTCAATGTAGCGCAAGATTTGGGATTTCACAATCTTTGGCGGGCTTTGCTCAGAGGGAAGTGTCGTTTGCGCAGCCAATCATAACAGCAGCTTTGTCTTGTGTTGCCGGGCGACCCAGTGCAACAAGCCGCACATTCGAGCCGGGCCCCACTGAGACAAGCCGCAAATGGGCTGATCAGTGGGGGAGTGACTGCAACTTGCAGCACTTGTTCTGGCACGGCGCGGCGGAACCAGAATTGAATTTGCAGGGCTTGAACATGTGAGGCTCCTTATTTATTCCTCACAGTCATGCAAGTGGGACAACCCAGCAACAGACGATTCAGCCAAAGCGTGTTTGCGGTGTGACGACGGTGAGGATGGTGTGGCAACGACATCATAGCAATAGAATGAACATAATAGTATTTAGTGTTTGATTTCGCGCCAAACACAGTGCCAGCTCAGAAGGTTATTGCTTGTAAAGGTTCCACCGCGTTGAAGTGCCCTTGATAGTATCTGTTTAATTCAGTTTGCGAGTTTCAACCTACAGGAGTTTCTGCAGGACATTGGCCAAACACCCCCCAAAAAAAACAACATTTATGTCCTTCCTGCAGTTTTTTTTTTTTTTTTTTTTTTTTTATAGACAAGGTTCGAGAACACCTTTTGTCTGGACTTTGTGATCACCTATGAGCTGAACGGCAAAACCGAGACCCGAGAACTGTGCGAAGGGGGCAAAGACCGCATGGTCTCCTACAAGAACCGTGAGGAGAGGGCGGAGCAAACACGTGATGCTTCAAGGGTCGTGCCAGCACGACGTTTACTCAGGCGGATGTGTAAACTGTGTTACTGGCTTATGCGGAGCTTGGACACTTTTGCGTGCTTGATCGCAACAGTTGCCCAATCAGGCTGGTACGCTACGCATTCTTGCCAGCTATAAACTTGTTTGGGCTCGCACATGGTGGGCGTCTAAAATGTTCCCCCACCAACCAGAACAGCGCCACCAGTCGATTGGACCCTCTTTAGTGGTATGGGATGGGGGGGAGGATCTGGGTTGGACTCGGGCTCCGAGCTCAGCTTGAATTACCCTTTCAGAGGAAAAGGCTAAGGATTTGATCCGAAATTTCCACAACCTTTTGACAAATTGACATTAAAGAACACCCCAAAACTTGCAAAATTGAATTTCCTATAGATCCGATAACTTTTGCCTCTGAGCGGGAAGGACTTAGACAAACTACCATTCAAAAGTACACGGCATTTTTGTTGCCGGAAAAGTGTGCTACAGTCGCGGTATCCTGAATTAGAAAAACAACGCCCCACCCCACTTACAAAAGCAGGTCCAACAATACTTTGTGCTGCACGTGCCCAGGTGCTCAAAATAGGGTTCTTGATTACTTGTTGCAGACATCTTGAGATGCTGGTGACATCTAGTGCCGCCTTCAAAAAGGGTCCACGGCTGGGACCGTTTCTACGCCTTGTGCGTTGTAGGCATGAGCTCCTGTTTCTGTGCCCGGTCGAGCGGCCAGCGGGGTGACAAGCTACCAAGCAAGGCACAAGGCACGGCAGCAGCAACAGCGACCGCAACAACAGCAGCAGCAGCAGCAGCAACACCAACACCAACACCAACACCAACAACACCAACACCAACACCAACACCAACACCACCACCACCCACCAACCAACCAACCAACCAACCACAACCACAACCACAACCACAACCACAACCACAACCACAACCACAACAACAACAACAACAACAACAACAACAACAACAACAACAACAACAACAACAACAACAACCACCAACACAATCCAAAACAAACCAAAACAAAGCAAAACAAAACAAAACAACGCAATACAAAACACACAAACCATAATAGCTTTGACATAATTGAGGAATCAATGATGCAAATGATAGAACACATGGCTTTGGGAAGGCTTAATTCCCAATTGAGAGTCGTTTATGAGGTCGACTCGGATGTTCAAGAATTCGGCTTACCCGACCAGTTGTTCTGTTTGCTGTACAAGAAGGAATGCCAGGATGGCTCTGGAACGTGGTTTCGCGGTGGCATTGCCAGCATGGCTCCTGTGGCACACCAATCCTGCAACTATAGTCATGAGTTTAAGTGCTTTTCGCGCGGGCAGCACTTGTTTGCCAAACAAAAAGTATCGCAAAGGGAGCGCGGGCTACGCAGGGAATACTGACTTGTCCTCCACCTTTGCACACCCAGCTGACCAAATTGTGAACACGGATTGACCGCTCACAGCCTCCACTTCCTCATCCACGGGGTCACTTTTGGAGTGGGATTCCTTTCTTGCAGCACAAGGCTTGTGATAAATTTAGGTTTTCCGATCAGGGATTAATGCAGCTGGGCCATGTTCAGCTTGCTTTGGCTCAACTTTGGGCGTCCTTGAAAAAGGCGTTTGGTTCCCATCCTCAAGGGTGCCAGTACAGTCGCAGTGAAGCGAAACCATCAGAATGGCTCACTTCCTCAGTTCATGGGCTTTAGTCACTTGTCACTTTTTTGGAAGGCCAGTTTTAGTGGGACACACAAAGTTTTGGCCCACGTTTTGTTGGCCCGATCGGAAAAGAGATGGCGGCCTCTCGCAGGAGTTTGTGCGGCTTTACTGTGAGTGGCTGCTGACCGAAAGCGTGGAGCGCCAGTTCGAGCCCTTCAGAGGCTCAGCTGACGGATGAATCGACGTACCTGAAGGATCGAATGATGTTTTTTTTTTTTTTTTATATGAAACCACTTTTTTTTGGGTAAACCACTTTTTTGGTTTGAATGCAGGTTTTTGGTCTAAACCAGTTTTTGGGGTTGCAAAGGTTCCAAAGGGCACTGGGATGGGCCCTCAGATTCTTGGCGTCCTAATTACAGGAGACAAGCCCAAATCAACCCTCCAGACCAACATCCTCTTCCCTGTCAAGGTTCATAAGGTCTAACTCACCACTTCTGGGCATGAACAAAATCCTCTGGGCTTGATTCACTCCCAAACCTGGTCCAGAGAGCTGAGAGCTGAAGCTTAGATCTATGACAACTTGTGTTCGGAGGGCTCCTTAGGGCTCTATCTTGGGGGGGTTTACCCTCCCTTTATCGGGGTTTCTTCGTTCCAGGGCTGAGTTTAAGAGGACCTGGTGTGGGCCGAATGCCTGCCACCCAGTGTAGGGTTTGTCAAGATATGCCACGTTTGCTTAGCTGAGTGGCAAGAGGAGTATCCTGTCCTTCACATCCAATGAGTGATCTCTTTTGCCCGGATCCCTTTGGATTCTGCGGGTCATGAACTTGATGTGCTGAGCACTTTGGATGCATGCCTTTCGGTTTGCCGCAGATTGTGGGCCGGGCGCGTCGCGACGATTCGAGCGCAAGCGACAGCCCTGTAGCCGGCAACGCCCACGTCTTTGGCAACCCTTCAGCCTTTGTTCGCTGCAGTTGCAACCACGAAAAAGGAATCACCTGAACTTTGGGTGCTCTTCGGATTGACCTCTGGCCTTTGAACATTTCTTGGCGTTTGCTGTCCCACGAGGCAGTCCAAGTTTGTTGGGGTTTAACTTTCTATCGGTACCTTCCCTATTATTTCCAGGGATCCTGCTTTTCAAGAAACCATCAAACACCCAGGGGAAACAGCCGGTTTTGAAAAGAGCGATGGTTGAAAAGAGTGGGGAGTCAACCGCTAGAAGCTTTGTTAATAGAAACAACCCAGGTTGCCAGAGGTGCAGCGTATCAGCCAGCCTTTCCGGTCCGCGCAGGCCCAAAGCCAATTTCAACAGACGCGCTCGAGAAGAGGAAAACATACAATTGACCCAAACGGGTCCCATGGTGGCCTGTCCATAAACCTTCTTCTATCATGGCACCGGCATAGAACAAAATCTGCGCAGTTGGAGTATATTTGCCTTTCCCTGCCCAAAGTAGCAGCCAAAAGTTGTGTGACCCTATTTCACCCAACTCAGCTTGTCTTAATGGAAATCCACTTGCTCAGTCGCACCCTTTTTGTGATTTTAGTTGGTAGGTTCCCCAAAGGCGGTTCGGGAACTAGTTACAGGCCTTACTTGGTCTTATTTCCAAGGCTTATTTCGCGGGCCTTTGCGGTAGGGTCCCCAAGTTGGCGCTGAGGAAAAGGGGTGCGCCGGGTCTGCGACTCGCCCCTCTTCAACGCCTTGCACAGTGCGGAGCTGGAACTCATCGTCTGTGGCGAGCAGGCGAATGGATTGGACCTTGGACTTGGTGTTGGACATTCGGGATGCTTCATAAGATTCGGGATATCCTTTTGAGGGTCTTGGGAACAAAAGGAAGCCCTTGCTAATTCGCACTCAGATTTGTGAAGGAGTAAATATTTGGAGGGTCTAGGAAAACAAAAAAAGACCTCGCTTTGCGAATATCTCTAAAGTTCCCTGATTCTTGTCAACACTAGCTGGTTCTCTTGGAAAGAGGAGGCCACCTCTACGCATTGGACATGTTTTTCTCGTTTTTTTTGGGGGAGGGGAGGCTTATGTTTGTCCCAAAAGCCCGGTGTGTGAGGCCTACAGTCCCCTAAATTCAGCTACGTCCGGTACGCAAGAGTTGTTGTTAACTACATGTCCATAGGTGTCCTTTTTGGTTGTTTTGGTGGAAAAATAGAGGACGATTCCTGGTTTACCTGGTAGTCATCTACCAAGAACCCATCTATTTGCCCTAAATGGACACCTGTGTACATGCCAGTGTTTGTGTTCCTTTGTTGCAGGCCCATTCCCGAAGCAGGCAGCCAAAAATGAAACTGGAACGTCGCAGGATCTGGACTTTGCGCAGTTGCGGAAGAATGCGCACTACGACGGGTTCCAGGACGTTTGTTTTTGGGTTGTGTTTGTGGTGATGGAATCTTGACTTGAACCCTAAGACCCGCGCCTGTTTAGGGGCTGGGCTTAGACAAGTGTTCCGCAGCATTGTTGTCCTCTTGTTGGCGCAGCAAGGGATTTGCGAGTTTGCCTGCTGACTGACAGGCATGTCATTTTTGACACAGTGCTGATCAGCGAGGCAGCCATCCGCTTTAGTGTCTCACGGCAACAGCAGATCTGTCCAACTAGTTTAGCGACACATGAATCTCAAAATGTCCGGTTGAGGAGTGTGTCAGGCTGTTCCGTAAGTCTACACATGAGATTTCAACTATTAACTTGACACGTGGAGCTTTCTGCCACGTGGTTCCCTGTGTTTTCTTAGCTGGCTGGAGCGGTGATTGGCACGTTGCGTGGACCTAGACTTGCGCCCAAGAGCGGTCACGCGTTGTGCTTACTCAGCAAATCCCCCACAAAAACGGCGCTCTAACTTTCTAGGGAAAACAGTCCCGATTTATGCTACAAGATTCTGATTTGTTGGGAGCCACGTCGGCTCAAGATAGGATATACGCATTGATGCGCTGTGTTTGGGGTTGGTTGATAGCCACCTCGAATCCAGTGATTACAGCGGACAGTTTTAGCAGGGTCAGAGAAAGGGTCATTGAGGATAATGACACGGAAGTTTGGTTTGGGTTGGTATTTTTTGCCCTTTGTGGAGTGGTTTTAACGGGAAACTGAAAGGAACCCCCCTATTTTTGGAGGTCTCCTATTATGACACCCCATTTCTGTCCCAGGAAAATCCAAGAACAAACCCGAAGCGATTCGCCAACTCGAGCCTTTGACAGAAGCCTTAGACCCGAACAGCACCAGGAGGATTCCGGGTACATCAAGTCCTTCTGGGACTTGTTGCTGAAGCTCCTTGGCATGAGTGTGTCTAGGGGACATCAAGATGGGAAGAGTTCACGGAATGTGGACCAACTGTTTTGGTCGAGTTGCAACAGCAGTAGACTGTTGGTGCTCCGGATTTGGCGGAGTGCTTGGAAAACAGGTTGAAAGATACTCTCCTGTTTTTTTTTTTTTGTGACTCGCATTTCTTATCGGCCGGATAGGGCTAAGTCCCTTGAATCCTCTCTGGGCACATAAGTCCCTCGAACCTGATAATGATTGTATACCGTTGTATGCCACTGATGAGTACAGCCCGCCCAAGCAAAAAAGAGAGAACAAAACAAAGACTTTTGGAGGTCCCTCCCCTGGACCCCCAATTGCTTAAGCCAAGGTGGTCCTGCTCCCTCTCCTGGCCAGAGGGAAAGTAACAGGCATGTGTGCCTGGAGACTGCCATGAGAAATAGCCTTGGATTGCTGATTTGTTGGAGACCTGTTATCACAATCCTTGGAACTATGAAAGACGTAGCATTGGAGGAAGTTTTGGCTCTAGGGGGGGGGGGGCAGGTTGACATTAATCAGGGGATGATCAATCAGGTTCTAGCATGACTTTAACTTCAATCAATGGCTTGAGAACATGATAGCATGACAACATGATAACATAACATAGTTGAGTGTATGGCTGTGGAAGGACACCAGAACGAATCTCTGATGTTCCATCTGGAATGCATCATGTTGTCCATGCTTTGCATGGAAGCTGACTTCTTTCCGGGACTACCGGATTTTTGGACGAGATGATCACAACTCCGCTTGAATCATCGTGTGTATGCATTGCATATGTGACACCATGCAACCATGTCTTGCAAGGTTTGCCTTGGCGTATTGCCTTTGTAGTTCTCGCTAGTTTGTTTGTGGCCAACGTTCAGGTCATTGGTGATATTGACCGCGTTTCTATTATAATTGCTACAATGGGCAGACATTTACCCCGGCCATCATAATGTTCATGTGGATACTGCAAGATCTGTTGAAAGAGCTGATGACTCTTCCAGGGTATTCAACGTCGTTTCAACCAGCGTCATGAGATTGCGCTGTAAAATCACATAAGCGCGATGACTTCCTGACTTGATCTGCTTCTTCTTTCTCTTCTTCTTCTTCTTCTTCTTCTTTTTGTTCTTCTTTCTCTTCTTCTTCTTTTTTCTTCTTTGTTGAGGGGGGGGGGTCGGGGCGAGCAAACGCCAACCGCTGTTGCTCCTTTGCTTTGTTGTTTATGTTTGTTTCTTCCTTGCTGTAGTTCTTCCAAGGTTACATACAAGGGAGCCTCCCTGTGACCCTGGGCTTTCGCAGGTTCGACTTGGGCCAGAAGAAGCGGTTCCTGTCCTTCGTCACAGGCAGCGACCTGGCGCCGGTGGGCGGTCTGCAGGAGCTGCAGCTGGTGATCCAGCGCAACGGGGATGAGCCCACCGAGAGGCGCCCGAAAACAGCCCGTGCGACGAAAAAACGCCCGCGCGTAAGCGCGCGGGGTTCCACGTGCGTGCGTTGTGTGCGTTGCCGGGGGGGGGGGGTTCCGTGCGCGTTGCGTGCGTTGCAGAGGGGGTGCATGGTCAATTTGTTGGCCGGGATGTGATGGGATCGGCTTTAGGAACAATAGTGGCCCAGTGCCACCCCCCCCGATTGTCTCACAGCAGTCATGGCAGAATGACTTTATCGCAAAGCATGGGTTGCTCCAACTAGAGCGTGGGCTGTGAAGTTGTGCCCGTAAAGGTGGGGTCCTGTCGGTTGCCAGGATTTCCCAGAGAGTGTGTCTTGGAACGTGGACATTAACATTGTGGCGCTCAAGGTTTCTTCCGTGAATATGCGTCCTTGAGGTTGGACACATGTATTAGCGCTTGGTATTTTGCAGTATGTTAGATATTATATGTATACATATATATGTATGCACAGGTGGTCGGATATACATGTATGAATATGTGTGTATACGCATATACATATGAATAAATCTGATTTGTCCAGGCCCCCTGTCTAAACAAGTTCGCTTTCAGCCAGGCTTCCCACTGCTCATACCTGCTTCAACCTCCTGCTCCTGCCGGAGTATGCGAACTCCAGCAAGCTCGAGCGCCTGATCACCACTGCCATGCACAACGCGGAGGGCTTTGGCTTGGAGTAAGGACGGGAGTGCCTGGGACACAGACTGACAGACCCCGGAGCTGATGTGGTATTTGTTTTGCCTTTGCTTCCTGTGGGAGGAGTGCTTCCCTGAAACTTCCCGGTTAAAACCAACCAACAGATGGTGCCTCTTGCTTCGGGAGTGAAAGTCCGGGGGGCACCTTTGGTCTATTTTTGTATTTGGTCCGTTTCATGTGATAGGGGGTCATTGACTGTATTATATTGTTAACCATATATATATATATCCACTTAACACAATATGGTATCATATTTGTGACTGAAGGCCTTTTTTGTCGTTTGCTACTGGGCTCGCGAGGGTTTTTGGGCTTGTCGGAGGGACAAACTGGCAGGCGACCTCACCGACCGCCAGCTTGTGACCTCAGGACAACATTCTTCGTTTGGACTTCTGAATGTGGGTCGATGGCCTATGATTCTTCCAAGAGATAGCACACAGCGTCGATTGGTTCATTTGCTGCGCCTCCGAATTGGGCTGCGCCCTGTTTTGAGGACACAGCTCATAAGCGGGATTGGACGTCAGCAAATCGTCAGAAACTGGCCTCCAAAAGGAATCGTCCCTATTGAGGGGCGAGCGGTAAGATAGCCAACCTAATGTCTTGATAACCCACCTAATGTTTAGGTTTTCTAAATCATTGAAGCCACTAGAAAGCTTTGCCCGACAGTGGAATGGCTGTAGCGTTAGACTAGACGTGAAATATGTGTTGTTTCAATCCTGAAGCCTGAAGCACACATAGGAGCGGATGAATAAAGACAGATCAGATTGAATTGCGCAAATGCTAGGGCCAGAGAAGATGAATCATGATAGCTTATTTAATGGGCCAAGTATAAACACCTGACCTGCCAATGGACTCCATATCTCCAAACAGCATGACTCGTTTGACACGGGTGAGGTTATTGGCTCTTGGTTTGATGTGGATCCTGACAGCTAAGGCAGCAAATCAGCTTTGTGTACAAGGCTTTGCCAGTTGACTACCGCATGTCAGCCTTCTTCCTCTTTGTACACAACTTCATCGAGACCTACGACCTACGGCGCTGCTAGCGGCGTAGCGAGAATTGGCCAAAGTGCCTCTTGGAGCCAGGCAAAGCCTGCGCAGAGAGAGAGAGAGAGAGAAAGAGCACAGGAAACCCGAGTCTTTTCGTTTTGTCAACATGGCTCGGGCTACTGTTTTTTCAGCTGCCTTCCTTTACACGGATCTTGATGTGGTGTTTTTTGAGGGGTCTGCAATCTGTACCAGAGCGCTACATTTTTCTTGGTACTTGCTGGCTCACCACGGCTGGTTCTAGTCCCGATGCATACTCAGACTCTGAGTGATTTTCTCATGGCATTTGCAGAGTTTGTCCTTTAAGAGATTGGCCAGATAGCAGGGAGGGACCCGAAGAATGCACTTTCTGCGCTATACCTCGTTACACACCTCATGGCATAGTCCTTGCATATCTCGTTACACACCCAACCCCTGCGGAGGTGTCAAGCGCTGTTTTCCCCCTACATACCTACTGAACAAAGACCCCCATTACATGCCTCCAAAATCAGATTCGTACCGCGTGGCTCGTTACGAACCCACAAAATATCATACCCATGTCACGATGTCCCGACCTCACTTGCGTAACCGCGTCGTACGGTAGGTGTAGTGTCCTTAGTCTCGGGGCCGCTGTCACTGGGAAGGAGGAGATCAGACATGTGTATCCATTTGGAGTCTGCATTTGCAAGACAGACCACATTGTGAAACTGACAGTTGCAGATGCCGAACCCCAGCCAGCGGCCTCTTGGATGGCCGCGTAGGGCCGTTTGGGGCTGAAAACAACCACCCATTGGCCGATTGGCATGTTCTGAGCAGGTCACTTTGCGACACGTAGATCTGTTGCTCTTAAAAGGGGCCATGGACCTCCGATCTTTCCACCAATTCGCATGTCATTAGCTTGAAGATTCAGCCCCCCCCTTTGATCCTGCGTGGGGCCACTGCCTCTTTCTCGGTGCTACAAGCAGATTATCGACTCCAACTTGCTCTGCCCTCAACGATGGGATCCGATTTTCCCTGACTCGCATGTGCATGGGGCATGGAAGTTAACATTGTAAACTTCACCGAGCTCAGCATCTCATGTTCGCAGCACACGCTTGACTCTGCTGCACGCTTCAAATCACGAGATCATGTGCAACACTGGAACGCTGCGCTTTGTCCGGGACCCAGCAGTGGTTCACAATTCTGCAAATTAAAGCGGTTCTGTGCTGTACGCAAGTCCGTTGGCATCTTGCTCACCACGCTGTCTTCACATGCTGCCATTGCTCAGACCGACACGATAAGGAACTTAGGGACAGCCTTGCAAACCGAATATTCAACCATAGAAATGCTAGACCCCCAATTGGATTGGGTCCTCTCTTGTAGCAAGTTGTTTCCTAATTCAGGATCCTGTGACTTTTTTGGGTCCTCCAATGTGGCAAGGTGTTTTGCCGGAGAAAAACAAAACCATGACGAATCAAATCCGGGCAATACAAACAGCTGGCCAAACAACTCGGCAAAAACATCGGGCAAAGACAAAAGAACAACCATTAGGAGTTCCTTTTTGAAGTGGTTCCCAAATCATCAAATCTGGGATAACTTCCTTACACAAAGGTGCGGGCAAACAATCACATACAGGGGTTGCCCGCAACAAGAGACCCTGATTGTCTGTAGATAATGTGAGTGTTTGTTTTGGGGTCCTCTTTGGTGTCCAACTATTTTGGGGGTTGCTGGAAAAACCATTCTTCCCAGCTAAATTAGAATTGACAATACTGAAGTGCTGGGAAGCTGAGAGTTCTTCTTGGCAATACTAAAGTAAGTACGGGGAATTTGAGAAATTGTCTTGGCAATACTAAAGAAAGGCAATACTAAAGTACGTACTAGCAAGTCCAAGTCCCACCAAGACCCCCAGGAGTTTCACTAAAGCGGGTGTCCCGCTGACTATTCCGGGGGGGAGAGGGTTCCACACTAGCTGACAGCGGTTTGGAAGATTCGCAGGCCCTTTGTCAGTTCCATTTTGTCGTTTGGCCAGGTGCGCGAGCAGGCACGAGCTGAGATGAGAACAAAGAAAATGGCTGAGCTCGAAGATCGAGGCCTTGTTTTCGTTCCCGTGATACATACTGCCGCCTTCACAGGGGGTCCGAAAGGGGGGCATGCTTCTGACTGATGTAGGGAGCTGTGCATGTGCCACATTGCAACATGAATGTGCCAACAGGGAGCTCAAGCAGAGTGACAGCCAGCAACAACAAAGTTGAACTTTTATTAGCCAAGCCGGTCAAGAAGTGACAAACACAGGGCAATTGCCCTATGCTGCATCTCTTAACTCTTTTTTTCATGTTACTTCTTGATCGATGAGTCACGACGGAAGGGATGCATTTGGTTTTTTTTAGATGCCCGATGTGACGGTGAAAAGCAGGTCGTCAAAATCCAAGCACCGAGTTGCCCATTGATGTCATTTACTGTAGAATGCAACCAGGGGCAATTGGCATGCTGCATGCAGCTTTGGCTCGGTGAAGACATTACTCTGACTTCTGAGTATGAAATCTGAACATATATATATATATAATGTATATATCTACCCCCTGAAATGTCCTCTTTTCTTTAAGAATTAAATGTATGACTATGGCCACAGAAAGATGTTCACACGTGGCACAGTGTAGCTGGCTGTGTTGGATGAGCGAACGAGCAGACGACGGCCATCTGACCACAAACCAACACATAAATGAGCATGTGAAAGGCTTCCAACCGTGAGATAGCGGCTATCCCCAAGTTCAGAAACACCCGTTCAGCAAACTATGCCTTTGGACAAATCTGGAGGGTCGGAATCATCAGATCTCCAATATTGTCTCGTATCATTTCCACTTAGAACATCTTGGGACGGGGAACTGCCCCTGCTTTAATGGAGTTTCTGTATGCGCTGATTCTAAAGTGAGCATTACTCGAAGGAGAGGCAGTATGAAACCAATCTCGAGACCTGGATTTCCACTGTAGCTACACCGCATTGATCGAGACATTGTGCAAAGCTGTGGCGCTTGTGGTTGTCAAGGGCAAATTCAGCAGGCAGATGACTTGTTGTTGCTGGTTCTGCACCAAGCAAGTGTTAACCCGAGGGCAAGCAATTGCCAATGCCGGCTGAAGTGTTCGGACCAGGAACGCGATTCCCTTTCCCACTTTTCAGGTGTCCAGGTTCTGTTATGTTCTGTTATTTTTGTACTCCCAGAGCTGCCATCAAGCCGTCTCAAGACAAGCTTTGAAAAAGACACACCTTTGACCGCAAGATGTGCTTGCCATGACTCATGGACGACGCTGAAGCAGCGCCGCGGAGGCGCGACGCTTGGGGAAGCGAGGCAGTATGCAGCCAGCTCCCCGAAGAAGTTGCCGAGCGGAGTGAATTTCTCACCCAGACGCTCCCGATTTTTGTTGGGCCCTCAAACAGCCAGGCTTTGAGGCCCAAAATGTCCAATGGAGGGTTTGCAGCTTCCACTAGAAGCCCTAGGAGCGTCTGGGTAGGTTGGCATCATGAGTTCTCCACTACAGCTTTCCGGGGCAAGCGCTTCGAAGAGGCAGCTGGGAGACCTTCGGTCAGCTGTTGGTCACAGTTGTGGGCGCAAAACCACATGCTGGTGAGTGCATTTGTTGCGCTCGGAGGTCAATGCCGCGTTTTCACCGCAGTATTCAAGAGGCTTCCATCCGAGGTTTCACTTCATGAGTCGAAATCAGATCAACTAGCCTCACACATATCTTGCTCCACCCGACCTGCCACAAAACCTTACCCCTTACTCAGTTCTTCTACCTCGCCCATTCTGAACCTCGCCCGAACTTTGTCCTCTCGCTCCGCGTCGCTGCATCCTGGCTTTGCCCGCACTTGACCTCCTTGACCGACAGTCTGACCCAAGTCTCGTCGAATGAGGGCGCCCCTCAAAATGGTCTGTGTTTTTATGTTGCCAGCCATCCAAAACGATCCAGACAGGCTCCGAACATGACTTGCCCTTTGTCTCCATTTCCCGGGGCTTCCAGGCCAAAGAGTTGGCATGTGGCTCCGCACTCGGCTGGCCGCCTTCGGTGCTCCAAAGTGTCCTTGGCCACCCCCTCGCATGTTCGCCCAGGCGCAGCTTCCAGCGAGGCCCCGCAGCGCAACGCTTGCTGGCGGAGAGCGAGTCGCCGAGGCTTGGAGAATGGGAGAGGCGGCCGCAATGCCATTCGAAGATGGCTTCTGTACTGGCCAGGGACCACGAGATTGCATTCCGCAAGGGTCGTGTATTATTTGTTTCCCTTGGTGCAGTCTTAGAGCAACTGTAAGAAGTCACCGCTTCTCGGTGCAGCTGGAGGGTCCACAAGGCTAAACATCCGATCAGAGGGAGCCATGGCCCGGGAGTTTAGACCCGGGACCAGCGAGGGCAGTCCTCAGATCTCCCCTTGTTAAACACAACGTCAGGAATGAAGTGATGTTGCTTGTGGTGGACACATCGGGAATCCAGATTTTGTGGTTTTGTCAATGGTGTGAATCATTGGGTTTGAGACTACCGCAGTTCGTGATGCCAAGGCGGTTTCTTCAAAGTGATCATGTTTCCAGGGCTTTATATTAAACATTGTTGACAATATGTGTGCATCAGGTTCCCTCAAAGTGATTTCCCAACACATTTAAGCGTTACCATGATTGGCCCATAGCAAGCTAGCGCAAAGGGGGGGGTTTTCATGTTCATCAATTTCGGGCCCGTTTGCAGGTCCAAAACTGCGGATGCCAGCCAGATTGCGAGCGCTAGCCAGAGCACTGCATCTCGGCGTGAAGGGGTGTGTCTCCAGCCCCATCCCCCTCTCCCGAACACTTGTGCTGCCTTAAAGGGGGTTCGCCTCCTGGAAGATACCTGGGAATCCCAAGGTGTGTAAAATTTCCGCCTTGTGAACGAAAACTGCTTTTTCAGTCTGGGAACATGAATTTCTGCCTCCAGGCGTTTTTGGGGGAAACTGACTTTTTGCAAGGGCAAGCTGGTCGACTGATTTTTACCAACGGCGTTTTTCGCCAATCAAACGGCGTTTTTGGCCGTTCACAGCAGTCCTTGAATATTGACGAATTGCTCCAACGGCGTTTCGGGGGACAAAAAGCGTTTTTTTGCAGCAACGGCGAAAAATAGTGCAATTTCAATCAGCGGCAGAAATTCTGCACCGCCGGGCTTTCCAGGTATGCGAAGATGATGGATTATCATTCAGCCATGGGCTTTCGCGAATTGCCCTCCAAGCAAACACGGTGCTTCCCAAAACGCGACCCCTCAACCCCCAAAACGGGGATTTTCCAGGTTCCGAGAAGGGGATCTGGGCGCGCCTTAGGAGCCGCCGCGAGCCGCGAGCTCTGCCCAGGCGAGATTCTCTCGCGAGCGCCTTTGGGCTTGGGTGTAAGCAAGGGGACAAATCCGTTTCCCCCAACCCCCCCAAAAAAACTTTCGAGCTATTGTTTTACTTGCAGGGAAGTTAAAGGAACTCAGCCACTGTTTTACCTTTCACAGGAACCCTGCAACTTTTTGGCTGGTGGTCCAGGCCTGCTTTCTTGCATGCGTCGTACAGGTGCAGAGCGCGTGGCAGTCATTATACAGGTAGCCAAGATGCTGGGCGTGATGAGTGGGGACGCTGCCCAAGGCAAGTGAGCTCCTGCTTCTTGTTATTCTTTCGTCTGCCAACTGCTTCCCACTTAACACGGAAAGGTCCCTGTAGGACGAGGGTAAGGACCTTTCGTTTGAGCTCTTGCAGGAGTAGAAAGTTATCACCCGGTGCGAGTGGAAATGCTGGCGACGCCCCAAGCTTCTGGCCGTTGGTGCTTACCGTTTGTCCACATCTTTTTGTTGCCTTTGGGAAGCTGAGAGCCATTGTCTTGTGAGGCACGCGGCAATTCTGAATTCTCTTACCCAAACGCTCCTCGAACTTCCAATGGAAGACCCAGACCCTCCATCCAGAGGGCTTTTGGGGTCTCAAAGCCTGGCTGTTGGGCCAACAAAAACAATCGGGAGCGTCTGGGTAGGGAAAATGGGCATCAACAAGCAGGGCTTCTTAAAAGATACATTTTGCCCAATTGAAACATGTTGCTTTTTCCACCCAAATAAAGGGACACCACCATTTACAAGGCAATGTTCAGGTGTATAATGTAAGGATCCCTGAAAAGCCCAGGGCTTGTGCACATCTGGGAAGAACTAAAGCTGAGGGCGATTCGAGCGTCCTGAGGACATGAGGCGCGGGGTGCTGCAGCGGCACTCCGCTCGGCCGAGCGGAGAAAACGAGCAGACTAGCAAAGCACGAACGAAGAAAGCGGAGAAACTAAGCAAAACACAGACGCAAAGACAGAAAAAGAAACAGAAAAGAAAGAAAGAAATACAGAAAGACAACATGAAAACAAAGACAACTAAAGACACATAAGTAATATTAAGATACAAAGCTAGAATGACATAGGTAAAGAAAGACACGATGAAAGACAGAAAGAAAGAACAAAAGAGCAACCACACAAGCACACAAACAAACAAACAAACAAAAACAAACAAACAAACAATTCAACAATCAATCAATCAAACAAACAAACAAACAAGCAACCAAAGCAAAGAACAGTCAAACAAGCAAACACAAATAAACAAACGAATCAACATGCAAAAGGCAACACGGCAAACAAAGCAAGCAAGCAAACTAGCAACAACAATAGTAGGGCAAACACAAGCAACCAAGCTTACACACACAAAGATCAGAACAATCGAACGCAGTCAACTAAGCAACAATTTTGCAGACACGCAAACAGGCAAGCAAGCAGTCAGGGAAACACGCAAACAGACGATAAAACAACTAACAAAGCGCATTAAACATGAACCTGACACACAGACAAACAAACAACAAACATACAAACAAACAAAAAAAACATGCAAGCAAACAAACAAACAAGCAAGCAAGCAAGCAAGCAAGCAAGCAAGCAAACAAACAAACACACAAACAAACAAACCAACCAACACACACAAAACCACACAAAACACCACACACACAGCAACAAACAAACAATCAGTCTAACACACGAACCAACGAGCAAGCAAGCCAGCGAGCGAGCGAGCAAGCAAGCACAAACGACACATGTGTATGGAAGTCCGGGGTACCTCCGAACTTCGGCACGGAGCCCTTCGAATTTCACGGGCGAGGACCGCTGCGTGCAGCTCGAAGCTGAGCTTGAGCGAGCGCTGCGCGCCAATGAGCTTCTGAGGCCGGATGCATGTTTTGTCTAAGGGTCGCCTCTTTGGGGTTGGTTTACCCTCCCACCCTTTTCACATGGAGGCTGACGTTGGGGGTCCTGACAAAGGAACCGGGTCCCTGTCAGGTTTCATGTTGATTGGTGGGTCAGGAACCTCATATGTGTGGCAAGACTTTGTAAGTTCGGGGATCCGAAGCCTCCTTTAGAAGCCGAATGTGGAAGGTTATACAGTTATACCCCTAGCGCCGAAACCACAAAAACAAACCACCAGAGCTGATCCAAAGGAAGACCATCCATGGGGGTACCCCTATTTTGACACACCAAGTTGGGCTTGTGTCAAAATCCGGGGTCGGGGGGAGTGGGACGATTCACTCGTGTAAACCATCCCAACTACCCAACTATGCAATGACTTGGGTTACCAGTATAGTAGATTCGGGCTTGTCTACTACATTGGGGTTATCTTCTCCTTTCTGGATGCACTTCAGGAACCAACCACAAGCCTTCGGCCACTTGGCACCGCTCAGTCTCACTCCCCGAGTTCCGTTTCGGACTTTAAACCAAACAGGTCACACCGCCGCGAGTCGCCCTGGCACGAATTCCGCCTCCTGTTTGCACAGGTCACTGGCCAACGAAATCAGCGCATGGTAGCAAACAACTAATCAAATAGAAACTCCACGAACTAATTTGTTTTAGGTAAGTTTGTGTCACGGCATCTACAAAGGTCAACATCCATCAGGAAAGGTTAAAGTCTGAACTGTGACAACATCCTGTTCAGTTTCAAGTGTGGCGTGTGTATTATCATTCATTGTGCCAGCATGCGTGCAGCGGTCGTGGATGCGCGTGGGCGTGGGTGTTATTACTTGTACCAGCATGCGTGCATGCGTGCAGCGGTGGTGGATGCGCGTAGGCGTGCGTATTCTCAATTGTTGCGCCAGCATGCCTGCAGCGGACGTGGATGCGCGTGTGTATTCTCATTTGTGCCAGCATGCATGCAGCAGTCGTGGATGCGCGTGGGCATGTGTGTGTAAACATTTGCGCATGCTGGGCCGTTATGCGCGGGCGTGTGTATTATCACTTGTGCAACTTAGCCTCATGTGTACAGACTCCGAATACCCAACAAATGTCAAAAAAAAAACATGAGAAATGCACGAAACAATCAGGTTCCTGGCGGCGGCACCAGCAACAAACATGGACGTTGTTTGGCCTATCCACTCAGGAAGTCAGCAGTTACTAATGTCCTCCTGTGGTGGAGGTTTTAGCAACATGTCGGGGGGCGAATGTTAGAGGATTCCTTTAGATGGGGTGATGTTTGCGGTTTCCAGGGTTGTTTCTTGCGGGCTTCTTCAAGAAGACAATCTGAGAAGCCTTTTTTTATTTGAATCAGGTTCCTTTAAATTCGAGTGGTAGTGTCCTTAGGGAACAGCCCTGGTTTCCGTACGGTTTCCTTTCAAACCAGTGCTGAAAGGGTGCCCTGAAGAGACTGAGCCGGCCATGAGATCGTAAAAGAAACGGAAACGGGATTGAAACTGCCTTCGTGAGACAAGCTCAAATACCTTTGGCAAAACGTCATTTTTAGAAACCAACGCCAATAAGTTAAGTTGGCCGCCTTCTCGTCGTGCTTTGCGGGTAGTGCAAACCATCTGAGAGCTATTTTGGTTCCGATGTTCTTGGAGCAATGGAAGATGTCGCAGACGTTAAAGCCCAATATGGGGTTGCGCAGGTTCTGAAGTAGCAAATACACATGCTCATGACTTGCAACTGGGATATTAAGAATCGAGTTGTCCTTCGTGCAATCAGTTCTGGACAGAGCCCACGTCCTATTATTGGTTTGCTTTGGAAGTTATAGTGCCGGATGGCATCCAGATGGCAGCCCCCGGTTTCGCAGTATGAGAGACCATTTCCGCAGCAAGACTAGCGAACGACAGCTTGAGCTGAACAGAGTTTAGCTGGTCAGATGGTGTTGCTTTCAGTTTAGCAAACAGGCGCCCGAACACCTTGGTAAATGACGTGCAGTGTGGCTCACTGCGTCTTGTGTCGATGTAGAGAACACAAGGTTGCTCTTCAGGCTGATGCTTCCTTCCGGGGCCAATGTTTTGTTTCGAATGAGCACGCAGGCTCTCGAATGAGCAGCTCTATGCGGTCTGCGAGGAGTTTATGCGCTCGATGGGTGTCGAGCTCAAAGCCTCTTCGGAAGGCAACAAGAGGCCGAGAGCCGAGCTGCTTAACGAGCTTGGGCTGGTCTTAAACCCAGGAAACCCCAAATGGGTGGTTCCCCTCTTGTCCTTTAAACAAGCCCAGTGAAATGTGGGTACCCTTTAAAAGGAAACACCTTTTTCTGGGTTCTTCAAGTTCCCTTTTTGACTGACACCCAACTTTCTGGCCTATGAAGCCAGCAAGTATAAGGAGGAATCTTGACTTGTTGGGATGGAAAACCCTTTCTACTCAAAAAGGGTGTCTGGTTTGACGCACTTCCTCGTTCAATATTCAGGCAAGGATGCCAAATGGGACTTTGATCTCCCTGACCCATTCAAACTGAGTCGCTTGTGCACCTGCAGTGCAGAATGTGTTTCTTGTACATGCGGACTTTGGTTGTCGCTGGCGCACCTGAAACGCTTGAACCCTAAACACCCTTCACAGTGTTGCCCCCAAGCCAAACGTGAAGGCCACAGTGTTGACTGCAAACCAGTTCCAAAACCAGTACAAAAAGCACAAACCCCAAACCGTGTAGACCCCAAACATGGACCCTAAACCGTGTTGATCCTGCGCCAAAGCCTACACCCGAAAACAAAAACTCATTGAGGCTGAACCGAGCCCTAAGCCTTAACAAGCGAATTAGTAGAACACGGTGTTCTTATGTTTGGTTGTGCGTGCTTGGCCATGGCGCGAGCGAAATCTAGGGCGCGAGTGATTGGAATTTCCAGGCGAGCAAGTGATTGCAGTCCCTGTGAAGGATTTAGATTAGCACGTACTACTGAATTTTAATGATGTATGCTGTGTACACAATGACTCAGGACAAAGGCCCAATTCTTCCCGCGGACGAATTGCCTGAACTCGTTCTTACTACTGCATATTTGCATATGCCGGTATAGTGATCTAGCTGTTCGTTAGTTTCACCTGACACAGTTTTCCTGGAAATGAACTGCCGGTCCGCCCGGTTTGGTTGAACCATCCCTACCAAACACATGTCGTGCTGCAGTGATTCTCAGGCAATTTGTTAATGTCCGTGTGACTGAATTTGCCAGCATCTTGTTGGTTTCTTCTTCAAGTGTATATTTGTATTTGCTTCTGTTTTATTTGGATTTTGGAGTCACTTCAACTATGTAGTCTCCTTCCACGGTGATATTCTTTTGCGCCACAGTTTGAGACCTCGTTCCTGTGCCGGAGGGACACCACGGCCGAATTGGTGGGTTCCCCTTGGGAAGCGATTCGTTGACGGCGTGCCTCGCAGGGACGAGCGGATCTTGGCGCAGGCGAATCGCGGAGTTGTGGAACACTTGGGGGCCCCTTGTGGCGTGTTTTCCCTTTGAAGGTTGCTTTAAAGTTTAAAGTGATACATATATAATATGTTTCCCTAAAATTGGGGGGGTCAAAGCAAGGGTTCCTTATCAAGACGAACCGAGTCATATTGTAGGATCTTTGTCGCTGAGCGCATCGCTCCCGTTTCTTGCTTTGCCACGAGCCGTTGGTATGGGATCAGCTGCCATTTGCTTAGTAAGTACTGGATATGTTGGGCATGCCCCATGTTCCCCAAACCTTTTGCAATCTCAATTACACTCGGTGCCAGTTCCTTGAACATCATCTTTCCAAGACCCAGTATGAGACAATAGTCGAAGAGTGGCGAATGCAGCGAGCGAGTTTCGCCGGAGAGTTTGCTAGGCAGGTCCGCAGTGCTGAGCAGGACAACCCCAGCATGATGCGAATCAAGACTCTTAGAGAAGTAAATCGGGCACAGGGAGCACATGGGCTGCAAAAGATGAAAGCATCACTATTCAAGGAGGGCTGTGGTGAATGAGCTGCCTAAGGATGAAAAGAAGTGAACCAAGATTGAAACGAGGAGAAACAAGGTTGAAACAAGTGATCTGACATCCCAGGTCAAGCAAGTCATCCAAGATGAAAATCAGTGTTGGGAAAAACACAAACACGCGCGCTCTGGTGAGTGTTTTCAGGCGTCAGTTATACGTGATATGTGACATACCTGTTAAATTGGCCATCTTCAGACGACCGTCAGATTCAACGCGGACCCTGGTCAACCAACTAGCAGTCACGCGTCAGGAGACCCAAGAAAGGATCTGACTCTTGACTCTACAGGGCACCCCCGGACCAATAACTCGAGTCAATTTGGACTGTTTAAAATCACAAGGAAAACAAGAGAGGATCCTGAATCCACTGCATGTGTATTTGAATACCATTCGAAATGACCATTTTATACATTCACATGTTTGGTGGTTTCATACATTTTGCGTGCTCCATCAAACCCGAGGCTTCAGTTGCAGTGTGCAGGCCACGCAAGCAGCCGCAGCGCTGCAAACTGCGCAAGCTGCGCAACTGCCAGGCGCGTGGCTGAGCATCGTTAGGAAAATGTTAGGAAACTCAGCGTGGCGCGGATGCATTGCTTCATGCGCTTCAACCAAACAATGTAAGACAAAGAGTCGCTAGTGAGTTGGATAAGCTAATCTGTTTTACACAAAGCATGGTTCGAGGTCGCCCCAATAGCAGAGCTCCCTAAGCCCGCAGGCGATGAAATTCAATAAGAAACACACCCAAAATGAATTGTGGACAAACATCTCAATGTAAATGGAATGATGTCCACCTCGTTGAAATTCGCTATAATTCATACCCAAGCAGGCCGCTGCAGATCGCCATCTAGTCAGACACCAACACCAGCTATTTGAGGGCATCCGCGGCAAAGACGTCTCTTGGGTATTTGAGGTTTGCTGGAGACGCTACATTTGTACATCTTCCACGCATGCAAGGATGATTCTCGCATTTCTGGTCGGGGTGTTGATAGAGTGCCGAAGCGAGCGCCTGAACCGCGTTCCTTGGGAACTTATTGAGACGGCGAACCTGGCATGACAAGATGCGGCGCACTGCAGTTAAAAGATGTTGTGCAAACTTTGCTTGACATGCAGTCACACCCCATGACACCCTCCACCGACAAGTGCTGCAACATCCGCACAGAGTCGTAGGCCATCCTCACCCAAGGCACGGCAAGATACAGACCAAACAGTGGGAAAACGCAGAGCGTGGCGTTCAGCGCTTTCGCAGAACATGTATGAGGCACCGACGAGCAAGCCATGCTGCGAGAGTATATACAACATATTCTAAATATTATGTTATGATTGTCCCTGGATTACTTGACAAAGACCATCCTTATCAAAGAACAGCTGCTCAAGCAATAGTCCACCCTGAATCATGCTACAAATCTGGGGAATAATTCCTGCAGACATGCTACTGCTTTTGGGAGGTCTCCGTTAGAAGGAGTTTAACACGAACGACCAAACACTGGAGATCCACTCGTGGCGACGGATTATTTGCACGCCGGCGCCCTTGGTTTTTGAAGTAGGCCTAGGTGTGCCAGCCAAATTGGGCGGCTGATGTTCCAGTGTTGTGCAACGCAGAATGCGTCTCTGAGTCAGCAATACAAATTTGGCACCACATCTTCTGTTGCGTGATGATTTCATGCGGACGCGAGTGCAACGCCCTTCTGGTAGCTTGCACAGGCAGCAACAGTGCACAAACAGCTAATTAGTTCAAGATGAATTACGACATCGCATCTTTTCAACCCTGCCATGGCTTGCCATACAAACAGCTCTGTTCCTTGGTGATGCCGCTGTTGGGCTGATTGGTTTTCTGTCGAACTCCCTCTCAAGCCATGAACAACTGCGGTGTTCCATTTTGAGAGAGACCCATCTTGCCCCTTTCCTATGTAGGTCAAATTGTTTGGCAGGCTTCCCCTTTCGTGCTTGCCCCCTTTTCCCGAACCTCACATCAGTTCTGGTCCGGGCTTGGCTGCTTCAAGCAACTGTGGGTGACTGTGAGAACCTTTAAGTCAAGTGGTTTGACCAAATGAGGGGCTTGTTTCGGGGTAATGTTAACCCAGGATTAGCAAACCCCTGGTTGGTTCCTAGAAAATTGTCCCCTAGTGGGGATTCAGACCACTTTTGGAGGGAGCACCCCCCTTAATGGGACGGGTCTATTAATTTTGGGTCAACACCGCCAATGGCCACATGGGCAACGCCACCATGGGCAAGGAGCGACCTCCAACGGCGTCACCGAGCTTTCCGAGCCGCTCAGCGAGCTGAAGAACGCTTATCCATGAAAACTGTAGATCAACATTTTGGCTGTGGTTGTCAAAACCGTTTTGGGATCCCATTTTGGGATAGGTGATGTTTTTTTTTTTTTTTTTTTTTTTTTTTTTTAAAAATATATTTTAGAGCTTATTTTAGGGGATTGGGATGTTCACTGGGGGTACGATTCGGATTTTGAACCATGGCCATTTGTGAGAATGTGTTGATGTTGGATCCATGTTGAACAGAGAAGTTGAGAGGCGGTGGTTGTCCTTGTTAGACGGTCCCTACAAATCAGAAAGAGGGTGCCCAAGCGGTATACAGTCGCTTCAACGTGTATATATATATGTATATATATATATATATATACATATAATATATATATATATATATATATTCAGAATATATACACATGTGCTGATTATGCCGTGATAAAGCCATATATCATATTTTAACGCCTCCGGCTCAGGCCGCCGACATTACAGGCCTGCTTTCTTATTTGCGTCCCTTTGGAATTGTCCCCTTGCCCCCTTCCCCTCTGAGATTTTTGCCCCCCTTTCTTTGTTGAGATCCATTCCCCCTTTCCGCCCTAAGGCCTTTTCTCCCTCTGATTTTTCCCTTTTCCTCCCTAAGATGTTTTCCCCCCTCTCCCTGTTGAGATCCTTTCCCCCCTTTCCCCCCTAAGGCCTTTTCCCCCCTGAGATCTTCTCCCTTTTCCTCCCTTTCCCCCACTTTCCCCCCTACGGCCTTTTCCTCCCTGGGATCTTTTTCCTTTCCTCCCTGAGATCTTTCCCCCCCTTTCCCTGTTGAGATCCTTTCCCCCCTTTCCCCCCTACGGCCTTTCCCCCCGCTGAGATCTTCTCCCTATTCCTCCTTAAGATCCTTTGCCCCCTTTCCCTGTTGAGATCCTTTCCCCCCTTCCCTTTAAGGCCTTTCCAGATCTTCTCCCTTTTCCTTCCTAAGATTGTTTCCCGCCTTTCCCTGTTGAGATCCTTCCCACCCTTTCCCCCCTCAGGCCTTTCCCCCCCCCTGAGAGCTTCTCCCTTTTCCTTCCTTAGATCTTTCCCCCCTTTCCCTGTTGGCCTTTTTCTCTCAGATCTTCTCCCTTTCCTCCCTAAGATCTTTTCCACCCCTTTCCCTGTTGAGATCATTTCTCCCCTTTCCCCTCTACGGCCTTTGCCCCCAGATCTTCCCCCTTTCCTCCCTAAGATCTTTCCCCCCCTTTCCCTGCTCAGATCCTTTCCCCCCTTTCCCCCCTAAGGCCTTTCCCCCCCTGAGATCTTCTCCCTTTTCCTCCCTAAGATCTTTTGCCACCTTTCCCTGTTGAGATCCATTCCCCCTTTCCCCCCTAAGGCCCTTTCTCCCTCTGAGTTTTTCCCTTTTCCTCCCTACGATGTTTTCCCCCCTCTCCCTGTTGAGATCCTTTCCCTCCTTTCCCCCCTAAGGCCTTTTTTCCCCCCGCGATCTTCCCCCTTTTCCTTCCTAAGATCTGTTCCCCCCTTTCCTTGTTGAGATCCTTTCCCGCCCTTTCCCCCCTAAGGCGTTTTCCCCCCCAAGATCTTCTCCCTTTTCCTCCCTAAGATCCTTTGCCCCCTTTCCCTGTTGAGGTCCTTCCCACCCTTTCCCCCCTAAGGCCTTTCCCCCCCTGAGATCTTCCCCCTTGTCCTCCCCAAGATCTTTTCTCTTGGTTGAGATCCTTTCCCCCTTTCCCCCCAAGATCTTCTCCCTTTTCCTCCCCAGGATCCTCTCCCACCTTTCCCTGTTGAGCTCCTTTCCCCCTTTTCCCCCTAAGGCCTTTTCAGATCTTCTCCCGTTTCCTCCCGAAGATCCTTTGCCCCCTTTCCCTGTTGAGATCCTTTCCCCCTTTCCCCCCTAAGGCCTTTTCCCTGCCTGGGATCTTCTCCCTTTCCTCACTGAGATCTTTCCCCCCCTTTCCCTGTTGAGATCCTTTCCCTCCTTTCCTTCCTAAGGCCTTTCCCCCCGCTGAGATCTTCTCCCTATTCCTCCTTAAGATCCTTTGCCTCCTTTCCCCGTTGAGATCCTTTCCCTTCTTCCCTTTAAGGCCTTTCCAGATCTTTTCCCTTTTCCTTCCTAAGATTGTTTCCCCCCTTTCCCTGTTGAGATCCTTCCCACCCTTTCCCGCCTAAGGCCTTTCCCCCCTGAGAGCTTCTCCCTTTTCCTTCCTTAGATCTTTCCCCCCTTTCCCTGTTGGCCTTTTTTCCCCCAGATCTTCTCCCTTTCCTCCCTAAGATCTTTTCCACCCCTTCCCTGTTGAGATCATTTCTCCCCTTTCCCCTCTAAGGCCTTTGTCCCCAGATCTTCTCCCTTTCCTCCCTAAGATCTTTCCCCCCCCCCCTTTCCCTGCTGAGATCCTTTTCCCCCTTTCCCCCCTAAGGCCTTTCCCCCCCCTGAGAGCTTCTCCCTTTTCCTTCCGAAGATCTTTTCCCCCCTTTCCCTGTTGGGCTTTCCCCCCTAAGTCCTTTTCTCCCAGATCTTCTCCCTTTCCTCCCTAAGATCTTCCCCCCCCTTTCCTCCCTAAGATCTTTCCCACCCTTTCCCTGTTGAGATCCTTTCCCCCCTTTCCCTCCCAAGGCCTTTCCCCCCCCTGAGAGCTTCTCCCTTTTCCTTCCTAAGATCTTTTCCCCCCTTTCCCTGTTGGGCTTTCCCCCCTAAGTCCTTTTCTCCCAGATCTTCTCCCTTTCCTCCCTAAGATCTTCCCCCCCCCCTTTCCTTCCTAAGATTGTTTCCCCCCTTTCCCTGTTGAGATCCTTCCCACCCTTTCCCCCTGAGGCCTTTCCCCCCCTGAGAGCTTCTCCTTCCTTAGATCTTTCCCCCCTGTCCCTGTTGGCCTTTTTTCCCCCAGATCTTCTCCCTTTCCTCCCTGAGATCTTTTCCACCCCTTTCCCTGTTGAGATCATTTCTCCTTTCCCCCCTAAGGCCTTTGCCCCCAGATCTTCTCCCTTTCCTCCCTAAGATCTTTCCCCCCGTTTCCCTGCTCAGATCATTTCCCCCCTTTCCCCCTAAGGCCTTTCCCCCCCTGAGATCTCCCTTTTCCTCCCTAAGATATTTTGCAATTTTTCCCTGTTGAGATCCATTCCCCCTTTCCCCCCTAAGGCCCTTTCTCCCTCTGAGTTTTCCCTTTCCTCCCTACGATGTTTTCCCCCCTCTCCCTGTTGAGATCCTTTCCCTCCTTTCCCCCCTAAGGCCTTTTTTCCCCCCGCGATCTTCCCCCTTTTCCTTCCTAAGATCTTTTCCCACCTTTCCTTGTTGAGATCCTTTCCCGCCCTTTCCCCCCTAAGGCGTTTTCCCCCCCAAGGTCTTCTCCCGTTTCCTCCCTAAGATCCTTTGCCCCCTTTCCCTGTTGAGATCCTTTCCCCCCTTTCCCCCCTAAGGCCTTTCCCCCTCTGAGATCTTCTCCCTTGTCCTCCCCAAGACCTTTTCCCTTGGTTGAGATCCTTTCCCCCTTTCCCCCCGAGATCTTCTCCCTTTTCCTCCCTAGGATCTTCTCCTACCTTTCCCTGTTGAGCTCCTTTCCCCCTTTTCCCCTTAAGGCCTTTTCAGATCTTCTCCCTTTTCCTCCCTAAGATCCTTTGCCCCCTTTCCCTGTTGAGATCCTTTCCCCCTTTCCCCCCTAAGGCCTTTTCCCTGCCTGGGACCTTCTCCCTTTCCTCACTGAGATCTTTCCCCCCCTTTCCCTGTTGAGATCCTTTCCCCCCTTTCCCCCCTACGGCCTTTCCCCCCGCTGAGATCTTCTTCCTATTCCTCCTTAAGATCCTTTGCCCCCTTTCCCTGTTGAGATCCTTTCCCCCCTTCCCTGTAAGGCCTTTCCAGATCTTCTCCCTTTTCCTTCCTAAGATTGTTTCCCCCCTTTCCCTGTTGAGATCCTTCCCACCCTTTCCCCCCTCAGGCCTTTCCCCCCCCTGAGAGCTTCTCCCTTTTCCTTCCTTAGATCTTTCCCCCCTTTCCCTGTTGGCCTTTTTTCCCCCAGATCTTCTCCCTTTCCTCCCTAAGATCTTTTCCACCCCTTTCCCTGTTGAGATCATTTCTCCCCTTTCCCCCCTAAGGCCTTTGTCCCCAGATCTTCTCCCTTTCCTCCCTAAGATCTTTCCCCCCCCCCTTTCCCTGCTGAGATCCTTTTCCCCCTTTCCCCCCTAAGGCCTTTCCCCCCCCTGAGAGCTTCTCCCTTTTCCTTCCTAAATCTTTTCCCCCCTTTCCCTGTTGGGCTTTCCCCCCTAAGTCCTTTTCTCCCAGATCTTCTCCCTTTCCTCCCTAAGATCTTCCCCCCCCCCTTTCCTCCCTAAGATCTTTCCCACCCTTTCCCTGTTGAGATCCTTTCCCCCCTTTCCCTCCCAAGGCCTTTCCCCCCCTGAAGATCTTTTCCCCCCTTTCCCTGTTGGCCTTTTTTCCCCAGATCTTCTCCCTTTCCTCCCGAAGATCTTTTCCACCCCTTTCCCTGTTGAGATCATTTTTCCCCTTTCCCCCCTAAGGCCTTTTTGCCCCAGATCTTCTGCCTTTCCTCCCTCAGATCTTCCCCCCCCCCCCCCCAGTTCCCTGTTGAGATCATTTATTTCCACCCTTTTCCTTCTAAGGCCTTTTCCCACCCTCAGTTCTTCTCCCTTTTCCTCCCAAAGATCTTTCCCCCCCTTTCCTCCCTAAGTCCTTTTCCCTGAGTTCGTCTCCCTTTGCCTCCCTAAGATCTTTTCCCCCCTTTCCCGCTTAAGATCCTTTCCCCCGTTTCCCCCCTAAGGCCTTTTCCCCCCAAGATCTCCACCCTTCTCTTCCCAAAGTCTTTTTCCCCCTTTCCCGTTTGAGATCCTTTCCCCCCATTGCCCCTTAGGGCCTGTCCCCCCCGAGAAAGATTTCCATTTTCCTCCCAAAGATCTTTTCCCCCCTTTCCCCCTTAAGGTATTTTTTCCCCAGATCTTCTCCCTTTCCTCCCTGAGATCTTTCCCCCCCTTTCGCTGTTGAGATCCTTTCCCCCTTTCCCCCCTTCATTTCCTTCACCAGCATGGGCAACATCCCCAGCATCACTTGCATCATCCGCATCCTTGGCAGGCGCTGATGCGGATGATGCAGGTGATGCTGGCGATGTGCCGCTGGAGCTGCTAAGGATGCGAAAGCGCACCTGGGGGGAATCGAACACCCCAATGTTTTTGACAAACTGAGTTGCGCAAGCCCGCACAATGAACAGATTTAGTGAAGCGTCTTCGAGTTCGAGTCACCGCGTGGTACGTGGACCCCCCCCCCCCGGCAATAGTCTGAAATGGTGCCCCTGGGGAGGGGTTAGGGGAGGGGAACAGGTAAAGATGTAAGGAGCATTTTTTGTGTCCAACACGCTGTCTGTTGTCGGCGGATAGTGCAGTGGGTAATACGTTGTAGTAGTTCCTAGTTTCCATGTTGTCATGTTTGCTCTGCCGAAGTGCAGTGTGGCTGGGGCCTACCCAAACAATCATCGAGGTAACGACGAGATGACCAGCAGCATGTCGTGACGTCTGGTTTTTGACGTCTGGTCAAAAACAGGTAGCCGAAATGGAGCCCTGGTAGAGGGAAAGAAGACTAAAACCTGCGGTCCCTGGTGGCAGCCTGGTGGTGTAGTTTTGACCCACACCCACATAATGACAGGGGTCTCACCTTTAAGAGAGGCACACCATGTCACCCTTCTCGGATGTCAATGGATAATTCTTCTGACAGCCATATTATTCCAGCTGCGCTGAAGCGCTGAAGCGTGCGGAATGTCACAGTGAGGATACATTAGAGCAACGTGTAGGAGGGACAGGAGGCGAAACGCTAAGAATGGCCCCATGGTTCCACGGATTACAATTCAAATTGCCATGTCTTACCATGTCGCTTGGCCGCCTCGGTTTGGTTCCAAACCGGGTTACCAAGTCCAGTAAATCCCATGCAGGAGGTTCATAAGCCCGTATACAGCCAAACGGAGGTGGCCAGGTAGGGTGCCCAACAAAGAAGAATCACCGAACCGTATGGTTCGCTCCCAGGAAGGCAGCATCTGATGACCAGTTGCCATCTGCGTTGGAAAGGCACTCTAGTATGGCTCGATGTGCTTATCGCGTGGCTTCGTGATTTTGGGCGCAGTGAATGCTATCATTGATTCCTCAACACTGGTTTAAGGTGACCAGGTCTAGCTTCCTGCTTATTGGTAGCTGGCCTGTTCAACAAGCAATGCTTTAACCGTCGCCATCGCTTCAGTCGGTAGGTGGGTAGGTGTGTTGCCGCAAAGACCTACAGTAAATCGACTCTGTGGATTTGCATGGGCCCTTTTGCAAAGTTCGCAGTGTTGATTCCCCATTCTCTTCACCCAGCGTTCTCTTTGGAAACCCATTTTCCAGGGTTTTGGCCCATTTGAAGAGAATGATGCCTGAGAATGGGGAGGCTACTGCTCGAAAACAAAAAAAATGGACGGCCGCCAAGAACCGGGGGGGGGGGTGGGGGGGGGGGAGTCCAACGTGCTCTTTGGGCCCACAGGACCTGGCTTCGTTGCGATATTTGGTGTGAACGGGAGGCTGCGGGGTTTGTTTTTGGTTGGACACCAGAAGGGAGTTAGTTCGTCAAAGAGGGGTTCTACATCTTTAGTTTCTGTTAGTTCTGGCTTCCTATCAAAACCCACCCTGGCCTATGATTTAGTGGCCAGTCACCCATGAGTCGAGAGTCACCCAGCTTCAAGCCTCAAGACTTGGCCTGGATTTGCTTGGAGCCGACTTTTGAAGAGCCTTGAAGTACCGCGCATGTCAGGCTTGCTCGGGAGTTAGGCTGGTGCATGATTCTTAGAACGCATAGAGTGTGTTACCCAACGTAGGGGCCATTCCCCGATGTCATTTTTCGTCGCCTTCACAGGGATCCCAAAAGAGATCAACATCGTTTTTGCTTGAAAACAACTTCCATGCGCATCCTGAAGATAGGCGCTGTTGTTTTACTGCTTTGGATGGGACACGTGGGACCTGCGACCTTGCGCAGGGGACGGGCTGCCGGCGAGCAAGCTGGGAACCCGGCTGCGTTTGTCAAAATAGGCCTTAGGGAGACCCCCTCAAAATGAGTGGTGTCCTTCTGGTGTGCCTTTAGGCCCCAACAAAAACCAAGTGCTCTCACAAAACACACCCAGATTAGCAAGCCCATTGATTCATGGGGTCGGTCCGTTTTTGAGGGGATCCCTCACATTTTGGCGAAACACCTCCCTAATCATACACCGGGTGGGTGGAGCTGGGGTCGACGTGTCAAACTGGGGGCTGACTCCTTGGTCACTTGTGTCCCTTCATGTGTCCCTCAGATGGGGCCGCCATTCTTTACCGAGATCCTCAAGCCAAAGCACGAAGCCCGGGCCGCCATGTGGGGTAGTTGTGGCCAGAAACATGACCGAACCATTTAGTGAATGAGCCTCATTCCTTCGATCAGGTTGCCCAGGGGTGAGTAAGATTGGTGGCTTGACTGCCAGCGGTTGACAAATGCCTTCCCCATATAGGTTTATCATCCTTCTTACTTGGGGGACGCATAAGGAATAGTGCCATCTACTTTCACCCTGGTGTAGATGGCAACGTTTTATTCAGCCTGGATTGCAAGCATCATGCGATTCATCACACAAATCCGTGAACGGAATGATAATTGTCAATTCGACTTTCGAGATTGACATGTTACACATGTGCGTAGTGCGGTGCAATTTGGAATTCGCTGACTGCCTTGTCACTTGCACAAAGTCACAATGCCACATTATGGCGAGAGGTCCCAAAGTGGAAAGTTTTGCCGCCCCCTTGAGACTTGTTCAATCACCAGGAAACCAACTATTTCAATCAGGAAACACACACGTGCCACTTCTTGAGAATTATCATTCGTGAGGTCGCGGACTTTTTTCTTTGCACCATGTACACTGTGCCGGGCTCTAGCCAGTTGACCATTGCCCAGCCCATGGACCAAGTCTCCCGGGCGATTCCACGGCTTAAACGTTGTTTGCTGGGTTGGGAATTCTTAAAGAAATTGTCCCGACCCATCACGCGCCAACCTCGAACTTTGGACTGGGGGCCATCCACAAGTTAGTGTTGGTGGTTCTTTTGCAACAGATATTCTGGGCAATATTATCTGGGGTAGACTTAGGATACAATTCTTCATTTGACCAGTGACTCAAAGTGAAGCAAGCAATAAAATGTACATTTTATAACTGGGGCCTAAGTCCAATCATGCTATGAGGGAGGTTTCTCCTTGGCTATGGTCCGCAGCTGGGGCTGCAGTCCATTGACTCAGGCCACTGCGACTGCAAGCGTCCCAAAGCTCGACGCGCAACCACAAGGCGAGCTGAGTACGGTATCGAATATGGGGATTGGTCGAAATGGAGGGTCCCCGGGGTCCCCCATCTTTCGACAGCCTCAGGGGAAATATTGTATACATATATATATATATATGTTGATCTATATTATATATATACACACACACACGCCCTGATCCTTCTTTTCTGGCCAGAGATGCTTGAGAGCACATGCATGGTGTTCCGGCTTCTGACGCAAAATAGGGTTTTGAGGGTTTTCTGCACGCAGGCTGCTTCGTGACATATGCTGCTCCAAGTGCTCTAGGCGTTGATTTCTTTTTGCACTCTATGTATGGCGTAGTATAGTCAGCGGGCTTAGCGATTATTGGTCGAAAGTTCAGTTGCCAATTGTGTCAAGATACGTTTGCCACGGTGCCACCAGCAAGTATGGCAAAATGTGTGATCCTTGGGGTCGATCAGTACACGAGCTGATCAGCTTGAAAGGCGCAATCTTCTGCGAGCAGATGGCCTGCTACCGAAGTAAAAAGGCCCACTCTGTCCCCACTGTGATGTTGGCAGACTGGGCCCTACAACACGCGAGTCAAAAGCATTGGGCATAGCGGTGCAAAAAAGAACATGCCACAAAATTGACCAGCGACACGGATTGATCAGCGACGCGGATTCCACTTATTGTCTTTGGCCAGTCGGGTAGTCGTTTTCGCTGCGATCTTCGGAATCATAACGCGGTTTCGCAGTTAACAATGAAACCCGCTTTTTTTGTTTCACGGTATCATGTTTTGCAGAGCTGGATCATGAGAGGCGGTCTGGTTATGCACATGTAGAGTATATGATATGTAAACTTGGAATAGCTACATCTACACACACAGGCACATCAGCGTCAGCGAGCGTGTCAACATACGGACATTGGGAAGCTTCGTGCCTGGCTGACAGGCACCCATCAAAGAAAAGAGCGGGCAGGTCGCTGGCAACAGTGGGTTTCAAGAACTCCTTTGGCTGCAAAGAGTTGTGTCACATGTCTTCTTGCTTCCCCAGAAGATGTTGCTTCAATGTGGCTTCCTCACCATAATTGACAACCACGGCAATTTTGAGTGAAGCGCAGAATGTTGACAAGCTCTTGAAACCTGCTGATTGAAGTCTGTAGGACCCATGTTTCCCTTGCCTCAGCGAGAGTGATCATTTCGCCACTTGAGCAGCTTCTCAAGTTAGAAATCCCCAACCAAGCGGACCAAACATTGCCAAAGCTTTCCCAAAGTTACCACTACTTCCTTGGCCCCAACCTTTCCCTAATCCAAGTCCTTACCCTGGGCTGCAGGATAAAAAAAACCTCCACCAGATGATCCCCTTGAAGGGGAAACTGAGGGCGGTTGCTTCAGCGTGTTTCGAAGCTGCTGGCCCAACGACACCCAAGCAACGGAGACCTTTGCTGTCCGGAGGTCCAAGGCCTTTGGAGGAGAACTTCTTTGAGAAGCTGGGCATCGAGTGGCGGCCCCAAGTTGCTGGGCGCGAAGCTCAAGTGAGTGTGGCCCAAAACAGGAAGGGGTACGCAGGTGCTTGGTCCATGTTTCCACTTCCCAGGGTTTCGTTTTGGTACCGGTTTTTTGAGCCACAGCCAAGTGACCTTGCAGGTGGACATCATTTGGCTGTGGTTGTGAAAACCGTTTTGGGATCCCATTTTGGGGGGTGTTCGGTGCACCACCAATATTAGAACCTATTTTAGTGCTTGGATTGGGATGTTCACTGGGGGTACGATTTTGATTTTGACCTATGGCCTATGGCCATTTAGACCAATGGCTTTTGAGGTTCAGTTGAGAATCAGAGCCCGTCACGATATAGAAGCTCGTCTTTTGTGAGGACACGGTGCTCCCAAATGTCCCACAAGAACGGGGGGGGGATTGACGTCCAAAATGATAAAGGGGGGTTTCCAAACTTTTTAATGTCTGTCGGTGAGAGGAAGCAACTATTTGTGTCCGTTGCTCAGCTGCGCAGTGCATTCTGTCCTACAAATTCCTTGTCGTTTTGGAGGTCTTTCTATCAGTCCATGGTCCATTTGCTACTTGGGCAAAGTGTAATTGAACCTCAGGAGGGTAGCGACCTTGCCCATCAACGATGTTCGAGTTCCTTTCTTGGGATTCCTCGATCTGTTTCTTGGTGGCAAATTGCAACTTTGGGGATAATCAGGTAATGGGGACGATGCTCAGGAAGCAAAACTTACCCAGAAATTCAAAGGTCCCAGGGTTGTAACCCTTCGATCGTCGGGCAATAGTCCTTCAAGCGGGAAAACACGAGGGGGGCAATTTGATGCATGATCAATGGTAGCACGAAGCAGGGATTATTCAGCAAAGTCCCACGTCAGCTCGGAACATGCATGATAGTTGCAGTTGCTTGTGGCATTGCGCCAGTACCTGTGGATTGCACAAGACAAGTTTGTTTCCGGTCAATTGATTTGCAGGTTGGGCATGTATTGTTGTATCAAGTGGTGGCCCAACTTTGCAAAACGGCGCCCCCCCCCCCCCCCCTAGCCGTTTTGAGATGCTTTGTGATTCTTGGGGGCAGCAAGTCCCAACCTTCCATGTTCCACCAAGACGAGGCTGGTTGGACAGGTTGCATGCCTCGAGAGACAGCCGCTTCGCAGTGCCAAGATTGCCAGACGTTTTTTTACCTCTTCGGCTTTTCCCTGTTGATTTCCCTGCCAAAGACCTGGTGTTGTTTGAGTGGCTGCTACCTTTGGACCAGAGGCCTTTGGACAAAATGATCACCCAGCCATAGACTTGTTTTGGGCTTGTGCCGTGCACCCCCGTATATAAAAGCTATTAGCTACTGTTTCGGGATAATTTGTCATATTGTGAACATAGGCCCTTAGGGGTCCCTTGTTAGACCCGTTCTAGTTCTCCCACGTTTTGAGCCAAATTCATTGGGCCTGCGGTGCAAAGTGTGTTGGAAGCATTGCTTTCGGTTGGTCGCGGATATGTCAGGTGCCGTGTTTCGTGTGAGACAGCCGGAGAAAAGTTGCTTCTTGGTGGCTCCCAGCCATCCGGTTCCTTAGCCTTTTAGACTTTGAGTGTTTAGTGGGGGTTTCCATTTGACCCACCAAAAGTTAGTCACTTTTAGCGGGTCTGAGGGCAGCCCAGGCTTGTGGCTGTGGGTCCTGCCATTTTGATACCCGTTTTGGACATTTTCCAGCAGCGTCAGTGCCATGTTGGCCAGGTTCTTGGAGGCTCGCGCAAAGTGGCGAGTCAGATTCATTTACCCACCAGCTAACATGGGTTTGTGCACAGACCCCTGTAGAAACACGACTTTCCTCTTGATTAGTTGGCCTTTTTGCGTACAAACCCATGTTAGTTGGTGGGAGGGTACCGAAGGGAAGTAGGGGAGGAGTAACTTGTTGATTCTCGTTGGCACCCAGACGCCCTTAGACAATGTGATGCCCTTTGCTGTTTGAACTATGGTTGTAAACCTACAAACCCCTTTCATCCCAAGGAAGCCGCTGGGTTTTTGCTGAGATGCTTTAAGGAGAATTCGGCGGCTACTGTTGTGAATCCGGTGGTGTTAGAGATATTTGTTTTTGGTGGAAGGTCTTAGAAGAAGCAAAACAAGTAGCCCAATACAAGCAAAACAACTGGTCAAAAGCAACTATGTTGGGGAGGTCTTTGTGATGTTTTGTCCACTTCCATTTGCTTAAGAAAATGTTGTTTTTTTGTTAATTAATTTTGCCCTGTTGGTTTTAAAGGGAATCGATTTCACTACTGGACATATTTTTCCCAGATGTCTTAACCAAATGGAAGTCCATAAACCCAGCATTGGGTTGGACCAAGCATCAGCTGGCCCCCTGCTGGGAGTTGCTGGTTTTTTGCCCAGGCCAACGCCACTCTCTTCCGACGACGAGGATTTTCAGCTGCCAAAAAAATGGCAACGGCGGCTCCTTGACGTGGTTCTAGGGGTTGATTCCTTGTCCATTCTTTTCAGCCATCGTTCTTTTCAAGAACCAGCCATTTCCCCAGTGGTTTTGGTTTTCTAGAAAGAAGGATCCCTGGAAAGAACGGGGAAGTTACCCCCAGAGTGGTGTCTACCCCGTGCTTATTGATGCGGACCAGTCCAAATCATGTAGAGGGGGAGTCTCTTTTTGGGGGCTATCCTTTTGGGTTCCATGCAAATGTGAACGGCATAGTCCAAAGTGGGTGAGACCCTTTGCTCATGGGAGGGATTAACATTTTAGCGATATGTCAGATTTTCCAGAGTCCAGATTTCCCATTGTATACACACACACACATATTGGTGACGCTGGTGCAGCCCCTGGTCTGTCTATGGACCTGGCCCGAAAAAAGAAGCAGCAGAGCTCAGAGGCCAGGCATCAAAGTCCGAGGTAGTCAGCAGCCAGGAGTTGTCGTTGAAGTACAGTGGGGTGAAACGAAGATGACACCATTCCCTCAGGGGAAGAAAAGGCGATGACTAAACCAACATGGGGGAATTGTGGCATCTGCTTTCCCTGGTGTAGAGGGTCCCGAGAGCTATGCAACCGGTGGCCGCGAAATGGTTGGGTTGGCAAAATGGCAAAACGCTCCCAAGTCGAGGACTTGTCCAAGCCGAAGCCTAGTTGTTTGGGACCGCCACGTGCCAGTCGCGAGGATTTGATGCTAGAGCCACGATATGCTCAAGCTGCAACACTCATAGACCTCCTTGTAGGAGGTTGTGATGCAAATGAGGATGCATTTGCTGAGAGAACAACAGCTTGACGCGCTCAGCGCAAGGACTTCGGTTTGACTTTTATGTTCTGATCCATGGGGAAATGACCATGTTCTTACCTGGCAAAGTGGTTGACGTGTTGCAAGGGGTGAAAAGTTGGCGACTAGCCCGATTCAACGGCCTTGCCCACTTAGCAGGCCCTTGGCTACTTGGGATGGGTGCTGGAATTTCAACTCACTAGAGCCAGCTTTTCTGTTCTGAGAGTGCGCACTGTGCACGGAGATGCCCAATCCTGGACGCAAGGTGCGAGGAATGTGTTTCAATTTGCATGTGAAATGCAATCCACAAAACACACGCTTCAGCAGCAATTGCATGGCAACAAGGCCACTTCTACACGCAACCATGTGTATGCAAATGTACTTAGACTTACACAAATACGTGTAATGCATGTACACTACTATGTTTAGGCACAGACACTTGTGGGCATTCAGCAGAATACAGTGACAAACATATCAACCACATACATATCATATATATATATATATACACATGTCTATATACATACAGACGCACATGGCGAACACCCACGCGCACAAACACGTAGCCACACACACACACACAGCCACAGCCACACCCACACGCACATGCACACACGTGTATTTCTATATATATATACACTCTATGAATAAGCATGACCTGCGTATGTACGCAGGGTTCCACTTTTCGACTACCCCAAGATTGGCTTAAACCCAGGCATGCTCCTTTTGGGGGGAATGGACCACCTCTGAGTTTAAGCCTTCTGCGGGGTAGTCAAAAAGTGGACCCCTGTATGTACGTTGCTACATGACACTTGCACTCTGAGTGTCAGATATATTCACGAGGTGTCCAAGCGCTCTCTTGCGCCATGGCGAGCTCGGCACGGCGCGTCATCCAAACCGCTCCGCAGGCAGGTAGCACGGGGCTCACTGGGAACCCCGAGGCGAAGTCGGTTTGAAGACAGGCCTCAAAATCACGGGACTGGTGCAGCAACCTACAGATGGTGTGTTGTTCTCTGTGTTTTCTCATGAGCTTCAGCAAGAATGAGCAAGAGAGTATTTTTGCGTTTCCCGCAGCGTCAGGTGGGCGGGCTTGAAGACAAGCATTTTGCCACTAAAGGTCAAACATATCTGCTTTCCCCTGAGGCGGGAGGCTCTCAGAATGTGCGGATAGACAGCAAGTCAGCAAGATGACCGCATTGAGCCATAGGTCCCAGGGTCACACCTGAAATGGCGAATGTGATCTGGGACTTGCGATGGATGGTGAAGAGGGTTTCATACATGTCCGGTTGAGAATCGGTGATCTTTCTTGTATCCTGAATAGACAGACCCAGAATGTGAGAAACACTTCGAGACATATCGGTTGAGTTTTGTCCATAGTCTTGAGCAAGCAAGGCCATTGAATCACTGCCAGTGTGTTTCTCAGGATGTCCAGGATGAGCCACGGTTGTCGTTGCTTGCTTGTGGTTGATGGAGCTGTTTGAATTCCGCGGGTGACCATGTTACTCTAGGTATGCATGAGTCAGCGTTGCGTTCCCGCTGAGGGTCAGTGGCACTCTGTGGCAGCCCCTGTAACGTTCATTCACTAAAAAAGGTTCGGTGTGCTGAAATGTGTTTGTTTCTTTCTTTTTTTCCCTTGTTGGTTTTAAAAGGAATCTATCACTACTGCAAATATTTTGTACTTTTTCGCGGGGGCTTAAGCAAATGGAAGAAAAGGTTCCTTCTTCTACCGCTCGGGTCACGGGGCAGGAATCCTATGCTTGACGCTCGTTCTCCCGTAGGTGACTTGGCATGCCACGCTTGCGTCCTATGCGCTGCTGCTCTTGAGCTGCGGCATACTTGCGGCTGTGTATGCCAGCACCAAGGCGACGGCTCTTAGGTGGAATGCTGAGCCATGGTCTAGGGGTGAACTCCTCCTTTTCGCAGGGTGTCTCCCAAAACTATATCTTTATGTTGGAGTTGACTGCACATGAAACATCAACGATATGTTTTTGGTACCTCCAATCATTATGTGCTTGACCTGCTGTCCTATGTCTAGTCTTCGGATGCTTGCCCTGATGTTGCTCACGATGTGTCTACTCAAGTGATCAAGAGCCCTTGCCCATGAGTATGTCCTTTTCCCGCGTTTTTTTGTTTTTAGTAAGTGAGTCAAAGTGAGTTGTGCAGACAGGTCACTGTTCACGAGTTGGGTCTGTGTCTAAAACATGGTCCCCTTCACGTGCTCGATCGTATGTAGATTTCCGTTGAACAGGGTTCCACAAGTGGTCTTGACGTAATTCCCATGTGGGCTTGTCTCACAACATGTGAAACCCCTGAAACAGTTTTCTATTCACCTGCAAAGATAGGGGGTTTGCTTTGGTTTCCCCAAAACAACGGCCAACCAGAAAAGGGCTTTCCTTGGATCTTCCGTCAAACCAAACAACGTGCTTTTGAGAAAGGACACTTCTACATGTACCTGATTCTTTTGCCGCGATCCTTTTGCAGGACTGGGCTGTTCACACGGAGGAGGAGCTTTTGCAAGCACCTCAGAAGCAATGAGTGATTTGCCTGGTTTTACAAAACGGAGAGGGCGCCCTTGTGGTTTTTCCATAAGGAGAAACACAATGAAATGAGCAGCGAGCTTTTGACCCCTGACCTACTGGCCGGTATTTTTGCAGAGCTACAGAAACCTTCATTGTTGGTGTCAATGAGTGTTGGGTGCTCACAGGAGACACGAATGCTTACGAACCCGCAGGGGTGTCTGATTGCAGTTTTAGTGGGTTTGCTTCCGCATTGATTCGATTCCACGGGTTTCTGGGTTCGAATCATGTACCAGCGACATCCAGAGTAATTTCCAGACTTGCTCCCACCTTGGTGATTGAAGGGTAGCTGAAAAGGAACCCAAGTATTATGTTTTACCAAGGCCTAGGGATACGCAGGTTTTAATCTTTGGTTCCATTTACCAAGGTGCCTTCTTTTGAGCCACAGACAAGTGGCCATGGGTCAAAATCCCGTACCCCCAGTGTGGTGCACCTACCCTAAATTGGTACCATTGCTTTTGACCCACAGCCAAATGAATGAGAGGAATCTGACCCTCATTTGCCCGACAGCGTTCACAGTCTATATGCCAGCAGTACCGGCTGCGGGCTGTTTGCATCTCCAGTTTCCGGCTGCCGACTCCCCACCCGGCGCAAAAAGCATCCACAAGCTGGGCTCCTTAAAAGATACATTTTGCAACCATTTGAAACATGTTGTTTTTTCCACCAAAATAAAGGGAAACCACCATTTACAAGGCAATGTTCAGGTGTATAATGTAAGGATCCTAAGCCCAAGTGAGGCCCTATATGCAGTTGTTGTTTTTGGGCTGGGGGGGGTCCAGGAAGGTTGTGGATTCACAGACTTTTGGATCCACCAGGCAAAAAGGTGGTGGCTGAAGTAAGCAGGGGTTGAAATGGGCGGGTCAGCATGCCGAAGTATCTGTTTGAGTAGCTGTTGAAAGCACGTAGACTCCGGCCCCCTTTGGAATCACTTCCGAGGCTTCATTGTCAAGCATGTGTTTTTTGATTGAAGGAATACTTTCTCGTACCCTACCACAAGACAAAAGCACCAACATGGGAAGGGGGCGACCCTTGTGATTGACCAGATTCCGCTCACGAAGGCAAGGCTCATCGCCAAAGCGTTTGTGCCAGCGAGACGTCTTCAGGCAATTTTCGACCAAGGAGGTTTGACCATGGCACCACGGATCGGGTTGACGCAGGCCAGCGTGCTTCATCCGCTGTTCAACACGGAGGACGGCTGAGGCTACACATGTTGCTTTTTCTCTTAAAGGGACGCGCCCAAATTGATTCAGCTGGTACAGCCGGGGCCCTTGTGAATGAGCCATGGGTAGATTGGCAATCCAGATAGTTACTGACTCCTTGAATTTGCTTGGCTTCCCTGCCCTTGAGAACAGACCCCTCAAGGGTGCCATCAATTAAAGACATGGCCATGCCAAAACCATGAACCCATCTGTGACACCAGTCTGGTAGGTCGTAGTTTGCACACGCAGGCAGGCCTGGCATGCGGAAGAGGGGAGCCAAGGCTTCCAGTGGCTCCTGTTTTCTCTTCTTATCGAGCAGTGGCTGCAGGTGTCCCTTCCAAATCGACCAAGGCAACCTTCCGCGTGACATGCCCGTTCGTCCTATCTGGAGGTATTGAACGGACACTTGGCTGTGGGTCAAAAATGCGTACCCAAAATGGAACCCTGATAAATGGAACCAAAGACAATTCTGCGGTCCCCCGGTGGGTTTATTTGATACTCACTTCTCTTTGCGGAGGAGCACTTTGCCGAGGACTACTGGAAGTCATCCATGCAGCTGCTCGGGCTGAGATTATAGAAGAGCAACGGAGTCAGAAAAACTTTGCAGGGGAGTGGTGATGCGGGTGGTGGGTTCCTTGTCCAATTTGATTTACTCACCTGCTTGATTCCCCCGTAGTGATGCATTGTAGTTGTCCATCGGGGGTCAAGCTGCTTGCCTGTGGAGTCACTTGAGCTACCAGGATTCAATCAAACTTCAAGCTGACAAACATGATTCCGCAATATAAGCTTTGGGAGAAGAGAGTGGCCTGCACGCACATCTTGAATCAACACATAGAAATCTTCCGTGACGCAGTGCGCACAACACGTGTTTTCTCACGGTGTTCATCATAATTTACGTTGAGAAATCAACATTTTGTGAGATGCCAAGCTGTGCCCACGGTCAATGCAAACAAAAGACGGCCACACATCCCACATCACTGTCAACGACCCCAGCATGGGGCGTGAATTGAATCGTAACTCAGGCTTGCAAGTTGCATTGGTGCGTCGACCCCGTATAAGGTTTGTTTCGGCACTAAGCTGGGCTGTTCAAAGGTACTCCTTAATCCTTACCGTGGGTTACGCAAGGGGTTCCCTTTGCAGTGACTTCCCTATAGGGAGTATGAATTCGGATTTGCCAACCCTCCATTTGGAACAGCTGCTGCTATCATTGCAGTTGTGCATGCGGATTGCAATGAGGGTGCCAGTTCTGGACATGCTTTTGCATCCACAGCCGATATACTTGAACACAAGCGCAGCGGGCTGCCTGTGGTAGTGCCCGATCTCTGCCAGATTTTTATGGGCATCAGTTTTTGAGTTGCCCTTGTCGGTATTCTGCTGGAATATGTCTCGCATGCACGCCCACTAGTCCACTTCTTTATTCTGGATTGTTCTGTTTAGCCAGTCCCGTCTTCGTGTTTAGGGGACACCAGAAGAACTTATTTCCTGAGTTGCTGGACGTTAGGCACTTTTTGGGCAGACCGCGGTTTGAAACGAGTTTGGTTTCTTTTTCTGGCCAATCCACTCAGGAAGTGCTAGGCCCAGGTTCTCTTCATTTTTAGGTTGTGCTGCAAAAAAGGCAGTCAGCTGTTTCGCCAATTGCCATTTGCCATACCGGGTGTATAAGTGCCATCAGTTGTGATGCAACTCTCAGTGCTGGCATGAATTTCCATATGTTGAGTTTTTTGAAAATTGCCATACCGGTTGGGTTTTGCAACAAGAAAAAACCCTCCCCCTTGGCCCACCGCCCCGGTCGGTTCCGCGCGCGTAGCCGCGTAGCGCGGCGTGTGGCGGCGCGGCCGCTGTGAGGCAGAAGGACCGCCTGGAGGCCCTGACCTTCGCCACGCAGCGCACGCAGGCGGCGCTGACGGGCCTCGAGGTCTCCGCCTTCTTGGAGTCTGCGGGGCTGCGCCTTTCACGCAGATGTCCGCGCTTTTCGCCGTCCCACCCTTCTGGTTCCTGAGAGTTTGTTTTTTTTTCTCCGAGTTGTTGGTTGGTTTAGTGGGTGGTGTCCAGTTCCTGAGTTTCGTTTTGTTTTACGGATTTTTTGGGTTGGTTTAGGGGGGGCTGTCCGTATTTCATCCAAAAGATAAACTTGTTGCAGGTATCTGAGGACAGCCCAGATTCTTCATAGGTGGCCAAGCTAGACATGTAGTTGCTACAACGATGCTTGCAATCCACTGGCTTTGGCTCTTGGGGCCAACCTTCAAGATGGCGCACTTCTCGGGTCGGAAGTGAGTCGTGAGGGGGCTGACGAGGCCGACGGGCAGGGGAATTGTGCCATCGACTTTCACCGTGTCAAGAACCATCCAAGACTTGTTGAAATGTGTTTATCTCTGTCACTCCTACGATCTTTGGGTGAAATGTGGCTTTTGTAGTCTCACAGTCAAAGTTCTGACGCAGGGTCGACGCTATCCAGCCTCAGTTGCTCTTGGTTTGACAGTCAGAACCCGGCTTCTTTCTCAATCGCTGGTTCCGCCAGTAGCAAGTTTTCATGGCAGTGGGATGTGTCATAAGCAGCTGATAGGGCTGTTGTGTTTGTGAGGATTGGCTGGCTGCGCCACAATCGCTCGCAGCTTCCATGGGACTCCGACGGAGATCTTGGCATCGTATTGGATGACTGCATTCGATCGGGCGCCAATAAGGACTGACTGCAAACAACCAGCGAAAAACACAAATGCCCCACACCATGTGCTCTGGGTAGGGAATCTGCACGTGAGGCCGAGCCATATTGAGCTATCTCGAGTTGGCTCGGACACCCAGCGATGCTCTTTTTGCCTGCTCTGGACGAAGTGTTCCTTTCCATGGCCGAAGGCATCCCAACCCACCACTTCTCAATGCGCGCGGAACCTCGTTCTATTTCCGCTTTGAGACGCGCCCATGGCTCGCATGGTACGGAGTTTGCCTGTGACCTTCTTGGGGCATTGTGGCAGGAGTCACTCCAAAGAGCCATCGACCAGGAGCTGGTCGTCTTGAAATTTGCTTGCGCTTGCGAGGAGGCCGGCAAAGGGGCTTAAGCGTTGATTGGAGATATGTGCTCTCTTGTTGGCTGCTTGCTGCTAGCTTGTTTGCTAGCTGGCTGGCCGGATTGTTTGCTTGCTGCTAGTTTGCTGCTTTGCTGGTTGATTAGTTGCTTGGTGGTTGTTTTCGTATCATCAAGCGCCTCAGGATTGTCAGGGCGACAACAAGCGCATGGTCGGCCGCGTTGCGCACAAGGCGACAGGCGCCCGGCAGCCAAGCATCCACGCATATCCGCAGGTTGGGTTTGAAGATTTGGCTGTGGGTCAAAACCAATGGAACCATTTTGGGGTAGCTGCTCCACCCATTTTAGAACCAATTTTAGTGGGGATTGGATGTGGTACGGGATTTTGACCCATGGCCATCTGGCCCAACAGGTCCTTGCAATTGAGAATTCCAGACAGCGATAGACTTGGGAACGCCGCAGATGTGGGCGGTGTTGAAACCTACGTTGTGGCATGTAAAAAGCACTGTTGTCGATTTGGCGACAATGACTTGTGCCGCCGGGGTCTGCTTCAGACTGGCCGTGCAGTGATTAACAAGAGATTGATGGGAAAGGTAAGTTTTATTCCCCTGTTCCCTAGCAAGAACACGTCCCAGCTGTTCAGTTGACAGTGTTTTGGTCTCTTTGTTTGGTTTCCCACCTGTCAACCCCAAGGGTTTTCGATTCCGGATCAGTGGGCAGCTGGGTGCAGGGTGAAAGCAACAAGCAGATGGCGCGATTCCCTTTCTGTGGGTAGGGGATGACTAAACCAACATGGAGGACTGGTGCCACCCAGTTTCAGCCCAACTGCAACTTCCCCAGAATTAGCTCCCCGGTTTTTTGCTTTTGTGGGGTCCCTTTGTTTTCCACTAACCAGAAACATAAAATAAAAAAATGCTGGGGTCCTACTTCCAGCCTAGGTAAGTCTTCAGGCCACAAATCCGGGTCGGCAAACGGCTGGGCTCTTTCCCGAGGTGTGCATTGACATCTTCGCCTATGCACCCGTCAGAATCCCTCGGACCTGGCAGGATGCCAATTGGTTGGGTCTCAGAAATTCACATGTTCCAGCTGATAAGACAGCATTACACTCGGGGCAATAGCCACAGGAAGAACATGTACCAGCCCCCTCTCCCTTACTTGACCAAGTGTTGCATTCAAACGGCTTGGGCAAATGGCTTGGGCTGCCTCGTGTTCATGACTTTTAGATGTAGTTTTGCAGCGTTGAAGCCAGTACCATCCAGGTATTTGCTGAGCTCAGGATGAAGACTCTACGGAATGCAGTTGTAAAGCGAGCTTGTTTATGACTGTCAGGAGCACTACAAGGATGTGCAGTGGTGGGAGCGCGTTGACGACCACGCCGACTTTACGTGACTTTGCTTGAAGCATTACTTGATTGCTTTGATTGCCTTGATTGAGTCTGAAAGGGAGAACAGAGGGCGGGCCGGGGCTGAATGAGTCTGAATGACATCACGCACGCACGCACGGTTGCCACATGTTGCTGCGGGGGAAGGAAACAAATACACAAACATGAGTCAAGAACCAATGGCAACAATATTTTGGCGTGCCTGTTCAACTGCGGCCACCATGGCCAGAATGATAGCATGCTCGTTCGACTGCCCGGTATGTCACCATGTGCCAGTTTGACTGCGTGCCTGCTACACAGAGTATGCCATGGCCAACATGATGGTGTGGCCGTGCGCCCGCTTGCTGTATACGCCATAGCCTCAATGACCTGGCACCGTACGTTTTGACGTTCACGACGCGCGTTGCCAAAACTGGGGTTTCAGAACTTTCGTTTCACGCGTTTCGGGAAATACGGCATTTGTTTGCATGTCCGGCGCTTTAGATGTGTTTTGTCCTGGAGTCAAAGCATGTAGGCTCACTATGGACAACTTAAGAAACTCTCACATCCTTTTGCGCACAAGGTCTGCCTAAATGCTTTTGGAGTAACACCAAACGACTCAAATGCATTTTGTTCGGCCTCTACCAAAGCTTTGGTAGCTTCTGGGCCCCTAGAAGTGTAGAGTTGAGTTTTCCTACGTTTGCAGTCCTGCGAGCTTCGGATAAAGCACGTGAGGCCTGCCTAGCACAGGTGGTAGAAAATCCAAGGAGCCTACTCTTCGAAACTTAGCTGGCCGCCATGCAGGTGCTAATGTAAGATGGGGCTGCATGCTTTTTCCTGAGCCCGCAAAAAGCATGCGAGGAGCTTTGCATTTGCTGACCACGTAGCCGAACCTCCTTTTGGGATACGTTCCGAACCGACGTTTCACGCGTGACATTTCGGGGCTACTATGGCCAGGGCCAAATGATAGTGCGCCCATTCGACTGCGTGTTGCAGTCGCCAGGCCAAAAATGATAGGCTGTGTGCCCAGAGTAGGCGCCCCGGAATTAGGTGGCTGCAAACAGCAGGAGTCAAGTTTATGGGGATTTGTGTTCCCTTCCCCAGCAACATAGGTCTAAAGAAGGCTGGACCCACCCTTGAAAGGAGCTGACTCTGCAAGCGAGGTTTCCTCATACTGCGCTCTTGCCGCTGCAAACAGAGACCTTTGCTGGGCACAGGTGCCTTGCAGCAGGGAGGAAATGTGTGCTTCGGGCTTGCAGTGTTGATTGTGGCCGGAAAGGTTCTTTGGCTCCCTTTGTTGTATGTTTTGTGCCCACGCCTTTGCATCGGTAGTTGGATTTGCAAATTCGCTTGATGTGTATTTGTTTGTTTGCTCGCTCGCTCGCTTGCTTGCTTGCTTGCTTGCTTTCTTCCTTCTTTCCTTCCTTCCTTCCTCCCTCCCTCCCTCCCTTCCTTCGTTCCTTCCTTCCTTCCTTCGTTCCTTCCTTCCTTCCTTCCTTCCTTCCTTCCTTCCTTCCCTCCTCGCTTCCGTCCTTGTTTGTTTTCGCCTTACTTTATTCTTGCTTCATTGCTTTATTGCTTGTTTGCTGGCTGGCTGACTGGCTGGCTGGCTGGCTGGCTCGCTCGCTCGCTCGCTCGCTCGCTCGCTCGCTCGCTTGCTTGCTTGCTTGCTTGTTTGTGTTTTTGTTGGTTGTTGTTGTTGTAATTGTGTTGGTTTGTGCTTTCGTTCTTGTGAACATTATTTGTTCGAGGTCCAGCAGCTGTTGCTGTTGCTGTGCTGTTTCCTGTGATGCTACTGACGTTATGTTTATTGTATAGTCGATTGTTGGCTGCTCGTCAACTTCTACTTGCTGGCAACATTCAATGATTGTAATCCACACGGTATTTTCGGGCAGACAGGCTTCATAGCTTCAATAGAAAACCATTTTGGAGGCAACTCATTTGGTGAAACGGGTAGTACTGTGGCGCATTGATTGTCCTTGCCTTAGCTGCTCGGAAGTTGCCTTGTGCAGACCGCGTCTATCAGAGGCCTACCAATGTCAGGATAATTTTGTTTGCTGTTTAATGAAACCTGAAGTGTCCTAGTTTCTTGTACTTTGACAACTCAGATGTTTGTGTATGCGCACTTAAGTTGGAATCCTGTTGCCTTACTTCATCATGTATGACAGGCTGAATTGAAACTGGCAACTCTGACTCATCTTGACTGCTATTGGGTTGGATCTTTAGACTTTCACTTTTTGGGAAATCAAGCTTTTCCACTAAGCCCACAAACAGTTAGACTTTTGCAGAGGGGTCACCAGCAACCAAGGTCATAACAGGGGAACTTGTGGGTACTGAATGGCAAAGCGACGTCTCTGGCAGGATGCTGCTGCCCGCCCAGCCCAGAGAAGCTTGGCTTGCTTGCAGGGCATGCTTTCACCACGGAAACTTGTTTTTTTGTTTTTACGGCGCGCTTGGCAGGGTCATTTAGCAATGCTTTGGTACATGGAATACTCCCTTGCAAATCATTTTGGAACATAAAAGGGGACCCCAAAGAAAGATTCCTCTCAAGATGATCACCAGATGGTTCTTTAGGTTCTGCTTATTTGCGGGCTTTATAGTGCATATAGTTTCTTCCAAACGAACATGGCATTTCGTAAGCACCCTTGGAAGAAGTGAATGCTTGGTTGCATTCTGGGCCCCTGCGCCCTGTGCCACCTGCATGTGTGCTGGCTGCAGCTGGCCTTGTGGCTTATTAATGCAGGCAATGATAGCATTCGGGTTATATAACCCCTCCTGGAAGTTGGAGGAACCTAGCGGTGGCTCTCAACCAGACACACACCCGCTTGCCTTTGGATGTGTACTTGTCCTTTACCCCAAGATGACTGAATTTCATACGGCAACTGAATGGGCCCCCCTACTCCAAATACCCTTCTTTTTAAGGTATGATGTCGACTCTCTACTAAAAAACAAGGTATTTACCATGGAAACCCACAACACACCCTAGAAAAAGTGGGCATTTGGAGTAAGGGGTACAGAAACCCGGCTTCCTTTCCGAGGCCTTCAGAACATTTTTTCCCCCAAAAAAGGGACCGGCGAATCCGAGTGCGGACTGCGCGAGGAGTTCCTGAGCTGGGAATATGGGCGCTGCCTGGGTGCCCACGTTTGGCCGTGGAGGCGGGGCAGATCCCTCGCTGAAGAGTTCGTCGGCATGGCGGATGTCCGAAGGCTTAAGACCAAGTCCTGGCGGCCCAGCTGCAGTTGACTCAGGGCAAAATGAGAAATGAGAAATGGATGTGTCTCCAATGACGGACTTTGAAGCCCTGGGGGGCATCGTGCTCAACGCCATCCAAAAAAGAAAGGGGGGGCTTTTTTGCATTCTGAAGGGAGTCAAAGCGTGTTGAACTGTTTGGAAAGAGTGTGCAGAGGGCATTTCCATGATACCAACCCTGACGGTGCGTGAGCAGCAACTCCGCGTGGTGTGAGAAGGAAGGTGCTCAATTGCAAGATCCTGATTAATCCTGGTTGGTCATGTACATCAGCATGTATATATCGACAATATATATATATATATAGATATCGTTCTGCCTCCGACATCGGCTTGGTGACAATATTGTGCAGGTCCGAGATTTGGTCAATGTTGCATGCGTTGCAAGGGTGCGGTGTTGCCCGGCAGGCGCCCTACCATATGTGTGGCATCGGCGTTTGCCTGAATATAGTTCCTGTAAACTGGTTCCCCAAGCCATCTTATGCACTAGCTCCACGACGTATGATGCAGCATGATGCAAGTATGTTTTGCAGGCTCCATGCAAATGGTCCACCGAAATTCTAGCTCCAAGCTCCATCATGTAAGTATGTGTGCTCTTTCGATGTGTCGGAAGTCAGCCTGCCTCCTCGCAGGTTCGCGTTTGTAAGCATTTGCTCCTGCACTTCCCGGCATGTTGAAGACACGTTTTTTTCCCGAGCCGTGATTTTGTTTTTGACATGCAAAGGCGTGCCTTCGACTGCTGGCTCTTACAGTGAGTGTGCACATCCTGAACCAGATGACAGTGTATGTGTTGATATCCACAACAAAGATAGCGGCACCGCATCCTGCTTGCAAGTCGTGTTTTTGTTTGCAACAAATAGGGAGATGGCTTTTGCCGGCTTTCGGGGCATTCGAGATCCTCACCAGGATCCTCCTCTACACGCCGGTCTCCGAGTCCTTACACTTCGCTTTGGCGGCGAAGGGGGCAAGTTTACTTCTGGGCGGTTCAGGCCTGGGGAGCCAGGGATTTCAGATCGCACAAACTGATACGCTGGATATAGTGGTTCAAATACAAGCATTGATCGTACGCTGGGAGAACTGACTACTCACATCTTCAACATTTGTGGTTCGAATACAAGCATTGAGTGTAAGATGGGATAGATTATTACTCACATCTTCAACATATTTCTACTGAAATAGGGGCTCTGGCTTATTGGATGCGTGGATTTGTGCATCCACTTCTTGGCATTGCCTTTCAGATGTGTTGCCAAACGTCACGGGGTTTTATATATGCAGCTGGCGTGTCTCACAGGGGATGCCCAAAACAGATGCTTTCCCTGTCGTTCCCTTTGAGCAGGCCCAGAAAAGGCAGGCTGTTTGCTGTGTCCCTTCAAGCCCGATACAGGTTTTCTCGAGAGAGGAAAGACATCCTGGGGTGTTGCTTTGGGATGCTGCCAGCCGCATCTGGCTTGGCTGAACATGGTGTCACGGAGTTCTCGGCAAGTTGTGAAATGCTCAAAATAACTCAACTGGGAGGTCATACGAGTGCGGAACAAGTTAGAATGAGGCTGTGGGGTTATTACTATTAGGAGGAGTATTTCATTTAGGAGTTTTTTCGTTTTTTTTTTTGGGGGGGGGATTTTTCCCCAGATAGCTGAAAGCTATAGGGGTTCTAACTTCTAATAAAGAGGGGGAAGTGATTTGCGAGATTGATGGGCTGGTGCTAAGGGGCGTGCAGTTTGGGGTGCTGGTTTTTGCGGATTGGGGTGCTGTTTGAGGTGCTGATGGCAGTGCGGGCGCATCTTTTCAAGATTGATGGTAGGGTGCTAGGGAACATGCAGTTTGGGGGTGCTGGTGCAGGTGCTGTTTTGGGGGTGACGGTGCACGCGTGTTTTTGCATCTTGACGGTAGGGTGCACGGGGGCATGCAGTTTGGGGTGCTGGTGCTGGTGGTGTTTTGGGATGCTGTTTGGGGAGCTGTTTGAGGTGCTGGTGACGGTGCGGGCGCAATTTGCGATATTGACGCCCGGGTGCTGTCGGGCATGCAGGTGATGGCGCAGGCACATGTTTGCATCTTGACGGTAGGGTGCAAGGGGGCATGCAGCTTGGGGTGCTGGTGCAGGTGGCGTTTTGGGGTGCTGTTTGGGGTGCTCTTATAGGGTGACGATGCAGGCACATTTTTGCGAGATTGACGGCAGGGTGCAGGGGGCATGCAGTTTGGGGTGCTGCTGCAGGTGCTGTGTTGGGATGCTGTTTGGGGTGCTGTTGGAGGTGCTAGTGATGGCGCGGGTGCTCAATTGACAGCCGGGTGCTGTTTGGGACGCTCTTTGGGGGGTGCTGTTGGAGGTGCTGGTGTGCAATCATTGCTATCTGGGGTCTATGCTGGTGTATTTTTTTTTCGCTTTTGGCTTCTTGGCTTCTTGGCTTCTTGGCTTCTTGGCTGTTCAGCTTCTTGGCTTCTGGGCTTCTGGGCTTTTCGGCTTTTTGCTGGTTTATGCGGCTTTTGGTGGCTTTTTGGCTTTTCGCATCCTCTGCATTTCCAGTTCCTCTTCGGCAGGTGACGTTTTTGCTTTTGCGGGTTTATGCGGCTTTTGGCGGCTTTTGGCGGCTTTTGGCGGCTTTGGCTTTTCGCATCCTTCGGGCTTTTTGGCTTTTACGCCCTTTCATTGGTTTTTTGGATTTGGCTTCCCGCATCATCAGCATCACCACCACCCTATTTGAATCATCACTTCTTCGGACATCATGGCAAGGGAACCCCCCCCCCAACCCACCCGCTACTGTTTAGATTGTTTGCAGAGTAAATGCACCCCTATTTGAATCAACTCTTCTTCAAACATCATGGGGGGGGTTGCCGCCTCCCCCCCGTTACTTTTTAGATTTCTTGCAGAGATTGAATTGCACCCCTGTTTGAATCATCATTTTTCGAGCGTCCAATTTCGCGAGAAAATGCTGCAAAATACGACATTTTAGGTAATCTGTGTAATGATGTGTAATGCATGTATGGTATGCATTTCTTCGAACATCATAGGGGAAGCCACCCCGCCAACCCTCCCGCTGCCTTTTAAATTCTATCGCACCCTTTCTTGAATTTTTGCACCCCTACTTGAATCATCACTTCTTCCGACATCATGGGGGGGCTGCCGCCCCCCCCAACCCCCCCGCTACGTTTTAGATTTTCTACAGAGATTTAATTGCACCCCTGGTTGAATCATCAATTCCTCGAACATCATGGAGGGTGCTGTTCCCCCCGCTAGTTGCAAACTTTTTGCAGAGATTTAATTGCACCCCTATTCGAATCATCACTTCTGCGACCATCATGCGGGGGGCTGCCGCCCCCCCCCAACCCCCCCGTTGTTTTTCTTCCCCGTTTTGTTTTTCCCCGTTGTTCTTCTTCTTTTTTCTTCCTTGTTTATTGTTTTTCTTTTCTGGGATTGAAATGCCCTCCTGCTTGAATCATTATTTGTTTGACCCCGTCAACCCGCCAGCTACTTTTTGGATTCTGTTACCCACGATTGGTTGGTGATGCTAGGGATGTTGGTCGGACATGCGGGGGATGTTGAAAACGATGCTGGGGATGTTGACGGGCTAGTGTAAAATGCGTCAATTTCGCAAGAAAATGCTGTAAAATACTGTACGACATTTTACTGTCCCGGACGAAAAACGAAAACAAAACCCCAAAAAATCGGGAAAAACAACAAATCCTATTACTATGAAGTATCCAATCTTTGGAGCCATGTTGCCCACCCATATTATGCGTTCAGATATATTGTCGAGTACTTGGGGGTAAGGTACCAGGATCATAAGGACTATCATGGGTGTGCAGTTAGGTTCAGTCAGCTCATGGGGACGGAAGGGAGCCAATGGCAGCCAATGGCAGCCAATGGCCGCCAACCGGGGGCGGGACTTATGTGTGGCTCAATACGGGGGGAATCCGTTTCGGGCGTTGTTTTTTTGTTTAAACGGGAACCGGTGCTTGGGCTGCCTTTTTTTGTTTTAAACGGGAACCAAAAGTCGACACACCGCAGACCCGCCAGGCATGAACGCCTTGCCCGCTTTTATCATGATCAGCTGCTCGGTGGGCACCATCATTCTTCTGAGGCAGGGCTTGCTGTTCTGGCGCTTGCCTGGACCGCTGCAGGGCTGATCTGGGTATGGGTGAAAATTAAACCACCAGGGGACCACAGGTTGTAGTCCATGCTTTCATTTACCAGGGTTCCATTTTGGGTACCGATTTTTGACCCACAGCCATCTGATGCAAGCAATGCGGCAGGAGTACCTGACCCGACAGATTTCGTTCACGCGGCCTCGGATGCCCTCTTCCGCTGGGGCACCACCAATTTGAAGCGATTCGGCAGAAGGAACCCTTTTTTCAGTGGCCAAAAGTTGGGTTCTTGCTGAGGCAAGTTTGCACTTAGAACCCCACAAAAGGCCCAACCAAAGATCTTTTTTCCCCGCGGTTCCAGGTCAATCTTTGGAATGGGGGCCCTACGATTGTTATTCCTTTGGTCTCAGAACTTGCGCATTCCGTCGCCTTGGGCTGACTTGGCAGGGGCGGCTTAGCCTGCCTCACGATCCTAGCCCTGAGCTTCTGCGAGCTATTGCTGCTTCGGCTCAGGCGCGGTCGAAGCAGTTCGGCGAGTCGCGGGAGTTCACGGTGACTTGTGGGGAGTCCTTCGCGCAAAACGATGAGCCAGCTTGAACTCGGCATGCTGCATGTTTCTGTTCATTTCCCATGGCCCATGGTGTTCTATTTGAGTTGGTTAGCCACCAACGCGCGTTGGGCTGCTATTGAGTGTCTCAAATGACTCGTAAATATATATATATATATAGCTAGGCTTGTAGGATGGACTCCTGTCAAGTGGCACGGGTAAACGGGATATTTGTATGCAGATGGTTGGTTGCAAACCCTCAGGCTGACACAGCCACGAGGGTCTTGAGGAGATTACTCCGGCAGGTGCTGTTTACCAAAGAAGCTTTGAAGGCAAGCTTTAGGGGCTACGTTGAAACGACAGTCCTTCAAGGTGATAAAGACAGGTAGAAATGCCCCAATGGCCAACCACCCAGGATGACCAAGCCGGGGATGTTCATCAGATGGGCGTCAAATGATCACTAGAAACCGCCCGCAAATTCTCTCCAGAAGCCATACTGCCAGCGGGTGGTTTCCCGTGTCCCAATACGGATTCCCGGCATCATGTTAAGCAACCCACAAGCGTCGCGCATCGCGAGGCCGGACCTAAACAAGTGGCGTGGGCACGAGCCACAGCGGGAAATCGGTGTGGGTTGCTTCCTTTTTGGTTGGTGTGTGTAAAGTTGGGGAACTATGGGAACCTTCAAATTGGGCTTCCTTCTTAGTTTCCCCTAAAAGAACGGGGCAAAGTCCCATCTCGGGGGTAACTAAGGTCTGTCAACTTGCAGTCCCAGGCTATGAAACTGAATTTGTCGTCGATTCCCCGACTTTGAGCCAAGATTTTGCAACCACCCAAATGCTGAGGGCGCATAGAGAGGCCGGGAACATCACTCCAAGCGGTTTGTTTTGTGCTTGAACCCTCACTGGAAGTTTCAACTTATCCCGTTGTCATCAAAAAAGCATCGCTTCTCACGTGAAGCTCTCTATGTATATATATATATATGTATGTATGTATGTATGTATATGTTCCCGTCGCCTCCCCAGGCCCCCCCCCCCCCCCCCCCGCGCCGCTCAATGGTATGGGTCCAGCCAGGGACGGGCAACCATGGACCCCCCCACCCATCTTACAGGGGGGGGGGGGGCTTGTACGGTCACACTGTGCTAATTCTATAGGGACCAACCCCATTTCACCATGGAACCCCCCATCCAAAAGGCCGTGGGGGCTCACAGTGTGCTACCTTCTTGATTGAGCATGACCTTTGTGGGGAGGTGGCGGGGCCAAGGAAGACTGGATCATATATGAGGTGGTGCCAACATGTTGGGTTGACGGGGGGGGTTGGCCCGGGGTGGGGTGGGGTGGGGTGGGGTGGGGATGATAGTGTTCATGAGATGAGAGGTGACCGCTCTTTGGGGTGGGGTGGGGTGGGGTGGGGATGATAGCGTTCATGAGATGAGAGGTGACCGCTCTTTGGGGTGGGGTGGGGTGGGGTGGGGATGATAGCGTTCATGAGAGGAGAGGCGACCGCTCTTTGGGGTGGGTGGGGTGGGGTGGGGACGATAGCGTTCATGAGATGACAGGTGACCGCTCTTTGGGGTGGGGTGGGGTGGGGTGGGGTGGGGTGGGGTGGGGTGGGGTGGGGATGATAGATGAGCTCACCGAGGTGACCGCTCTTGGGGTGGGGTGGGGTGGGGACGATAGCGTTCATGTTCGGCCGGGGTGATGTAATGCAGGATTGCTTTGTAACGTGCTCGCACCTTCTTGAGTGCTCAGGCAGATGGAGTCTGCAGGTTTAGCTTTGGTCATACTACTTCGTTTGGCGAAGGTATCGCCCATTCCGTTCTTGCGAAAGTGGTGGCATGAAGATGTGCGGTATGTGGATGCTCTACACGAGAGGCATGTGTATATATATATATATATGTATCGATATATATATATATATATGTCTATTTATATGTATATATATATATTTATATATACATACATATATACATATATATTTATATATATTTATACGTCCGCTGATTAAAAAAACGTGGAACTGTCACGGCAGCGTACTCCAGTTGTTATCTCGGGTACGCGAAGTTGCAGGGTTTGGTAAGCGACATTCCTGGGAGGCATGCTTGAAAATGCAGTGATTCGTGGCACATTTGAGCACCTGTTCAATGCGATGCACTTTCAACTCGCCATCGTCCCGGGCCAACCCCCCCCGGCAACCCAACATGTTGCATTGTCGGGGGACTGGCCAATCCCCCCAGCAAACTCGGCGACTGAATGGAGGCCGGTTGTCGCCCATGTGTGTGCCACTGAATGTACGCTTACGGCTCCAAACGCATCACTCAATAATAATTCCTTAGTTTACTGATTTTCATCGGTGCTCGCGTAGCCACTCCAGCTTCTTCCAGCAGGTCTATTGCAGCAGGTCTGCAGATCACTAGAATCTGTCTCCGTGACAGAGTACCTAATGCGATTCTGAAGGCCCAGCAGCCGATGAATGCCACAAAGCGGATAATGCCCCTGCGAGGTGTCTTTGAGGTCGCAGGAAATATGACTGCGAAGCTGCGGTTCTAAGCCAGTGCGTCGAACTGAGACAGGGGGAACATTGTTTGTCGTACGTGGGCTAGGGGTTCGGGATTTGCTCACGGATGCAGCTGCAGCGCTCACCTTTCCAACATGCGTTGACATCCCCACCTGCTTTTCGTCCCAGCCAGCGGATTTGAAGCAGCAAGCACATGCATCCGCCCGGCAGCGCCGCGCACCCGGTCCCGGGCCAATGTTCCCTATGCTAACTTCAGTCAGTTGCCTGCGTCGGATCCTTGCCTTACCCTTCAGAGTTGGTTACGTGACACTTATGTGGCCATAAATCAAAAGCCCGTAGCCCGATCCCCACTAAAATAGGTTCTAAAATGGGTGGTGCACCTACCCCAAAATGGGATCCCATTGGTTTTGACCCACAGCCATGTGGCGTGCCCTCAGGGTCATGTTGGGCGTAGTGCCCTTCAGCCTGGTTTTCGCCTCTAGCCCAGTGACTCGCACTGGATGCCTTCCCATGGTTCAGGCTGCACACCGCAATGGTGGTGCTGACGCTCGGGGTCCGGGTTCCCAGAGCAAATCTGCGCAACGGAGCTGCGCGCAGACGACCACAGGCAAGATTCAAACTGCGCAATGCGGTGAGTGTGCGTTTTTTTTTTCTTTTCGAGGATACGTTTTCGGGTGGGATTGAAGTGAAACCCAAGGAACACTACCTTTTCAGGGTTTAGGGTATTTTGGCACATACCCATTTAACTAAGGATGATCAACAACCAACCATTTGGTTTTTGTTAGGTGGTTTCTGGTTTGGGGAAGCTGGGAGCATCTCATTAGCGCAAATTAGCACAAGCTCACCGCGCGGGAAACTCATCAAGGTCCCCGACTTGTCAAACCGAAGGGGCACTAGACACCTTCGTGGCTGGAATTGGCAAGGGAAATGTCTCCACATGGTCAGTGACGAAACAGGGAACTATTGCTTGGTGGCTCCCAGCCATCCGGTTCCTTAGCTTTTTAGCCTTGTGTTTAGTGGTAGTTTCCATTTTACCCACTAAAAGTTTAACTTTTAGCGGGGAATCTCTGGGCAGCCCAGATTGGTCAAAGAGTGTCCAAGCGGCATGTATATTCGAATGCCTGGAGGCCGCAGGGATGGAGGTTGGATTTGTCCAATCTTTCAGCCTCAGGCCACACATCCGGTGGCTTGTCTAATCGAGGCATCCTTTGAAAAAAAGCAGGTCGATTTGTCCTCCCAGTTGTCCAGTGGATTCCTCCCTTTTGCCATTTGGCTGCGTGGCAAAACTAAGGAACCCCGAAAATGGTTGATGTCTTTTTAAGCCATCTCCAAACGGGTACCCTCAAAAAGGGACTGGCCCTGGCATTAGGTGAAATTAGACAAGCAATTGGTTTAAGAGTGCTTCAACTGGTGATCACTCTAAGCCGGTGACCAGACGCCGCATTTATAGTTGCATTCCTGATTCCTTCCCTCGATGACAAGCATCATGTTCAGATGGTTGAAGGGATCCCGATCTCCTTGTCTTCGAGGTAGACCCGGGGGTGGTTTTTATGTTGGACACCTGTGATGGTCAAGTGCTTGTATGCCATGATGCTCATAGAAGTGAGTCGGGTAATCTGACGAGAGCTGGGCCTATGGGCCTCATGTTAGGCAGATCTCTGATCCTAGGCTTAGCCTAGGCTTGGAGATGATACAGCACCTGATGAACGCTCCAAAGGTCCATCACAAGCGAACCAAACTCAGCCGCAGCATGTTTTCCGCAGAAACGATGGACTAGCAGCGCTCAGACGCGCCCTGGGCCCTGGGTGACTTGTGATGTGGATGAGGCCCTACTGACGGTGCATGCTGCTGCAGACAAACCACCAACATCATAGCATCGTCTCGAAACGATTGGTGACTTATGCTGAGAGCCACCGGCAAAACCCATTCCCAACACCAGAGGTGTTCATTTTTCTGGGTGGAAGCATAGTCCAATGTGAGACTTGGCAGAGGTGTGCATGCAGAGCCTGCAGGGCTCTGTGGAGCAGCTTTGGTGCCAGGACGGGTGTCGACTTGTTGTCGTTTTGTTGAGGTGTGTTTTGAAGGTATCTTGATAGCTTGTTACCCTTCCTCCAAGTAACATGGCACCTGTAGGGAGGTACCTGGAAGATTGGTTTCCTTTTGAAAGGACCCCCTCTGAGTTGCCATGTTAGTGGGAAGGAGGGTAGGTGTTTCCAAAGGTCAGCCACGCGTTTCCACGCATTTGCTTGTTACCCAGGAGGCGGCAAAAGGGGTCCTGCGAGTTCCCTTTTGGCATGGATCTATTTTCATGGCCAGCTCCCCGGAACATGGACACCCCCTTTTAAACAAAAACAAGTTCAGAGGCAGCTCCTTTTGCCGAACTCCGAACTCTTTGTTTAGTTTCCAAGTTAATTTGGGACTGGTGACTTTGAGTGACAAGTGCAACATTTCAATGCCCTTTTGCCCCTCGAAATGTGATCGGCAATGACTGAGGGTAAAGGGCAGCTTTTGCGGGCGCCCGCAAAGACAGAAATCTGCGGAGCTTTGGCATTTCATGGGCCGGGGTGTCCTTTTGTAGAAAGCCATAGAAAGCCCCATGAAACACCATGGCAAGTAGGTCATTGAGAGACCCTAGAGCCCCAAGAAGGTATTCCAGGCCTCGTAAGCGTTTGACGAGAAGAAGCTATACACAAAATGCACTTTCAGGACAGCTGGTTTCATTTAGGGACAAGCAGGCCAGGCAGTTTTAAGTACAAGAAGGAGCCCTCGGATCTTTGGAATTCAGGCAAAACTGTTTTTTTCAGGCCTCAGGATCTAGGCTGGGCAATGTGAAGGTTCCTGAGAAGGCCCATGCAAATTGGGGTCAGTCTGCGGACAATGTGTACTTTCAGAACAAGGATGCCTCAAGGGAAACTCATCTACATAGTGTTGACCCTTCGTAGATGAGGAACGAGCGTGGCTTGTCAGCTCAGACAAAAACATGCAGAGGCAAATGTGTCCACCCCAGACGAATCAACCAGGTGGATTATGGGGCTGCTTCGTCCCAAAGTGACAGAGTTTCCCTGAAATCATTGGCTTTTGTGAACTAATTGTCGCTCCCTATTGGGCAAAAGTGGTAGATGCCATAAGACCTTCTCAGCAATATGGGTGTGGGTCAAGATTAAACCGCCAGGGGAAGGGCTGTATTAGTCATGGGTTCCATTTACCAGGGTATCATTTTGGGTACCCATGTTTGACCCACAGCCATATAGGTTGCAGATGGGTTTCCTTTGCTTTTCCTTATCCGCGCCGATTTTCGACAGCCAGGTGGATGACTTCTATTTGCACCCCCGACGACCCAAGGCAAAGGCCTCAGACAGATGGTGTTGTTCCACTTCAATTTGCTTCAGAATATATATATATATATTATATAATATGTATTGTTTGCTCCATCAGCAGCAATTGTTCTCTTGTTGGTTTTAAAGGGAATGTTTTTTCCAGGTGGCTTAAGCAAATGGAAGTTAATTATCAAAGTTTTGCTGGAATCGATTAGCAATGCCCCAAACACCCTTCCGTGGATATCCTTGCAAGTTTTTTTTTTTTTTTTTTTTTTTTTTAAAGTTTTTGTTTTTTTTCGAATAAGCCCGTCCAGCCCGCCGGTTTTGGAGGCCCTCAGCGTCGACTTTCTGCTTTCTTGGGCACTTTCTGTACCAGAGGAAACCCCTGGCATTTTTCAGTTGCCATTTGCGTGTACCAAGGAATCGACCCTTTCAAATAGAGGATGTCCGTTGGTTGCCCAGTTGAACCCATTCCCAAAAGGGTTCCTTTCGACATGTCCATGCTGCCTCACCCAAAGGCTCACATGGCTGAGTTCGCCATGTTCAAGCCATCGACGTGGTGCGTTGTGGCTTTTTGAGCCGGTATTCTGCACCTGTGTTAAGTTGTTATAACTGTTCTGAGTTGACTTCCCACTTTGTTCATTGTCAGAATCCATGCACTTTCCCAGCACTTTTCGGTCTGAGAAGCGCCGGAGAGTAGAGCGTGCCCTCTAAGTCCTGGACGCTGTGCCTGCTGGGTACTTGCTGGGACTTCTGAAAAGCGAGCGGCGGCGGTCGGCCAGATGCACAACAAATCCCGCACCAGGTGGTGGTTTATCCCGCGATTCATAGGTTTCATCCATCCTGACTGGAGGGATTTTTTGCGCCCACCTGGTCACCTGGTTGAAGCTGAACCTTGTGCTTGCTGCTAGGAAAGCATCTTTTGGATACCCCAGATTGATCCAGTTTGCAGACGACCTTTCCCTTACCACCTTTCCCTTGTGTACCTTTTCTCTCAAGTCGATGAGGCGTTGCAACGCGTGTTGCAGCAATGATTCGGCCACCGGATTTTCTGAAATAAGAGCCTCCGAAGAATTGGTTTCCGTGAGGGTTTCTTGAGGAGCAGCAATTGAACAGGCCGGTTTTTGGTATTGCAGACTGCTGATATTACCTGGCACTTCATGATACCGCGATGTGGTCATGGTACAAGCTGCAAGCAGGGTATAAGTTATGCTACTCTTCAGCATCGTTGCGCTTGTTTTGTACCAAATGCTCACACGTGCAATGTGTCAAAACCGTGTCGGTTTCCTTCTAACCCCCACCAAAGAGTTCATGTTTGACTTATGCACTATATGTTTGTATATGTATATATATACACATGTTAGCTGGTGCCATGTTAGGCCCACAAATGCTGAGCCGCAACAAACTATGCCGCTACCTAGCCCGCTCAAGTCGCGAGGTATACACAAGAAGCCATAAATCGCTTGCCACAGATTTGGCAGCTTCACATGCAGCTACTTGCCGTTTGGCACCTTGGACTTCACTCCCGGGCTTCCTTTGACAGGGGTCGAAACGAGCTCGAACCCTAAGCCGGCTCACAGTTCTCATGTGAAGCGGAAGCCTGGTTCAACCAGTATGTCCTTTCATGAAACGGAAGCCTGGTTCAACTAGTATGTCCTTTCATGTTCAATTGTCCAAAGGGCACCATGGATATTGTTTCTTTCCACAGCCTTCTGGCATGGCCCTGCATCCTGCGCGGCTAGCGCGGCTGCGAGTGCAAGGATCGGATCGATCATTGTTCGCCCCCACGGAGGCCCTTGGACACACTCCCTCAAGGGCTGCAACTTACCTGTGGGATGGACTGCCACTTTTAACTCTGCTTTTGAAAACACATGTTCTAGACGTTTAAAAGCTAGTTCCAGTCTTTTTGGTCACGGTGAGAGGGTTTTTTTCCCTTTGCAATTGGTTACCAAGGAAAGCCTGAACCACAATATGCTGTTGATTTGGAAATCGCTTTTTTCCGCAGCAAGCCACGCAGTCAGCGAAGGGCTACGGAGGTATCATTTTTGTGACTCTTGATCCTGTGGCCTTCGGTCGGAGGGGACTGGCGCGGCACGCGCCCGGCCCAAGTAGCTTAAGGGGCGACTCGAGCAACTGTCAAGGCGTTTTGCCCTGGCGGTTTCCTGAAGCGCTTCCTATTCTTTCGTCAAGGCTTTTCATGGTTTCCCTTCAACACGTGATTCAGTTAGTAACAACAGATGTTACAGCAGCAAGCAACGAATGGTGGTTGATCAAAAGGTCCGATACACATGGGGTCACCGTCAGGGAAACCACACAAAAAGATGCCCTAAGTGGAGTATTGATCACCTCCGAATCAACCTCCCAGCTTTTTTGTCGATCCTTTTGGTGCCCATGTAAAATTGACCCCCCCCCCCAAATCCACCGGGATTTTGATCAACACCCAAAACAACCCTTCATTTTTGGTGCCCTTGGAAGATTGAACCGAGTATTATCCCATGTTTTTTGTCGGTCCTTTGGGTGAAAAATTGCCCCCCCCCAAAAAAAAAGCGAAAAACATCCACCCCCCCCCCCCCAAAAAAAAAATGGGCCCCCACCTCCACCCTCCCATGGTGCCTTTTTGGTTGAGGCAGAGCCGCCAGCTCGCTGGCGCGAGCACTCAGCAAGCTGGAGGAGGCGAACGACTGGGCGGTGTCCATGGGGGTTACTTGGGCTGGGGGCTAGACATACAGTCCCTCAGGCCCCGAGTTCCTGGACTTTAGTCACTTTTTTGGGGGATTTTAGTGGTAATCAGGAAGTTAGTCGCTTTTTGTGAAGGCCACTCCACTCTAGTGGTGAACAACAAGTTAGGTACTAGTAACTTTTTCTGGCCAATCCACTCAAGTAAGTAGAGGCCTATGTTCGACCATGATCAGGAGGGTTATAGATTTCCTTGTCCTGGTGTCGCCCCCTCGAAAGCGCTTAAGGGAAGTTTAGAGAATTTGAGGCATCGGCTTTGGGTGGGCACGTTCAGGATGCCGAAAAATTTACCAAGTCAGGTACACGTAATGTATGTGTGTATGTGTATATATATATATATATATATATATGTGCAATACATGTACATAATGTACGTAATACATACATGTATGAATCAACATTATATATATATATACACATATATATATATATACAATGTACACATATACCTATGCATGTGTTTTGTTGTTTGCAATGTGATGTGCGTTTGGATTGGGTGTGCATTGCACAGTGCACCCTTTGATTTGTTTGTCAGACACGCTACAAAGCATGTGACTGTTTAATAGGCATGGTCAAACCATGGGTGCATGAGCAAGCGTCCGAGCATCACTGGAAGGGCGGGCTCCAGGTTGCTACCTGAGTTACTTGCAACTGGTGTGCGCAACATGCTGACACAAACAACCCGCCCGTGAAAAATCCGCCAAACGGTCCCCGAGGAACACCTATATTGTATGGTACCCCGCCAAGTCCCTGAGAAAGGGGGCGGGGGTAGCTAATATGATAGATTCACAGACTCTTGAACAAGCCTGCAGCCTTCCCTACAAACTTCAGCCCTTAGCGTAGCCAGACTTCTAGTCATCTTGACAGACAGGCAGCACTTTCAACAAACTGTCATTCGTTTTAAGAAACAGGCAGCTGCTTTAGCAAGCTTCCGGCCACGGTAACACACTTTTCACTGCTGCAACAGTTTGCCAGTTCTTTGGACAACCATGCAATCTGATTTGCCCGGCTTCTCTCATCCCGCGTTACACCGCCACCTCTCAGCCTAACTAACTTTTGCGGCTCCCTGACTCAGCCTATAATTAATATATATATATATATATTCATACAACCATAAACGTTTAGTTCAGGAGCTGCGGCCCTCGCTGGATCAGCTGGCTTATGCGCGGACTTTGGAGCAGAAGCTGCGGCAGATTTGCCGCTTGAAGCCTTCCGCCACCGTGGTGGCGAAGGGCTGATGGAGCGAAAGGAACCAAACCATGGACCTCAAGAGAGGACCTTGGACCTCAAGATGAGAATTTCAACCAGGTAACCAGTTGACTGATCCAAGCATGGTTAAGCCGTTAAACGATGATGGCAGACGATGAGGGCAGACTCAAAGATGAAAAGTTCAATCAGTTGGTTGACGTTCATTGTTAAATCCAAAAGAGAGGTTCAAATCACGTGGGTTCATCCTCAGGAGAGGGCATGTTTAAACCGTTGAAGGGTTATGGCAGACGATTTGCACGCATCTCCCAAAGTGAGCGTCGATGGCCAATGTTTGAGTCCAAAGACGGCTCTAGAGCATATTTCCTGCTTTCGTGGGGATGGTGACCGCTCATACATGTTCGTACCAGCAATGCTATGGTTTATGGACTAGAAGGTCCTCAAGCTTACAACTGTGAAAGGGGTATGTCCTTTCCGACTTTGCTGACTGCCATACACAACAACCGGCCTGATTCTCTAAATGTCGAATGTAAACCAAGCACCGTCCGCATGTTGCCTTTTCCACCTTTCCCCTGCTTACGTGCTATAGGGAGTCAAGCGGAAGTGGCTAATTTCGAGTGTGCTATGGGCCTGGACACCCAGTTTTGACCATCACGGCATTGAGGTCTGAAGCTGGGAGGGCCCCTGAAGTGCTACGGCTCCTGCACCAATGGGACCTTTATGCAGGGATCTGCATCTTGGCGCTCTGCAACGCCAGTCGTGGTGACAAAAATACAAGGTCTCTGGGCCAAACAACTAGCTGTTTTCAGGTTTTGGGAAGTTCTAAATTAAAAGGCAGGAGAAACAGTTGAAATGCCGGGGTCAGGGATGTTGGCGCAGTCAGAGGTGGCACCAGCAACTCTGACCTACTATCACCGCTATCCGGCAAATCCAGGGACCACAAATAAGCCAGAAAATGTATTGTTTGCAAGCTTGTACCCCTGCTTCGCTTAGGGAATGAGACGGTTAGGACATTCCTGTTCTCCATTCTCCCGTTTTCGATTCCCTCATCGGGCGGGGGGGGCCCTTTCGGTTCAACCAAGAATGTTAAAGGCGTAGACTTGTGTTTGGATTTGGCATGTTCAAGGGTTCTCTTTGGGATGGCTTGCCACTCGGAAATGAATGGAGTGAGTTGGCTTGAAAGGCGTTGAAAGGGGACAAGCCCGGGTTCGAAATTTGCTAGATTCTTGGAATCTTCACCTGAACTGCATTCCGCAGTCTGATATGACTTCCCTGACTATCAATGCGCACAAGATGTGGTGCCGTCTCTGCAAACGGATCCACGTGAAGCCAATGGTAAGTTTGGAGTCCCAACTCAAATAGTCCAGCCTCTCACGAATCAGTTAACTATCCTTACTGGGAAAATTGCGTGAGGCGCTTTAGTCGGTCGATACTTCCAAAGACAGGGCAGTCCTCGAGGTGTTTGATTTCTTTCGGCCTTCGCCCTCGGCAAGTCCAAAAGGTTTCAATTTAGGACAACTCCTTCTTGAAAAAGCAACATACATATTCGAGATGCGTCTTCTGAGATGGGCATTCATCACAGAAGACGCGCAATCATTGCAAACTATCCAATTCGTGTCAATCTGGAGACTTCCGTGCAATGACCTGGGAAGCGGTCAGACCAAAGACGACGCATTCTACATGTGCCCCCTTCGGATCTTTAGAGTCCTCAGTCAGCAACACAAATCTTTGTCTAACCCAACAGGAAATGTTATTCTTATTCGTGGGTACCTATCCCCATCAGCGATTGGCAATGATATATTCTTTCTTGTTTTGGTTGATGGTGGCAGTTTGAGCATGGCGACACCCTGACATCCACAACAACAAGCACATGCCACACAGGCCAAAAACATGGTGTGTGATTGTTTGGGCCCAAGCTCACAAGGCTCGTTGCCGCTGGGCCCATCGGGCCGCGGCAGACGCTCAGGACGTGGACCTCACGTGGCTTTGCGACGAGCGCGTCATGGCCGCCACCTTCGGCCCGCGGACGGCGCGCGCGCCAATCACCAAGGCGCCGCCGCCGCCGCCACCACCGCCGCCGGGGCCTCCGCCTGGGGCACAGGCGTGGGGGGGGGGGGGCGGGGGGTGGGCGCTATTTTTAGGGTAGCCGTTGTTGGTGACAAAGGAAAACCGCCATCCCCTATTTCGACTGGAGAATTCAGGATGTGCTCCATGAGCAGTTGGGCCTGGGCGTGTCTCAGATTCGGATGGAGCCCTTTCGACTCGGGAAACCAGTCAGATCCCAGCTCCTGGCAGGCCTGGCAGGCCCAACCTCCAGGCAGGGCGGCGCATGCTTTTTTGGTCCCGCGCGGTTGGATTCTGGGTGCCCTCTCGGGCGTGTTTTGAGGCCCTGGGGCCTGTCTCGGACATTCTGAGACCCTTAATCTAAGGTAGTTTGACAATTTTGACCTACACAGACCTCGGAGTTCGGCCTCCTGCCCAAAGAACTGGCTTGTTTCGGCTTCGGCTTTTGTTGGCCATTGCGTCGTGCGTTCCTAGGGCCTTATTGTGGATGTTGGTTTCCTTGGGATGTTGTGTACGGCAAATAGCTGGAAACCGAACAAACCTGAAATTGCAAGTCTTAATCACCGCAATAGGGCCGTGGCCTCCCCGGCCTCCCCTGGCAGCAGCCGGTTATGTTGGAAGGTGGAGTCGCTTTGAGCCCTACGGAAGCGTGCAACCATGAGCAGGGCAATTATTTGTGAATTGAATCTGAAGGTACTCAAACAATAAGTAAGATGTAGCAATGTGATATCCAGGTGAGCGGCGAAAAAAACCTCCGTAGATCAATTTAGATGAAACTGGAAATTACTCTTGCAGTCGTAAGCGTTTTTGCGTGATTCGTAAGCGATCGGAAGGTCCTGCGTAAGCTGCATGCATGAGTCACTCGTCGTAAGCTTTGCGTAAGCTCTGTTTGTCAGATCCGTTTTTCGTTCAGACTGTTTGGTAGAAGTTGCTTTTGGTCCGCGTAATGCTTTTAGGCGTGAAAATGGGATCAGATTGCTGGAATGGGTTCTTTCGAGCAACAAGGAAAGGGATTCTTTCAGTGAACAACTTTTTCTGGCTCAGACAACTGCTGTTTGACCGTTGGGTTACTTGTGCAAACCTTTTGCAATGTTCCACGCACAGCGCGTTGGCCAGCTTGAACAAAAAAGCTCGCGTTTGGAAAACAACTTTTCGAGACCCGAAAGTTTTGTTTTGGCACCTCACCTTGTTCGTTGCGCGGGCTTGGAAAACAACATGTTGAGCCCCGCTTGTTTTGCTGCGGATTTGCCTTTTCACCTTTGGGCCTTGGGCTTGGAAAGCACAAACAACTTTTCGAGCCCAGTTTTTTTTTGTTGCGAGGCACCTTTTGCCACCTGCAGGCACTTTTCAGGGCCCCGAAGCCAAAAAAAGCTCGCGGGCTGGAACAACAACTTAGAAAACAACTTTTCGGGCCCCCAAAAGTTTTCCCCCTCTATGTCACTGCTGAGCCTGTGCAGCAAAGCCTGCACCTCTTGCTCGCAGCGCCCGTGCGCTGTCTGCAAAGTTTTCTTGAGCTGTTGCCCCTCTCTGGCCGTGAAAGCTTTAACACCGGCTTCGGGCAGCAACATCAGGATCACATGGTGTAGTGGTATCACACCCGCTTCGCATGCGTTGCTCTGTCATGCTGGCGCCTCTTGCTCGTAGTGGATCCTCGCAGAAAACAACTTTTCGGGTTCCCAAAAGTTTTCCCCTCCATGTCACTGCTGAGCCTGTGCAGCAAAGCCTTTGCGCCTTTCCAGGCAAGTTGTTGCTCTGTCCTGCCGGCGCCTCTTGCTCGCAGAGGTTCCGCGCGCTTTCTGCAGAAAACAACTTTTCGTGCCCCGAAAGTTTGTTTTCAGCTTTTGGCCCTCCATTGTCTTGCTGGGCCTGCGCAGCAGCCTTTCCATCTGCAAGCTGTTGCTTTGTCATGCTAGCGCCTCTTGCTCATCGAGGATCAGGCACGAGCAACTTGTCGTAAGCTATGCGTAAGCTCCATCTTCGAAAAATAGCAAACGTAAGCGACCTTTCGGTTGGCGGAAGCTTTCCGCAAGCGATTGCGGAAGCTGAAGTAATTTCCTTTACGGGTAACAGGGTTTTTTTTCACTGCTCAGGTGGTGTGCAGTGTGCAGCGTGTAGAATCGCATTTAGGCAAAATGACTTGGTTCAAGATAGGGAGCTAGAATATCTCAGGATGTTCAGCTGAAGAGCGCTCCCTGGCACCATTGTGCATTAAATGGTTCAACTGGCACGTGTTGGCATTTTTTAGGAATTCCTTCAGGCCTGCTTCGAGCCTGTTTCCTGATGTGCCACATGATTGCTCAAATTTAGAAGGTTCATTGCGGCGGATGGGTCTTGGTGCGAGCATGACTGTGTGGTAGATTCCTCTTGAAGCAATATCAAAGCGCTGTTGGTTTGGACGTTTGTTGGGGCCAAGAGTACCCTTCCAGCCTGTTGTGCAATTACCTGGCAGGAGTGAGCTAGTGATTCCAAACAAGGAACACCCCGGTTCTATCCGGCTTCATTTCGCGGAATTCACATGGACTTACATTCTCAGGGCAGTGTGTTGTTCTTGGGTTTGCTTCCTCTCGCTTGAGGGCATGGCAATGGCTGTTGCCAGGTTCAATCTGCAGCTCGGTTGAACTGGTTTCTGCCGAGCCAGAAAGTGTGAATGTTGACCCCATATAAACCAACCCCAGTTTGTAAATGGGGGCCGCGAGTAGGACTCATGGTAGGTTCAAGAGTTGCCCATGGAGGGGTAAGTTTCAAACAGCTGCTTAGGAGTCATCAAGAAGAACAAGTTATTGTACGGTTTAGTGCAGCGGGGCTTGGAGAACGAGGGACTAAATGAGGGTAGTTGATCAATGAAACTTGTCAGGCATCAGAAGTGCGCCATTGTCTAGGAGAGCAAGGAAGAAAGAAATGGAGGAAGCATCAAACAAAAGGGAAACATCGAAAGACCGAAGTAGTGAAATAAAGAAAGAGCTAACAAAATCAATCAGTAAACAGAGAAAGGAACAACACACATTGATCGAACGTAAGAACAAATGACAAAATTAAATACAAGAATCAAGAAAAGAGAGAAAGAGAGTAAGAGAGAAAGAAAGAAAGAAAGAAAGAAAGAAAGAAAGAAAGAAAGAAAGAAAGAAAGAAAGAAAGAAAGAAAGAAAGAAAGAGAAGAAAGAAAGAAAGAAAACGTAGCAAGGAAAGACAAATACACAGATAAACAATGTATATATACACGTATTATATATATATATATGCTGAAATACATAGCAAGCTATGTGCTGGTACAGAAAGCAGCAATGAAGGAAGGAAGAAAGACTGACAGAAAGAACGAACGAACGACATGAAGAAAGAAAGAAAGAAAGAAAGGAAGGATGCAATGACGAAAGGAAGGGTTTTCGGTCATCCGGCTTGCTCCAGCCCCCGAAACAGATATTATGTTCTGACAATAAGCTCCAGCAGTTTCCGCTCCAAGATGTCTGATTTTGTTTCTCCCTCTCTCAGCCCCAGAATCGAAACTCAGACAGCTTTCAGGGTTGCTCCATTTTTTGGACGACCACACTGGTTTAGCATGTCAGTGTTGGCTTTTCCCAAGGAATGTGGCTCTGGGTCAAAACCAATGGGATCCCATTTTGGGGTAGGTGCACCACCCATTTTAGAACCTATTTTAGTGGGGATTGGGATGTTCGCTGGGGGTATGGGGTTTTGACCTATGGCCATGTGCTTTTTCTACCCGGCCAAACCGTTTGGCTTGGAAAGTGCAGCGTGTCGAATCTCCGGCCTGGCCAAATCTGTCAGAGCTCAGCCTTGGCAAAAAAGACGATGCCACAACGGGAAACTGGGTAGGGTTTCCCTTTAAACCATCCTGAAAAGTGTACCATCAAAATCTTTCAAACCCAACTGGATACTGGAACACTGAGTTAAGCAACCCCTGGTTGACTTTGATAGAACTTTTTAGAGGGCTCTATTTGTGAGGGAATCTGTCATTGTTGGACGGAGCACGTGGTTGGTGGGCATACATCCCCATAATTATGTCCAGCAGAATCCTAGCAACGCAAGTGTAGAACTTCCCAAACGGGAGGACCCTTCCTGGTTTTCCTTTGGTTTCCCTTTGGCTTCCCCTGGTTTCCGTTGCTTTATTTCAGTTTCCTTTGGTTTCCGTTGCTTTTTTTGGGTTTCCTTCGGTTTTCCTTTGGTTTCCGTTGCTTTATTTCAGTTTCCTTTGGTTTCCGTTGCTTTTTTTGGTCTCCCTTGGTTTCCCTTTGGTTTCAGCTTGTCTTTCCTTGCAGCTTCACACCTGACTCGCCGGAGGCCTCCAAAGTGTGCCCAAAGCTGCCGTGGCCTTGCAGCTCGACAGCTCGACTCGACTAGCGGGGGGCGGGGGGGGGGTGGGGTGGGGTAGGGTGGGTGGGTGTTGATTCGTGACTTAGGCACGACTACCGGCGGGGAGGGGGCGCCTTTTCCTCAAACAAATGAAGATGTTTGTTGATTCGTGACTTAGGCATCCCTTTGGTGGGCATCATGTGGAGATGTTGGTCTGTACCAAACTTTTGAGGTGGTTTAGCTCGTAAAAATCATCGCCAAATGAGTGTGTCGTTTTCAGGCCCCTTTTTGGGTTGGTTTAGAGGGACACTGACAGGGAAGCCACTTTCTTTGGGAGCCCCGCCATCTTGAGACAGAACGGAAGTATGAAGTATGTTCCAAATCCAAGGGCCCAGGACTTCACTGTTCAGGATCTTTGCAGTGTCTTAGGCTAGGGAGACATCCTACGGACGCCTGGCACATGGCGCGTTTCCTCTTGGTTTCCCTTCAACCATTCGAAATCCCTCCCGCACATCATGGAAGCATCAATTTGCAACGGACCGCCATGCAGGGTGTTCCTTGGCATCGCATTTTAAGACACCCCTCAACAAAGGACTGTCTACACTGTTGCGGGGATCCAACGTTATTTTCCACCCAAAACATGTCAAGCCAGGAAACCTTGCCGTGTTTTACGCCAATTCATCGCCAAGCTTGATCAAGGCATGGCTGCAGACAAGGATTCACTCAGCATGGGGTCGGGGGTTGGCACCCCTACCCTTACCGCCAAAAGAACGTGTCAATGGGTCAAAGCCCCGTACCCCCAGTGAACATCCGAATTCCAACTAAAATAGGTTCTGGATAGTGCACCTATCCCAAAATGGTACCATTGGTTTTGAACCACGGCCATGCTTTGGCCTCCGGCAGAAACGAAGGCTGGGCGCTTGCCTGCGACCCCGAAACCAGCTGCTGCCTTTCACACATGTTTGTTGATGTGTTATGCGTCATCCCCACCCCCTAAGTAATGCACAAGCATGTTTCCAATACGTTGTTTCCCTTGTGGGTGCACGGGAAATAATGCATGCATGGGGGTCACATGTTTCCAAGTTATGGGGGGTTGTGAATCCGTTTCTGTTCCGAAAGAAGGACCAAGAAGACGTTGTTTGGGCACACCGTTAATTCCTGAACTCCTGCACTCTCGGTTGGCCTTCAAGCCACCCCCAGAAAGGGTATTGCGGATGGACGAAATCCGTTCGCACCAATTTGAAACTATGAGCAACCAGTATTTGTTGGTATTTACAGAACCAAGCATCATGCCAGGGTTTCTTAGGTGGTGCGAAATGGATTTCCTCCACCGACGGTGCAAACTTGCAAAACTCAGTTGTTCAGTGGCACCCTTTTACCCTTTTTTTGGGTGGCTGCCCCACCAAAAATGGCCTTCCCCAAAAAGGGTTCCCTTTTTTTCAGGGTCACTGAACAACTGAGAAAAGCTACCGAGAAGTCGGCGTCCGTCTCCGAGGTCCCGCCCGCCCCCGCCGCCGAAGTCACCTCCGCCGCCGCCAAAGTCTGCGCCGCCGCCGCCGACTACTTTGGCGGTGCTGGGGGAAGCCGAGCGAGGCGAGACTGCAACTAGATCCCCCGGTGGTGCCCTTTCACCCTTTTTTGGAGGGTTCCCCTACTAGAATAGACTACAGAAAAAAAGGGTACCAACTTATTCTGCCTCTCTGCTGGAGGACCTAGGCAAATCGAATGTGGGTGAATGCGAGGGGCCAATCGAGTCAATTGCACTTGCAGGATTGCCATGATTCCCCAAAAACCCCACCACTCAGGAGGTTGGCTTCTGTAGAGTTACTAGTTTACTCCTATCATGACTATTACTCGCCCAAACATGGAAGTGCCGTTCGGCCCTTCGGGTCTGTAGGTGTCAAACTGGGGGTTTGTGCACATGCATGGAGGCATCTTCAGAAATGGCTTGAGCAGATTGAGCTTCTGCTTTCAGGAAGTGGGAAGCAAACCAACATATTTGTGTTCTGCTGGCCTGCAAACGGTGGTTGTGATGATGCTGAATGACGTTAGATCAATCCAAAAGACGACCATACTAATGAGGGGTTTTCAGGGGGACTCCTCTGATTTGGGATGACTCCGAAGTTGACATTGGGACTCTGGACGGCAGGCAGGTTTGCAGTTGTATGTGCGGCGTGGATGCTGAGGCGTTGTGCTGGGCTCTTGAGCAGCGTCCAAATCCCCATTGGCCACTCAGTAGGTGGTTCTACTACCTACTTTCAAATTGGATGCTACCAAAGCATATAAATATATATATATACAGAAATACCAGTGTTTGGTAACCATCTTGGAACGTTCGTCTCTTCGCTGGGCCGAAGTTTTGGCTTCGAGGCCACTCTCTGAAAGTGCAGCGCTTCAAGACTCTACGCCTCTTGCGCCAGGAGGAGGGGAGTCGGTGCGAAAGAAAAAGAAGAAGAGAAGAAGAAGAAGCATCACGCCCACGGTTGGGGGCCTTGCAGAAAAGGATTTCCTCTCTCAAATGCGTCAAAGTTTCCCCAATTGTGGTCTTGCAGAAAAGGAGGTTCCCTCTCAAATGCGTCGATTTGGTGGGGGAAACACGTGCACGCCGGAAACTCTCAGACCTCGTGATTTTTTGGTGTGCCTCTGAAATGAAATGACTGTCGGTCAAAGCCAGTTGTACCATGTTGGTAGGTGCACCATCCATTTTAGCCTATTTTTGTGGGGATTGGGATGTTCGCTGGGGTGCGGGATTTTGATCCATGGCCAAAGTCACTATGCCCTAGATGGCACAAAGCTTTGAGATTGTCGGTTCGGAAGGCGAGCACGTTCATGTGGAAGGCATCTTCGATTTGCCTACCTCAAAGGACAGTTCCCTTTGTTGGCGTTTACAGGGAAGCGAAAAGGAAACCAACCATCTTTGGAGGTCCCCCATGTTTGAGGAAACACTGACACGGAAATTATAATTTGGCAAAAGCTGAGGTAGATACGACCGAGAGTTGCTGCATGAAGGCTCCTTTCAGGGGAATTTCTTGTTTGGTTGGTTTTGGGTTGTGGGAACCCATGTAGGTTTCAAATGGAAGCCAAAGGGCACCAAAGCCCTTTTTTGTTTTGGGGGGTCCCCTGTTTTCCCCTTGTTAGATTTGTCAACTTTGATTCACCCTAAAATAACGGTCAAGTCCTTGCGCCGACTTACTCTCGGATCGTTCGACATGTTTCAAGCGTGTCGCGGGTTGGCCCGTTTGGGGAAGCGAAGCCAAATTTGCTCGGAAAAGGGCGCTGATTGAAAACTGAGTCCATACGGCATCGGAATTACCCGTGTTGAAGCATGGTTGAAGACCACTGGTTACGAAGGATCTTATTGGTGGCGTGAAGGGTTCCGAAAACTTAAAACGGCGATACGCAAATCGACAACTTTGATAGGGACAGCAAAAGTACATTCTCTTAGGAGTGGCTAGTAAGGCCACTTCACTCGAATTTAAAGGCTTGGCACGTGGCCCATCCATCGCCAGGCTATGCGCGCTGCCATACAGGACGTCAAGCATCTTGGCGATGGATTTGCCGTGAGTGCCGCTTCAGTTTTGTTGCCGCAGAACCTCTCCTGAATCTCGACGTTGGTGTTTCTTTTCCTTCAGAACGCAATGATATCTTAGACTCCGTAGGCGAATGCTTGAGGTTTGGGGCGCCGTGTGGGGATCTGATCTGGCGGATGAGACCAACTGAAGCACTTCGTCCGAGTTCCCCGTTCAATTGAGGGGACCTCCTTCTTGACCAGAAACTGTGTTATACATGATGGGGAAAATGTTGCATATGTCCAAAGAAAAGTCAGCAACATTTCCAAAACTCGACCATAATCTTGCATGGTGCAGGCCAAGGTCACTTCATGTGCTCTGTATTCTTCGGGTGCGGCTTTGCTGTTTTCGATTGAGAGGGTCCCCAGCATGTTTGACATGTTGCTCAAATGACGTTCTGATTTGCGATGGAAGCCGAGGAGTGTTTGGGTGGTGAAAGCGCGAGTTCCCGTGCTGAAGTTTTTCGGCGCGGGCGATGTTGTGCTCTGCGACGTCTCCGTGAACAACACGGAAGGCCGGGTGCCGATCGAATGCAGGAAAGTACCCTAGACCAAATATCAGCATACTTCGGAATTCGTCCACCTGGATCAACTTCATGCAGCGCCCGTTTCACCTTTGAGGCAGATTGCTGAGGAGGAAGGGAGGGAAGGAGGGAGGGAGGGAGGAAGGGAGGGGGGGGGGAGGTGCGGGCAGGGGTGCGGGGAGGGAGGGATAAAAGAGAAGTCGTCTAAAACAGTATTAGTGTGACATAATTCTTCTATAATTATAATGTGCTCCTAACACACCGATTGACTTATGTGTTTTCTCTTCACTTCCTCTTTAGAACAAGTTTTAAGTTGACATTGTTGCGTTTAGAACTTACATCAGATTCATGTTGGTTTTATATTAATATATCAGATTCATGTTTGTTGCACATATTATTATGTCTATGTTTATGCGTTTTAAGGGATCATCTGCAAAGTGTGATACCTGTCAGCATTGACGGAAGATCATGGGTTTCTGGAACACATGCAGTCGGATACTGTCAATTGGATCATTATGTTGTAGCCAGCGGATGTGAATCCAATGTTTCAATATGAGCCATAATCCCAATACGTATTCTGTTTTGTTTGGCCGGTACATTTAATCGCGGCAATTGCTCATAATCCATAGGCACCCACAGAATCAACATGCAAACAAGCATTGTGTTCTTGACACTTGGCTTGCTTTTATCAGTTGGGGTTGCGCCTCGGATCCTTGCCAATGCCACCTCTGCCGGCCATTGCGACAGGCACCCCCAATTGTTGGTGAAGCCCAGTTTTGTCCTTTTGTTGGGGCTGGTTCCAGGTGAACGTCGGCACTTGGTTGCATCCCCTCCCCTTCCAAAAGGGCATTGTGCCATCTCCTTCATACAACGCTGCTGTAAAATCACTGGCACGTGCTTTTACCCCTGGTGCAAACAAATAAGGCCCTACCTGGAGATTCATTCGCCATGAATTTCCTGGTAGTTCTCGTATGTTCTCGTCCAACACGCCCGAAACTACCAGGAAACCAAAACGCCTAGGAGAAGGCCGGAGAATGAATCTTCAGGTGCCATCAAACCAAGGCAGATTCCTTCCCCAGGCCTTCTAAATTCGCGCTTGGTGCGCAGCTTCTGCGAAGCCGAGCCCATGCTGGGCCCGGCGCGGTCCTGAGTCTCCGATGCGGGTCGGAAATGGGTAGGACCTGTGTGCATCGCCCATTTTTTTGAGTTACCTAACGTAAGGACTTATTTAATGGCCTGCGGCCTGGTTCCGCCGCCCCCACACACCTTAGAATTTCGGCCCGGGACGAGAGAAAGCACGCGTGCACAGACCCGTTCGCGGACACGAAGACAGACGCAGATACGTAGACAGACATAGACAGACACGCAGCGGGGGGGAGGGTCTTCGCGGACACGAAGACAGACGCAGATGCGTAGACAGACACAGACAGAGCCAGACAGAGACAAATAGACACACACACACACACAGACACGCAGGGAGGGAAAAAAGCACGAAGACGGACGCAGATACGTAGACAGACACAGACAGACACAAAGAGACAGAGACAGACACGCAGGGGCAGGGGGTTCTTCGCAGACACGAAGACAGACGCAGATACGTAGACAGACATAGACAGTCACAGGGGGGGGGGGGGGGGCGGAGGGGTGGGGGAAGACTACCCGAAGCCTAAGGGAAGAAGCCCGAAAGCACAGGACACGCGATTGAGTCCGAACGCGCGTTGTTTGGTCCCGAAACATTATCGGAAGACTAAGAGAAGAAGCAGGAAGACTACGGGAAGAAGCCCACAGACTACGGAAGATTACGGGAAGAAGCCGGAAGACTACAGAAGACTACGGGAAGAAGCCGGAGGACTACGGAAGATTGCGGAAGACCACGGAAGACAACGGAGGGGGGGGAGGGGGGGGGGGAGGGGGGAGGGGGAGGGGGGGGAGAGATCCAGAGATCCAGAGATTCAAAGATCCAGAGATCCAGAGATTCAGAAATCCAGAAATCCAGAAATCCAACCGACGTAGAAACCAGCCCCAAGAGCCGCCCCAAGGGACATATATATACATATATATATATATATACATAATCATATTCACATTAAACTTATAGAAAGCATATCAACAGAAGCAACACAGAACACACCGCCCCCATGCCGAAAGCATGGTCCATTCTGGACCAGGCATGGGGTCGGCGAATTTGTCCCGGCCTCCACCTGGTGATGATTGAAACCGAGGAAGCATTTTTTAGTTTCCTAGCGCATTTCAAGGACATCCTTGTTTCCCGGCCCCCACCTGATGATTGAAACCCAGGAAGCCAAGTGTGGGGCATCACGGGGTCGTCCCTTCCTTGTTTCGCCTACTGCCTCTATTTTAGTTCAGGATGCCAGCGTACCGAATGCAGTCATGCTGATCAACTACATCCGTGCCGGTGCTGTTAGTGTCAGCTGCTTGACGTCTTGGCCTAGGCTCTTAATGCTTGCCAGGAGTGACGCATCGATGCAACTTCCAGTTGAACACAATTATGTCTGTAGAGTTTAGCGGCATTCACCTTTCGACCCGTTTGGAAAGTTTGGCGGCCTCCCTCTTACACAGCCAACCCGGCAACCCTTGGGGCGGGACACGGTAGGCAGGTTCAGGGGAGGTTCTGCTGAGTTGGGCTTACGGAGAAGGACTCAGAACCCAGAAACTTTTTTGTGTGACCCACCTTCTGGAGACAACACCACTTGTGAAAGAATCCCCTTGTCTTTTGCAGGGGAGCGAGGCTTGTGATTTAGTTGTTTCTGCAACATGGGGAATCGCCCACATGGGCCGCGGTTTCCCTGTGGTTCCTCTTTTGAGACAAGCCCCCAAAGAGTTGCACCTAAGAGGACACGACACCCCGCCCCACCAAGACTCCTCCGGCCTGGCAGAAGGCAGAAGAAAGACCAAGAAGGCTTCGAGTGTGAGTTTTCTTCCACTGGCGGGCCCCCGCTTTTGGTTCGTATTTGAAGGGGGACCAAAGGAATCCGAACAAATCCCAAGGAAACTACAGGAAACCCAAGGAAACCCATGGAAACTACAGGAAACCCAAGAAAACCCATGGAAACTAAAGGAAACCCAAGACCAACCATTTTTTGGGCGTGGATCCCGTTTTTTCAGCCTGCCACAGGCCCAAGGCCCCGAAAGGGGCCTCAAAGCCATGGCGCTCGACTCGTAGGTCATCCGGCTGCTGAAGCATTGGGCGCGCCAGCGCAAGCTGGGGGACCGCTCCACAGGCGCCGGCGGGGGCGGGGGGGGGGGTGGGGGCGGTTCCATGGGTGAAGTCGAGCGCTGGACTGGGGTAGACTTAGGATATTTTACATTTACCAGTGACTCAAATTGAAGCAAGCATTAAAATTGTCTCATTCTACAACTGGGCCTAACTCCAATCATGTGGATGGTTGCCCTTTGGCCCCTAGGTAAGGGTGTTTCTCAGGGGGTGGGGTGGTTTGGGTTGCGGCCCAGAAAGGTGTCCCATAAATGTCCCTTGAGTTTCCCACGGGTTTGTGTTGGTTTACCTTGTTTGGGTGGGGTGGTTTGGATTCGGAAGGTTTCCCCTGGGTAGATGTTCAAGTGGGGGATCAGATTTCCAGCTTTTTGTTGGCTTCCCTTTAAACAGCTTCAAAAGGGTGCCCTCAGCAAAGAAGTTCTCCTAGATGGGAGTTGTTTTTGGCTTGGACGCCACGAGGGCGTCGTGTCCCTGCCAGCAAACCCAGCATCGTTGCATGTTGACGAAATGCAAGGCTTGTTGTTTGGGGGGGGAGGGGGGGGGAGGGGTAGCATTGTTCGATGTTGACGAGATGCAAGGCATCACGTACGTTGTTTGGGGGGGGAGGGTTAGGGATGGGGGGGGAGGAGGGGGGGGGGGAGGGAGGGGGGGAAAGGAGGGGGGGGGGGAGGGGTTGACGAGATGCAAGGCATCATGTGCGTTGTTCGGGGGGGGAGGGGGGGCATGGGTAGCGCTCGATGTTGACGACACGCCAGGTTTGCCGAGCATCGTATTCTCGGCGTTGTTTGTTTTTCATTTTGCTCAAACACCCTCTAAGTTTTAAGGATCCCCGGGAAGGTTTGAGGGGCTGTTTCTGCTGGCTGGGAGGCGACTGGTCTCACAGTTCGCAGAGCATCTGATCTCGTCACTGTTTGTATGTCAGCAGTTTTTCGCACAAACACCCTCTTGGTTTTACGGTCCCCGGGTGTTTTGGGGGCGTTTCTGTTTGCTGGCAAACATGAAACACGAAATGAAACACGAACATGAAACAAATAAGATTGGGAGTAGCACCTTGGTGCAGCAGGGGGGTTGGGGCGGGGGGGGGGGGAAACTTGGTCTCGCAGCTTGCGAGCATCTGATTCTCACCATTCTTTGTTCTTCTGCCAGTCCGTCATGGACTTGTGGACTTGTGGAGCCGTCATCAACCTTTTTTTGCAGCTTAACATGGGCGTGCGTTTGGCAAATTAGCTGTTTCCCCGCTGTTTTTGACCATTTTACGTTCACAAACGCACGCTGCCTGAGTGGCGTCAATCCCTACCTTTCTTCAGTGTGCTCGTTGACACCAAAGGGAGAAACATCATGTGTCGGGGTTCCCCTACCCAGAATTTACCATTGGTGTTCATATGCAACCTGGCTAAATAACCACTCTGAAACAAGACACTCCCAAGACAACCCGATATCACTCTGTTTGGTGGCTTCAAGCAGCACCATTCCAAAGAGCCACCCTACCAAGGGATGTTGAGAGGAGAAGTGACTCATTTTTTTGGCACCACAGTTAATGCACTGATACGGCTAGCTTCTGAGGCTGAGCCAATTGAGATGAAGAAAGAGGGCTGAGACCGGCAACATCCCATCAACTTCACAGTGGACACATTGTTTGCAAGAACTTTGTAATTGGCCGAGCTTGGCCATGTGTGCGGCATTCGGAGTAGTCTTTTCAATATATTTTTGTGTTTGCTGTTCGTCCCCCATTCCACAAACATTCCCTTACACCTTTCTGTTGCATCCGTTTGCTTTTCACGTGCGAGCTTTTGTGATCTCCCGCCTACTCTCTCTCTCTCTCTCACTCTCTCTCTCTCTCTCTCTCTCAGGCGGGCAGAAGCAAACTGGGGTGGTTGCATCCAGGGCTTCACTACGCACTATTTGTCCAACCATTCTTTTCAAAAACAGAACTCTGGAACAAAGCGGGAAGGCACTACATCTTGCGGGTGCTCAGTCATTGAATGAGGGAACGAACCTGGGGATTCCCTCAAAGGAAACCCCTAGGGATGGTTTATAAGGCACAGTCCCTCGTTTTCTGCCTATCGCACCAGCAAGGAAAAGCCACCGTCCGTCGCCCTGGATCCGCCGAGGCGGCTTCAGCACGTACACCTTGGTGCTTATGGCCGTCAGGGCCATGCAGAGCCAAAGCGCTGGTCTCTCCCCACGGAAGGTACAGCAGCGGCCCGGCAAAGACAGCTGTTGACACCCTCGGAGTCCATGTGGGTGTGTCTCTTTTAGGGGACCCCCCCCCCCCCAAAGCAACAAGAAGAAGTGTCTCTTTTAAGGGATCCCCCCCAAAAGAAGAAGAAGAAGAAGAAGTTGTGTTTGTTGGTTTTCTTGATTAAGCAAGGTGTAGCCTCAAGAAAAGACGCACTCAGGTTTCTTCTTGTGCAAAGGGCCAAGAGGGTTCTTCGCTGACCGCAGTCCAAGGCTCAGCGGCGCGGTTCCAGAGGGTGACCTGGAAATCTGGGCGCAGGAGCGGCCGACATTTTGGTCCAGTTGGGATAAGCGTTTTTTTTCTGCTTCAGTCAAATAAATGTGATCATGTCTGCGTTTTTTGCCCGTATTCACTGCAATCATGCACACTGGGCTTCCGAAAACTAATGCCACGTATAGTTGAATTTCTGAGGGGATCCCATGTTGCGGTGCCACAACCAAGCATGCATGGCAGGTTGTTGAGGCCTGACCAATACAGCTTATTCTATAGAGACCTTCTCGGGCACAAGAAAAATGCGCTCCCATGCCAGCGCATGTGGTGCCTTCTCTTGCAGGACCCTGGCTGTCAGACTTCTGGGGAGCTGACGAAGGCCTTGACCCACTTTTTCGAGCCCCGGCTAGATGTGAGTTGCATGGAATTGAATGGAGTGCTGAGGTTTGGAAGGAAAACCATAGCGCCACCAAGCCCACGTCAGGAAGTGGACCTTTGAAGTCTCTTTGTATCTCTTGCAGGGTGGGCACGGCGCCTGCCTGTCTTTGCAGCGTCTTGTTCCACAGGCTCAGATAAGGCAGGCATCGTCTTGTATGTTGCAAATTGTATAGTGCAAGATTCACAGCATGATTTGTGCGTTTTTCAAGTGGGGCCAGCACGTTTGGCTGGCGGCAAGTTGTAAGGCCAATTGTCTCAAACCACACATCCACTTCCTTTGACGTTCACAATCCGACGCGGTTGGACACAACATGGCCACTGGCTCACATCCCAAGGTCGCTTGGGCTTAGCTGGGGCAGCTTGCTTGGCAGCGATTTGACTGTTCTCAGTTTCAGTTGTTTACAGGCATTCCTCAACTCTTCATTATGTCGAACTACCAACCCAGCAATAGCAGAAAGGCAAGCTCCCTCGACTGATGCTTTAGAGGCCACAGCGTTGCAGCACAAGTAGAATGACTTTTTCAGATGCCAGACCGTTTCTTGGTGACATTTGGACTCTGCGCACGTCCAAGCAGCCTCAATCTTTGGTTGCTTCTTTGCGTGTTGCGAGTACGCTCTCAACATACTTGATAAGACAAGCATCTTGGACATTGCTTTAGGTGGCATACTGCTCGAAGAAATGAACTTCCACTAAACCTTGCTGAAGGCAACATGAGTCCAAGACTCTGCACCATTGGACAGTAGGGTAAGTAGAGGGTTCCAGTTCTGTCCCTCAAAGCCTTCCGAGACATTTTAAAGGATCATTGGCATGAACAAAAAGGAACTTTGTTAGTGCCGCCATGAATAACAAGGGACTTTGCGTGTGCTGCGAAAACGGGTAAGTTTACATCCCATGGTTGGCAGACATTGCTGGATCTCCCACGCAGGCCACACAAAACGGACCATGCAAATGTGGCTAACATTGAAGGTTCTCTGTTACCTCCTTGGGATTCCTCACTACCCCCAAGTGCTGTGAAGTTTGGCGATATGCGGCTTCAGTTGCACCATGTCCGCATGTGCCCTAGGGTTCGTTTTCCTGGAACAAAAGTTCTTCGTCAATCAATCGAGAAAGGGATTGTTCCAATCAGAAATGGGTGCAAAGGCTGTTGTACTTCTTTGCATGGTTTTGGGATTAAGACCATTTTGTGCATACCATGTGAGTCACAATCAAGAGGACTGCCCCCTACCCTTCATCTAAGCGGGACTTAAAACTACCATGTGGCGGAATCGAGGCTGGGCTACTTTTCTCTACGCGAATACCGGGCTACTTTCCTCTACGGGAATACCAAGTTTGGATTATGACGTCATTTGTTGCAAGGGTCAAAATCCAAATCGTACCCCCAGTGAACATCCCAATCCCCACCAAAATAGGCTGAAATGGGTGGTGAATTCACCTACCAACCAAAATGGGATCCCAAAACGGTTTTGACCACTGCAGCCGTTGGCGCTTTCTGCCGAGGACTTTTACTCACAGCGCTATGCCCTGGGGGGCGTGGTCCGTTGTGACGAGGAGAGTGACGAGGCGCTGCGGTGCACCAAAAGAAGACGCAGAGCCGTGGTGAAATGGGTGTGGGTCATAGGGTCATAACCAATGCCTCCACTTTGGGGCGGATGAACACCCATGTACCACCTATTTTAAGGGGTACAGGGTGTTGACCCACAGCCAAATGGGTGTGGCTCATATTTTGTTTGAGTGTGGCCTTTCTTAGGTTGGTTTGAAGGGGAACCAAAAGACAGCCAGCATTCTTCCATTTGGTTAAGAGTATTTGTTATTGTTCCCTGTTGGTTTTAAACTACAGGAAATATGCTTTATTTTTCCAGGGGAGTTAAGCAAATGGAAGCATTTGTTGGGCCCCCCATATTGACTCATACCCAACTGTGCATGAATCTTGATTGGGAGTCGACTCACAAACAGAGTGGCGTCCTTTAGATGGCCACAATATGATAGGCGGATGTGGGGGAAGACTTTCGAACCACCCAGTTGCCAGGTTACCCCTTGAAGCAAAGACACACCCATACCTACGGTATGTTTGTGTTGCAATGGGGAAACCTTTGCACATCCTCAGGGAATTCCGAAGCACTCACGTTGAACCTTAACACTGGGAAATCCTGGGGCCAAATCTGGGGTAATGTTGATTTCAGGTTTTCATAAAGCCCTGGTTGATTGATACGGGGGCTGTCCCCTGGAGCTCATGACTCTTGGAGGGAACGCCCTGATAAATGCACGACGGGCTTATCGGGTCAACATTCGCCGAAAGAATCATTTTGGAAACCCCAGCCCTAGTCCGAATTCGGAAGCCAAGAAGGGGACCCTTGCGGACTGTAGGATGTTTGTTTGCTTCCCCTAGCAATCTCTGCATTCGCCAGGCCAACGAGATGCAAAGCCTGCAGGCCGATGTGTAGTTTTCTCAGCCGACGCAGGTGCCATGTGCCCCAACTCATCGGTTCCCCGGTTGTAGGTTCCAGCTGAACATGTGTGCCCGACAGTCAGGAAAGCCCGACATAGATGGTTGAGGAAAAATTTTCTCAAAAGGTTTTCTTGTACAAACAAAAAAGGCCACATTGTGTTGTTTGTTCAACATGTGGGCAAAAGCTGCTCCGAGCGGAGCTTGCATTGCACCTTTTGTTTGGGCAACCTTTGACGCAGGCTTCAGGTGACGAGAACACAGCATGGATGTCGGCCAAAGTGCAGCGCGAGAGCACTGGTCTCCTTTCTGCGGCCTGAAGTTAGTAGCTACCCACAAGGTGGTGGTGCACTGGTGCACTACTGTAGCATGTTCAGATATTTGCTGAACATGCTGGTTCATGCTGAACTTGATGCGTGGTGAATACGTAAACCCATCTTCAACATTGCCAGCTTGGCTGGGTTGTCTACACTTCCAATGGCTTTCATTCAGCAATCGGCCCATGTCTAAGACGCCCATGTTGACATTCATTTTCTGCAGGTTGGCATTTGGCATTTGCTGCATGACTGAGGCTTTCTTCGTTTTGGACCGAGTCTTTCCAGACTTTACTTTGCGGCTGTGCGCGTTTTTCGCGATCTGTCCTGGAATGTTTGACTCGGAAAAAAGTTTGTCAGCTTACACTTGTCGACTTGGTACTGCCCTTCCCAGGTTCCTAATGCGTTATTTGTCGTTCAATCAGCCATTGTCAGGTTCAGCTGGCTTGGATTAAAGATGACAACTCAAATGCCCTTTGACATTCTGTTTGGCTACGCAATTACTGTTTTAGCCAATGGCAATCGTCTGTCTATAGAAAGTATAACAGCCGCGAACGAAGGCCTGTTTGATTTCTGCGTGACCTCTGATGTTGCTTAGCACTGCGCGTTGACACCGCTGACTCGTGACTTGCCAGGTCATTTGCCCCTTGACGCACATTGACGTACAGAGGACACTGCGCACGTTCCCCAAGGATGTCACAAACACCATGCAGACAAAACATGTTTGCCCAGAGCACAGTGAGCGTATTTGGTCCACTTGGAGTCGAGTTAGACTACACTTGACATTCTGATGAAGATGAGGAACATATAATACATCTATTCACTCATATGTTAACGCGTCATTGGGCCTAGCTCCACACCTCAGTATCTTGGACCAACACGGAGGTGCCTGTTTGGCAAAGCCGTGACATGGAGAACTTGTAGGGCTTGCAAGGGTTGCAATTCTGATTCTTCAGGAACAATGTCATAGTGGGTTGGCAAGACTTCCGGTTAGCTTATGTTTGAGAGTACTCTCGTGTAAATGAGCATGAAGCGAGAGTGTAAAACTTACTTGCGTTTCCAGCATCTATGTTGTTTTGAGATCGGACGGTTTCGTTTGAGGTGAATTTGCAGAGCTAAGGGAAGCGAAGCTGTGAGTCGAACCTGTCATTTGGTGGTCATATTTGGCTGGCCACTACTTAGAACATCAATATGTTTTCCAACAGAGGATTGATGTTTCTTCATTTTCCCGGACCTATTTAGCACCCCAATGTACCTTCTACTGTACCCCAGCAGCACATTTCCGATGTTCGAGCGGCTAGGGCACCAAGTGTATCTTCTGCCTGTCTTGGAACCCAACACCAAGCGTGGCATGATCTACAGACTCTGCGTGGTGTGAACGTGCTAAACATGGTGATGGCTTTGTGGGTTCCCCATGTAGGTATGTTGTTTTTGAGGGAACCCCTTAGTGGGTTTTAAACAGAAACCCAAGGGCAACTCCCCATCTTTGGGGGGTCCCCTATTTGAGACAATCCCATGCCTCTAATTTTTAGAGGGCCCCTTAGCAACACCAAGGAGGTATCCTTCGGCGAGCCAACCCACTGCCGTTGGGATAATGTTGTCAAATTGCTACAGGCATGACTTTGTGCAGGACAGTGTGCCGGTATCCCTTCTTAGCTTTGCCCACTGAGTTTTTAAGAATTCACACTGGTGCCATCAGCTTGAGGTTCTCCTGTGAGCTTTCGGGCCTGTTCCTAGATGATTAAATGCCAGTCCAGTGCTTCCAGTTGCCAGTACAGGTAAGAAAGAGAAACCACGCTTTGGCAACTGACTACAGAAACCTCTGGTTACTCAGTTGGTGGTACCCGGAATCCACTAACACCCCCAAGGGATACAGGATACAGGTATTCAGCAGCGTTGGGGGCAACATCAGTTTATCAAGGCCCAACAAGGCCAAGCAAGGCCTTGGCTCAACGGCTGACGGAGGCGTCTTTGGTGAGCGCAGGGGTCTGTAAGGGCCTTCAAAGCACAGACCCACCAGGAGCAAGGTGGAGGAATGGAAGATTATGTCTGCGGAGATCACGCGAGCAGCGGAGATTCTCAGGCGCTCAATGTGGCGCATTCTTCGGGGGGGGGGGGGGTGAGAACACGTGTCTTCAAGTGCACGCCATAAGTGAGGCCAAGTGGTCCTGGCATTGGTTGCAAAGGAAATTTTGTCACCACATGTTTGCCACCCAGAATTCGGTATTAGGCGATACTGGGCGAGTTGTTGTGCCCTTGCTTCATGTAACTGTTGCGAATCCAGAATCCACTGTAACTTTCAACAGGGGCTGCAGGCTCCCGAAAAGGCCCCAAATCATTGTTCTAGGTTGACGATCGGCAAGAGTTCTGGGTGGGATGTGGTGGGTGATTGGTTCTTCCAGGTGTGAAAGCAACCGAATACAGAAGGTTCTTGAGTTAATGAACCTGTGCCACTTCCGTTGCTTTCTGTGATAGGACTCAACGACTGATTGGCAACTGCGAAACGCTGACGGGTACAGTGTCGACAGTCTGTTGGCCAACACTGACCACAACACATGGACAGCGATTGTATGTGTGTTTTCACCAAGAAGCGCTGATGCCCAGGGATGGTTTACAGGTCTGTGGGTTCAAGTCGGCGTAATTTCCTTGGGATGAGATGGGACACCCTCCCAGAATCTCAGAACCTCTCTTTTGAAGCCTCAGTTGGGAAGGCGGCTGGCTTCCAGCGCTAGGATCGGAGGCATGTCCCACCAGGAATCGAACCGTGGCCTTTCAACCAGCGTGTTGCCGGGAACTGGAGCGCGTATGTATTGCGCGCACCGGCTTCAACTGGAGCCCTACATCGGAGCGATTTTCCAGGAAGGAACTCTATAAATGAATAGAGAATGGGGGAGATTAGCAGTAGAACATTTGGACCCCTGAATAAATCACAAAGGACCTTCTTAATCACACAAAAACCTTTTGGGCCCCCCTCTTTGTGCGACACCCTCGTTTGGAGGCCCGGTTGTTCAGTGTTGCCCTCATCCCTTTTGGGGCTTCCCGAAAAAAGTCGAAAACCAGAAAGGGCTCCCTTTGTCTGGGATGCACCCAGTCGCCATAAATGGTTGCCGCCTCTTTAACTTCTGACATGGTTCGTAGACCATGTTGCCGGGTTTTGATTACCTGGAACCCCCCAAAAAAAGCATCATTTCGAGAGGCGTCGTTGTTTTTATGGGCCGCTCCCCCGCAACATCCGTCGGAACGCAACCGCGGCAGTGGGCACCTCGATGCTGCGGAGAAGCTGCGGCGGATCTTCAGCGCTTCGCCCCCCCCATCGCAGGCAGCGGCAAAAACCATGTTGAGCCCGGATTCAGTTTATTCAGTGGCACCCTTTTTCCTTTTTTTTTGGGTGGCTGCCCCACTAAAAATGGTCTTCCGAAAAAAGGGTTCCTTTTTTCCAGGGTCACTGAACAACTGAGCGGATTCATCAACCCCTGTTTATTGATATGATGGGTGGGGGGCCCTCCAAAAGTAATATATATAGATCCCCACTAAAATCGGGGACACCCCCATATTAATAAACAGGGGTTTATTGAATCGGGGTCAGCATTAGGTCGACTGAAACCAGAAGCTTCCAGTTGCTTAAAGAAGATCTCTTGTTTTCTCGTCTTGGTTTTTGAAGGGAATTTACCACTGCTGGAAGTATGGTATTTTTTTCCAGGGAGCTTCAGCAAATGGAAGGAATTTCTGGCGAAGTGAACCTTGATGGGTTGAAATCTGGGCTATTCAATGGAGCCCTCACGGAGCTGCGAGTGAGTAGAACAGCGGCTAGGGGCCCGGACTCGGGTCACAAACAGTTCCGATCGCAGGAAAGAAAAACCCATTGGTTAGAGCTCATTTGGCCATGGGTCAAAATCCAAATCGGTTAGCCCCCAGTGAACATCCGATTCAATCCAACCACTAAGGTTCTAAGATGGGTGGTGAATTCACCTACCCCAAAATGGGACCAACACGGTTTTGACAACCACAGCCATTTAGGGTCAGTGGCAGAAATTCAGCGGCCCTTGCCACCCAGCACTATGCCCAGCCTGCCACTTGCTGCGCAGATGCGTTCAGGTCCAAGGCCGCTTTGGATTTTTGGGTTTCAGGGAAATAATTGAAGTCAGCCCCTTCGACGGGGCCCCTGTGATGTGCAATTTGATTTCATGTTCCGACTATGTCGAACTTGTATGGAAATGGAGATGCAGTATCCGGAGTTCCTGAATAAACCCTCGATTTTGGGAAATGAACTCTTCATTGTAGAGTTGTGCGAGAGAAAGCAATGGCTAAATATTTACTAGAAGCTTATTCGGATAAATGATCACTCCATTTGGTTTTTAAGTCCACAGCCCCATTCTACTTATTTAGGCCCTGTTGCAGTTGGGTAGCCACAGCCCTTGCATGGTTTACTTGAGTTGAAATGACCTCAAGAAAAAAACCACCCAACTGGTGTTTTCCTTTGTTCCCTAGGTTCATCCCCAGGTTCACTGGAATGACCCCAAGACTTATAAACCTCAACTTTGGAATAACCTAGCATATATCATGAGTACCAGTAGAGCCGGCGAAGCCGGTGGGCGGAAGTTTCAAAAAATAAAAACTATAGTTATTTTTCTCTTTCCTCTCTTGACTCTGTTTTCTCTTCTTCTTCCTTTTCAGTGTTTCTTTTTTTCTTCGTCATTCTCTCTTTCTTTCTGTCCTGTCTTCGCCCCCCTTCTTTCTTTCTTTCTTTCTTTCTTTCTTTCTTTCTTTCTTTTTCTCTTTCTCTGTTTCTCTCTTTCTTTTTTCTCTCTTGGTGGTTGGTGATGGTGGGTGGTGGGTGGTGGGTGGTGGGTGGTGGGTGGTGGGTGGTGGGTGGTGGTTGGTGGTTGGTGGTTGGTGGGTGGTGGTTGGTGGTTGGTGGTTGGTGGTTGGTGGTTGGTGGGTGGTGGTTGGTGGTTGGTGGTTGGTGGTTGGTGGGTGGGGGGTGGTGGGTGGTGGGTGGGGGGTGGTGGGTGGTGGTTGGTGGTTGGTAGTTGGTGGGTGGTGGTTGGTGGTTGGTGGTTGGTGGTTGGTGGGTGGGGGGTGGTGGGTGGTGGGTGGGGGGTGGTGGGTGGTGGTTGGTGGTTGGTGGGTGGTGGTTGGTGGTTACTAACTAACAAGCAACAAACAAACAACAAACAAAGCAAAACAAACAAACAAACAAAGAAACTAACTAACCAGCTATCTATCAATCACTCTATCTATCTTCTCTATTTTATCGATGTACTTATCTATCTATCTATCTATCTATCTATCTATCTATCTATCTATCTATCTACCTATCTATGTATATGTCTAACCTATCTACCTCTCTATCTATCTAACCTACCTACCTGTCTATCCATCTCTCTCTCCCTCTGTATCTATCTCTCTTTTTATCTATCTATCTATCTATCCATCTATACATCTATCTATCTATCTTTCTCTCTCTCTCTATCTATCTGTCTATCTATCTATCTGTCTAGTTATCTATCTAATCTATCAATCTACCTACTTGTCTATCCATCTATCTGTCTTGTCTATCTGATCTATCTATCTACCTGTCGATGTGTGTATCCATCTATCCTCCTATCTCTCTCTCTCTCTCTCTCTGTCTCTGTCTCTCTCTCTCTCTCTCCCTCTCTGTTTGTCTGTCTATCTGTCTTTTGATCTATCTATCCATCTATCTATCTATCTATCTATATATGTATTTAGCTGTCTGTCTGTCTGTCTGTCTGTCTGTCTGTCTGTCTGTCTATCTATCTCTCTCTCTCTCTCTTTCTATCTATCTACCGATTTGACTATATCTCTATATCTCTGTCTCTCTGTCTCTCTATCTCTCCATATCTCTATCTATCCATCTATCTATCTGTCTGTCTATCTATCTGTCCGTCTATCTATCTATCTATCTATCTATCCATCTCTCTCTCTCTCTCTCTCCATCTATCTTATCTATCCATCTATCTATCTATCTATCTATCCATCTATCTCTCTAGTTCTTTATCTATCTATCTATCGATCTATCTCTCTTTATCTGACTATCTGACTATCCCTCCATATATCTATCTCTCTATCTGTCTATCTATCTATATTCTATCTATCTAATTCTATCTATCTATCTATCTATCTATCTATCTATCTATCTATCTATCTATCTATCTATCTATCTATCTATCTATCTCGCGTGTATCTATCTGTCTCTCCATCTATCTATCTATCTGTCTATCTATCTATCTATCTATCTATCCATATATCTATCCACATATCTATCTATCTATCTATCTAACTATCTATCTATCTAACTATCTATCTATCCATCTATCTATCTATCTATCTATCTATCTATCTCTCCATCTCATCTATCTATCTATCTATCTATCTATCTATCTGTCGGTCGGTCTGTCTGTCTATCTATCTATATATCTATCTATCTATCTATCTATCTATCTATCTATCTATCTATCCATCTCTCGCGTATCTATCTATATGTCTATCTATCTATCTATCTATCTATCTATCTATCTATCTATCTATCTGTCTGTCTGTCTATCTATTTCTCTATCTTATCTATCTATCTATCTATCTATCTATCTATCTATCTATCTATCTATCTATCTATCTCTCTCTCTCTCTCTATCTATCTATCTATCTATCTAATCTAATCTAATCTAATCTAATCTAATCTAATCTAATCTATCTATCTATCTATCTATCTATCTATCTATCTATCTATCTAATTCTATCTATCTATCTATCTATCTATCTATCTATCTATCTATCTATCTATTTATCTATCTATCTATCTATCTATCTATCTATCTATCTGTCTGTCTGTCTGTCTGTCTATCTATCTATTTCTCTATCTATCTATCTATCTATCTATCTATCTATCTATCTATCTATCTATCTATCTCTTCTCTATCTCCCTATCTATCTATCTATCTCTTCTCTATCTCCCTATCTACCTGTCTATCTCTCTAACTATCTACTTTCTTGCTAATCTATTTATGTATCTATCTGTACCTAAACTTGCGAAAGTGCCGCGCCTGCCACGAAATCTGTACTCGACCTTGCGAAAGTGCCGCGCCTGCCACGAAATCTGTACTTGACCTTGCGAAAGTGCTGCGCCTGCCACGAAATCTGTACTTGACCTTGCGAAAGTGCTGCGCCTGCCACGAAATCTGTACCTGACCTTTCGAAAGTGCTGCGCCTGCCACGAAATCTGTACCTGACCTTTCGATAGTGCTGCGCCTGCCACGCAATTCAATCCTTGCGAAAACTTAACCTTGCGAAAGTGTTGCGCCTGCCACGAAATCTGTACCTGACCTTTCGAAAGTGCTGCGCCTGCCACGCCATTCAAACCTTGGGAAAACTTGACCTTGCGAAAGTGCTGCGCCTGCCACGAAATCTGAACCTGACCTTGCGAAAGTGCTGCGCCTGCCACGCAATTCAAACCTGGCGAAACCTTCGCGTTGCCGTGCCAATGGGCCCGCGCTCCGAGCATGGTCCGACCGCGCTCCGAACGCGCTCCGAACGCGCTCCGAACTCCGACCAGGCGCCGCGAACAGGCTAGCTTTCGGCAATTCACGCACGGGGCCATGCTTTTTGCAGCTTTCTATACTCCCACCACACGCGCGCACATATTTTCTCACGCGCTTATTCCTTCTCTTCATCTGTCTCAGAGAGAGCTAGCTTTCAATTAGTTGCCGTAACACGGAAGTTCCTTCTAAACTTCCTTTGATGAAGCTATGAACCTATGAACCTATGAACCTATGAACCTTTCATGGTTGCATGACCCAACAATCCTCAAACGGTTCATTCCCAGCACCACCGGTCACCAGGTTGGCACGTCTCGCCAGGCGCCAGCCCCTCCGCTCAGTGACGTGGAAAGGAGAACGGGGGAAGCGGGGGCCTTCCTAAAGCGATTGCAGGTCTGCCTCTCACGTGGTACTTTTTGGGTTTGGTTAGAATTAGATGGGTTCCACTGGTTTAGATCGGACATGGTTTTATTCCATTTAGAGCCATCAATTTTTCCAAAAGCACACCTGTGCCTTTGGTTTACCGTTTACCTTTCAAAAACAAGAGGCATTGAAAGGACAGGCGCATTTCTGCTTTGGAGCTGTTGGTAAACCAATCAGTGACTATTCGGAGAGACCTAAAAGAAACAGAAATGACCTCTATTGGCTCCTTCTTGGGCTTCGGAACTCAGCTCCGGCAATCCGTCCGCGTCGTGGGTAAGCAGAGTGTGTGTCAAGGGGTGGAATTGCTGCTTTCTATCCGCGGAAGAGCCACCAGCCGCTGAGCCATGCTGATCTGAGGGCCGGAAAGTGGAAATTGGACCTGTTCTTGTTGGAAACAAGGCCGTGGCACGGCTCCTAGAGCAGGAGAAAATAGGGGATTTAGACATGGACCCCAGGGCCTTGCTTCGGGGCCTTGTATTTTTTGTTGATCTCTTGGGCCATGGGCGGATGAAGGGCACGGAGCTCCGTGTTCATTTGCTGCACAATCGCATAGAGTCACTGACACTTTTCATATGGAATACCGTATGGGTCAAAATACAACCACCAGGAGATCGCAGGTTGTAGTCTTTGGTTCCATTTACCAGGCGTTCAGTCTGGGTACGCATTTTTGACCCACAGCCATATGCATGCTTACCAACGTCACTGGCCCCCCTGTTGCCATTTACAGTTCGGCAAGAAAGATGGGGAAGGAATCACTGACAACTTGACGGATCTGTAAGTCTTGCACGTGAAACAGCATTGGCATGATCACACTATATTATCCCCAGCTGCAATGTATCGCAGAGCGATGCTTCACCGATCAAAGGCTGGAAGACCAAGCCTTGTGCTTGCAGTTCCCACTATAGTAAGTAACCAGAGGAAAACATCATGCACAACCTAGAGGTGAACATCCAAAGATTGCCTACCATAGTGGCAACTGGAAGCACTGGGCAAAGTTCCTCGCCAAGGAAAGCGTTCCTTTTGGCGAACAATTCGTTTGGACCATCGGACCTCGCCAGGAGAATCGAGGAGAGGCTCAACGGCACGCCTGCGCGGTTGTAGAAAATGCGCGTGCGTGACGGTACTGGCGTTTTCGTGGGTGAAAATAGAGTGGTTGAAAGAACAAGTCACCGGGGTCCTTTGAGACTTGTAAAGCCACCCCTCCATTTATCCGCTGCGTATCCTAAACCTGGTGTCCAAATGACAAGCGTCCCGCCGTGTACAAGGCTCCAAAAGTTGTCTCCAACATGCGCACACACACACATATATCCACTCAGCCAAGCACACGTTGGCTTCAGAAATGACCTCCGTACTGTATGTGAGAGCAATCTTCCACCCCCTTTGCTTCTGTTGCGTGATTTGGTTTGGTGGGTTCCTATCAAATCAACCAACAAATGGCTATCAGTTTGTTTCCCTGGTCAGTGGACAAGGGGCGATCTTCAGATTCGCGAAGGTGACTCATTTCGAGGCCTCGATTCCTGGTTTTGTTCATCCACATTGTCTACTGCTCATGTCTCTTTGGCAAAATGGATTCTCGCGCTTTCGACGTACTGACTGCTTCTCATGAACTTGGATGGCAACCTCAGGCAAGCTCCAGTTACTCTGCGCGCATGTGTATGCATCCACAGATGATGTGCACTGCGCTTGAGTAAAACAACTGAATTTTCACACACATATGCCAGTTGCTCGAACTGGTACACAGCGTGCCCCATATCTTTTCTTGTGGGTTTAGATTCATTGCCTTTCGCGCCATGTTTGTTCAGACTTTTAGTTTCTTTTGTTTTGTTTTCTTATTATTTTTTGGGGGGCAGGGGGCGGTTAATGGGGCAGTGAGCAGGCCGGCAGACTTCCGGTCGACACGGCTCAGCTGGAACTTAAGTCCGATTCGGATACTTCCGCGCTTCCTCGCGGAAGTGCAGGACCGTCTTTCGGGCAGCGTGACGCTTTCGTCGATGTCCTTGCAATGATGGTCCCAGTTGCCCAGTGCTGCCCTTGTTTTCGTTTTTTTGGGAAGGGTGTCCCTTGAAAGCCAATTCCCCAAAAAAGGATACCCTTTTTTCCCATGGCCACTGGGCATTTGGGTGGTCCTTTCCGGGGTGTTACCTTGTTTCGGGTTTGGGTGTTCTTGTTTGAGTCCCTTGGATGCATTGGAAGGTGTTCAATGGAGGGAGCCAACCTTGTGGTCGCTCGCCTGGCAAACTTCTTCAGCCCAAGGGGCAAAAAGATCTGCTGCCAATTTGGCTCCTACAAAGTTGGAATGCTGTCAGATCATCTTTCTTTCAGGTCCAGGTACAGTCGCCACGGGTCATTTGAGGTTTAATTAGAAGCCGTGACCCGGAAATCAATATCTCCCACAATGGTTGGCACTCCCAAAAAAGGCTCGGGGTTCTTGTGACGTTTACCTCCTGCCATAAAGGGAGGCCCAGGGACACAACCCTGAAAGAGGCGATTGCAACTTGTGCATGGTGCACATTTGCTTGTCGCGATCGTCGTCCCAATACGTGTTGGCCTTTGAGGCCAACTGCAACATCTATGCTGAAGCAAAGCATTGCAACTTTTTTAGGCAACTTGGAAAACTGCATGAAAGTAGGGAACAAAGCAATGTTGTAGGGGTTGATTCCCCATTCTTTTCAACCATCGTTCTTTTCAAGAACCGTCTGTTTCCCCCGGGTTTTTGATGGTTTCCTGAAAAGAAGGATCCCTGGAAAGAATGGGGAAGGTACCCTTAGAAATGTGCTGCTTGTGTTTATCTGAATTACGTGTCTTTCCGAGAGCCAACTCCGAGGCTTTTTGGTGCTTAAGATCCCCCACCCCCCGCCCCAGGGCGCGACCCATGTGGTGGTTTCGTGGTTTTGGAGGCCTGCCAAGCACCAGCACCAACAGCAAACCATTCAGATGGTGCTGGGTTCGGGTCTCATGGTTTGCGGTATACCCATAAAATTAATAAGCGGGTGTCTTTTTGTTGGGGGGCCCGCGAAACATGGTGGGGCTTTCAACTTGTTAGCTTTCCTTGTAAGCCGCCTACCAAACAGGGTACCCTCAAACGACAGACCCAAATTTGCCTCGCCTTTTTTCGATTTCCCAGGACATGGCGCTACCCAGCCGCTCTGGAGATAAGTTGTGCGTCACAGGCCCGGCAGGTCAATGACCCACTTCGCCTCAAAACCGATTCCTATTGGCCATCCCTAGAAAACCTGGAGTCGAGAATTTGCTTTTTTTTTGCCGTAACTACAGACATCGCAGTCGATTCCATCAAAAACCGCCTTTTCCTTCAAAAAGCGCCCTTGAGACACGTGCAAGGGAACAGGGTTCGGCAACAAGACGCCTTTGTATCGCGGAAAAACGCCCTCCGTGAGCTTGTTGTATACGCCCAACATGACAAGATTCAGGAAAATCACCTCCATGCAAAAGTATGATGACCTCCCCTCAAAAGTCCATGGAAAGGCAGAAAAAACGGACTTGGGAAGACCCAGGTTGACTTGCTGGTGCTCAGTAGGAAATGTGGGAATGAACCTAACGATTCTCTTAAAGGAAACCATTGGGGGACGGTTCATTTCAGTCAGTCCCTCATTCCCTGCTGGGCACCAGCAAGTTTATCAATTTGAGTTAGTGGTTCTACTGACTTCATGGGGCAGCAAGCCGTACAAAACCAATGTATAAACATTCTGGGAGAACCAAATGCAAAGAGATGGGCGCTGCTCAACTGTCCGCTGGTTTGGAGGAGGTTGCATCAGCCAGACAAGGTATCCTTGATTTTATTGTGCCTCCAAGTCCGCCCGCTGTTGACATCAACTATCACTAGCTAGCCATATCTGGATCGCAACTATGACGATATAGACGATCAGCCTGTCCGAATGGATTGCTAGAATCATGCATGACGACATCTTTGAACCGCCAAAAAAGACCCAGCGTGTAGATCACGGTGACACGTAGCCGCCTGCTGCAGCCTGTTGCCCCATTGCTCCATTGCTCTGTAGGCCATGGCAAACTGCCGGAGGATCTTTGCAGCACTGACAGCGGCACAAGCCGCTTGGTCAGACCTGACCTTCTTGACGGATGCTAAGCAGCTGTTCTTCTTTTTGGTTCTCGATTTTCCCGAGAAACTGCAAGGATACGTGTTTGCTTGTCGAGTATGGACTATGGAGCCTTCTGTGACCACCCGTTTTGATATTCAAACGAGAACAGAGGCACCCAACCCATTGTGGGGTCCCATTCCACGCAATTCCAATTTTGGGCAACACCCATTTTGTGTGTGTGTTTGTGCGCAGACGTCCTCCGTTTTGGGTGCAAACCGCTTTTTGCTCCAGCAGTTATTTTCCTTGCTTCTCTCCGTAACCTGTTTTTGTTTCATGTTTGATTCATGCTAACAATTTTAGATCTTTGATATTGTCCCATGTCTATTGTCTTATATGAACATATTTGTATTTTGTTGTTTGAATGGTTTTTGTGACCAACATGCAGGCTGGATCACCATCGGTAGGTCTCCCTATGTTGTCCTGACTCTGACTGGTGCCTTGTGGCAAGCAAGTCCTAAGGAAAAACATAGAGGGAACACATAGGAAACAAAACATAAATTAGAGAACCGTGGGAAAACCGTCGGGGAAAAAATAAAATAAAAGATAACACACATCAGACAAACCTATGGAAAAAAGAGCAAACCATGCAACCATGGGAAAAGCATGGCAAGCATCAGAAACACTTAGGGAACAACTTAGGAACACCCAAGGAGCTACAAAGGGAAAGGTGTGGAATTCCTCAAAAGCCAGCCAATGAAACAGCCCTGTTTGCAACGACCAATGATGTTAGTATATGATATTGAGTATGGCAAGAGCAGACTGTAGACCTTCCTGGGCGATGTCCTTGCGAGGTCCTGTATCTCCTTTTTTCTACACAGGTGTCGTCAGTGATTCGGCGCGGAGGCGTTCTTGTGAGCCTTTGGTTTCGGGCAAGCAGAGTACGAGGCAACTTGAATAGGACGACACCTTGCAAGGTGAAATCAGTTTGAAGAACGGAGGTTGGAAAAAATCCTACTGTTGTTTGAACAACCTTCTTTGGGTTTTCCGCAGACCAGGTTTGTTTGAACCATTGCTGGCAAACAAGTGACGGAGGGAGCGCGTTTATTATTTGCAGGTCGTGAAGGCAGGCACGTGGCAACCGGGCAGGAGAAGAAGCCAGGTAGTTTCTCTTCTTTCTGACAAGGGGTGAGGCCAAAATAGTTTTTTCTCTGTGTGTGTGGGGAGGTTGAATGTGTGCCGGATGCAGAAACTACGCTGCACCTTTGCCTGGAAGCAAAACAAATCCTTCAGTGCCCCTTGTAAGATCACTTCGCTGAAATTGGCTGAAGTCGCTGATGAGAATCGCTGCGCTGTCGGCAAGGATGAGTCATACTGTGGATGGACAAAATCCGTTTGCACAAACCATTGTTTGTTGGTATTTGCAGGGGAATCATCATTCCGTCTTAGGTGGTGCGAAATGGATTTCGGCCATCCACAATATGTTGCAACTAAGGCTACTCCTCCTCGGCCTCAACGGCATCCGAGCACAGGCGGCCGTGTGACCGACTTGCCGTGGTCGGTGAATTTCAGCAGCGACATAATCATTGGTCGGGGGTGGTTGGGAGTTGTCGGAACGGTCAATGGGGGCCCCTTCAGAAATTCCCGCTGCAAAAGACCGCACCTCCCTGTGTTTTCCCATGTTTCTGGGAGGGACCGGACATTTCTTCTGTGGACCATGTGCTTGCAACACGATATGCCAGTTTAGCTGTTAGCTGCTGCAAGGTATTTTCTTGGTGGCTATGCTAATGTGCCACACTGCTCAATCATTTCCCGAGGTTATTCCGCGCATCTTTCCCCTTTCTGTTTCAGCAGTTCCGCGCGCCGAAAGACTCCCCTGATTGCGCCGTTAGCTTGTACCATATTTGTGCATTCATGCCAATGCAGGATGTGCGTATTCCGAGAGTTGATTCTTTGACTTGCTTTTCATTGCGCCGCCTGCAACGGAACTTACCGTGTGATCCTGGGCGTGCCGAATATTGGCTTCATCCGTTGAGTGTTTGCCAATGGGAGACTCCTTCATATTTACAGCTGCTGTTCCCTTCAATGCCATCCACTCAGGGGTGGTTCATTGTTGAAGCACACACACATATGCATACATATAATAATATACATAATATATATATATATATCTATAGAGATATAGATATATACACCTGTATGTGTTTATATAGTGCAGATATTAAGTCTTTTGTTCTGGCTGGGTTAGTTGCCTTCTTGCTCGGCAAGATGGGATCCAGCTGTGGTTCTGTGGTACGGACCGTACGGATGTGGAGCTGATCGCTGAGCGGACAGCACATAGCCGCCGGAAAAGCGTTGCTGACGATTTCTGCCGCACTTTCGCGGGCCACACGCAGTGCCAGAGAGTGACCTCTCACCTTTTTGGGTTTCCTGTTGGTGACCCAAGCCCCCAGCTGAGTCCTGTCGTTTCCGGTGCTTTTGGGGTCAGAACCTCCACTCTTGCAGGTTACGGCCTGAAGACAAGGCCGACTCTTACGGCTCCGCGCGATTTTCTGGCCACGGGTGGCACTTGGCATGTGGCTGTGGTTGCCAATGGGATCCTATTTTGCGGTTGGTGAATTCACCACCCATTTTGGAACCGATTTGAGTGGTTGGATTGGGATGTTCACTGGAGTATTTTGACCCATGGCCATGTGGCAAATTTGGGACGTGGAGCCTTGGGTTGTTGGGCAAAAATCTGTGGCTCACTCGCGAGGTTTTTCTGGCCTTTCCCCTTCGAAGCCGCCAAAGGTCTTGGGGAATCCTATTATTTCACCTAGGTGCCCCAGCTAAAGCCCCCTACTAAAATAGACTACCGCAAAAAGGTACCCTTATTCGAACCTCTCTACTGGAGGACCTTGCTATTGTTTCAGCATGGTGAGTTAGTATAGCTCAGCAAAGAGGGAGAGCAACGGACAGCCAGGCAGATCTATTTTTCTCTAAGGGGGTGAGCATTCGGAAGTTGCGGAGCATTTGGGGGTTGGGAGCAAAACTGATGGGGGCTGGGGGGGAGGGAGGGGAGGGGGAGGGAGGCAAAAGAGACCCAAATACGCCTCCAACAAGGCCTCATTAAGGGCTTAATAAGGGCTTACTCCCTCCCCTCCCGCCACTCCCTCCCCCCATGAAAAACATTGGTAAGACGGGGCTTCCTGCCTCCATTAGGAAACAGTTGACTATGCGGAATGCGGAGGATCCACACCAAATCTAGCTACTGCAGGCCCTTAAAGGATACGGGGTCGAAAAACATAAACACCTTTACCAGCTGATGTCGAACATCCGTGCATGTGGGTTTGTCTCAAAAAGGGGAAACTCCAAAAGGGTGGATTCCGTGAATTTGCGCTTCAAACCACCTCAGATCGGATCCCCTTCAGAAATCACCACCCCATTTATATGTCGACTGGAACTCTGTAGTGAGAGATCGGAGAACTGTTGTACATGTCAACTCTTGGCAGGCTTGGGATGTTCAATGGGTCTGGTTGTCAGATAGGCATATTTATAAACCCATGCATGAAGCCCGAGTACGAAGCTGTCACTGCCATCGTCACTTACGACGCAATTACGGGAAACCAGGCCCTGGAGGGTGCAAACAGCAAGTATCCTAGTGCCGGGTTTTGTGACCTTCTGATGCCTATTGACGATCATCACGAGCGGACGACTGTTGGCCAGTTGCAAACACATTTCCTGATCTGGGAGAAACATCATCTATGTCAACGTAAGTAATTTCTCTTGAATTCTAAAGTGAAGCTCCAACAACGCCCGTTAGCGGGCAATCTTGATTTTGGAGATCCCTGGTTTGGGGCTCATGTCATCCAGAGAGGACAGCCGTAATGGAGTCATGAGAGGGCAAGAACAGTTGGGTGTTTATGCTCAACATGAGTTGCTGGACTTGAGGTGAGAGATGCCGAGACACAGCCGACTGTTGCTTCAGTGGTATGGATGTACGACTGGTCGGCCAGATCCCTTGCAAACTCTTTGATACGGTTGGCTTCGTCACATATATAAAAACACACGTGCAAGTGTGTGTATATATATAGAGGGAGAGAGAGGGGGAGCAAGAACATCCTGTTATCTACCGCTGTAGTTTGGTTGGCCTTGCAGTTTTTGAGGAGTCTGAGGGTCTGGCGCTTCCAATGGGCCACCTTTTGAGAGCCATTGGATCAGGACCATGGTAAGAGCCGAGCCGCCATTCCCTGGGTTTCTCAACATCACGCGGTCAGTGAATGCAGTTGCAACTAGTGCCTGCTCTTGGGTTAAAAGGAGAGGAGTGTAGTTGTTTGCCCTCTACTTTGAGGCAGAGGGCTTGACAGCTCGCTTGATATGTAGGGCCTAGAGAACTAATTACTCATGTTTCACGATACGCTCATGATAATGATTGGATACGATTTGAAGTAGTCGTCAGCATTGTTAGAATTGTGCAGCCCCTTGGGCATACTCCGATTCCCCAAGCGTTTTTTCGCGTGACACGCCAGGTGCGCGATCTGTGGGACCCACGCTGCACCAATCTCAATTTCTTCCACGACACTCGCAGCATTGGAGCAATCCGCCCACTGGGGCAATCTTTGGTTTTGCATTTGAGACATCGTTGCCTCTTACTCAAATGATAATTAGATGAAACACATCCTCAGTGTAACTTTGAACCTGTGTGCACATTGATAAAACGTTCCAACATCCAGATTTAATAGGGATGATAGATCTGCCTAAGCCTTTAGTGGGTGCAGCAGATGTGTTTGTGTGTGTGTGTGTGTCTTTAGGTGTTTGTATCTTGAGCGGAATTCATGGAGCCAGGTTTGCCCCCCCTTCCCTCTGGTTGGGGGATATTTTGGTATACTGGTTTGGAGGTTTTGCGAACTGGATTAATGCCCCGATTCGACTGGAAACACCAACGATTCGACTCGGGTCCCTTCACTGGGGTAAATATTATTTACAGTTTTCTGTGGGAAAGAAGTTTGCATTTCCTGATCTGGTGTATGTTGATTCCGCCAGTCGCGTCACCAGTGTGCTGTCCAATGCCTAGAACAGGGCGGCTTCACGTGTGGCACTCCCAGGTCGGGTTTTGTTCCAAGTGCGCCAGTTGTTCAATGGCACTCTTGGAATTTCTGCCGTCCGATTCTCGCATGAGGACTTAGTAACTGGGTTTCGGTATTTGATCCACGCCTGCATGTGACACAGTCAGTTGGTCTCCCGGACCCGGCCAGTCGGCTCAACCAGCTCTGGGTGCCGAACTCGGGTGACTTTGGGCCGAGCGCAATCCTCAAAGACCAAACGGGACCCTAGTAGGCCCCCCCCAAAATGGACCCTGTTTTTCCCCAGGATTGGGCAGGGGGGGGGTTGAGGATAACTAGACCACCATGAGAATTAGACGGCCAGCTGTTTGGGCGCCTTTAAGCACCCCTCGTGAGATCCTTTCGCCATGTCGGGCTTCAAGTGCGCAGTCGACGATCAGAAGAGGGCCACGGAGTTGGCCTTGCTGAGATGCCGGGGCACGGCTGGCGAGAATCCGCAGATCCGGGGCTTTTGGGGTGCCACCCTGTCGTTCTTCTTGGCATTTCTGGGATGGTTTGCACTGGCGCCGCTCAGCGTTGAGGTAGCCACAAGCATGGGAGAGTGCGAAAACCAGCGCTTCCCCCCGGAGGCGAGGGTTGGACTCGAGGTACATGAGACAAACCTATGGCTTCCCTTCAAAAGGGGCCTTGAAATCAGTTTTGTTCAATGCCGGAGGAGTATCCAACACGGGTCGCCTACCTCCAGTACAGGAACATCTCTACCAAGATTCCCTACTGCCGACACGGGTTGGTGTGGTCTGATGGCTCTCCCATAGACTGCGCATATCCGCCAGTGAACAGCAGTGAGACTGGCATGATTAGGTATCAGCCGGAGGTGCGGGCTGAATCAAAGCTTCAGGACTTTTGTGTTTTGCATTTAGAGAGAGTTTGGTGACCCAAACAGCCCCTCCCCTGAGCCAGCTATTGTGGCAGGGGAGAGGATGGGGGAATGAAGCTATGAAGCTATGAAGCTATGAAGGAATTGTCATTTGTTTTTTGAAAACAGGTGCTCGCAAAGTGCGTTTGCACTAGTCAGACCCAATGCCACACCACGATCGCCAATGCTGCGGTGGCATCTTCGGCGTCCAGCATCGTTGTGCGCGTTGCCCTTGGAACTCTCTTGGAGAGATGCCCGGTGTGCAAGCCATACCTTTTGCACTTTTTTGGGGAGGCTTTCCCAATAGACTACAGAAAAAAGGTACCCTTATTCTAACCTCTCTACTGGAGGACCTAGATATGTTTCCTACCCTTTCAGGACCTAAACAAGGCCTTGCTGATTTCCCCAAATTGACTACCAGGGAAACGGACAGTATTTGCTCAAGGCAAGGTTTGTGGAAGTCATTGTTTAAGTTGCTTTCTCAGGCACACGGAACTTCCAAGGATATGGGCCTGTGAATGTGCAAAGCAGCCTTTTGACCTTCGGAGCGATTTGGGTGGCCATGTCTGGTGCTGTTCGTAAACCGTGGCATTTCGTGTCCATCCGGTTCTTTATCGGAGTTACAGGACATGGGTCAGCAAACATCGGCTCCGCCTCTTTTGGGTCTGCGTTTCGAGTATCAGTTTGTTGTGTTTATACAAAGGGAACCCAAGAAGGGCATAAAATGAGCTCACCCATGATGGAAGTCTTGGGATTTATTGTATTGCCCCGTTTGCAGATGGGTCGTTGTGAAAACATGCACTGCGTGGCTCTTGAGAGTCAGATCCGTTTCGGTGATTTGTGTTTGTGTTTTTTCTTTCTTTTTGTTTTTTGTCAGGATCCGTTGACAGTGACTCAGTCCAGAAAGGGGGTGTCGTCGCCCTGGAGAATAAAATCTGCTCGGTTTGCGGGTTCTGTGTAATTAAATCTCTGCGAGTTGGCATATCGATTTGCCAGTAGGGCCCCGTTTCAAGCCTTTCTTCACGCCCGGCGCAGGTCCACGTGCCAACGGGCCCCCGTTGATGGGTCTTGCTGGTTTTTTTATTTGACCCTGGCTCGAGCGGGAAATTGCATGGCCTCGAGACACAATTGTCATTCTCCGCAAGTTCGGATCCTCTGCTTCGGGCTCTCAGGGCTGCGTCATGGCCACGAAGAATACTTCATCGGCACATGGCACGAGTTGGATACTTAGGTTTCTTTCCGCAGTTTCTAGATGCCGGGCAAATAGCGTAAGATGCCATGTGGCGCCCACCGGACGTGAGACGGATGTGCTTCTAGGTTCATGAAGCTCGCTTTGCTTTTTTCCTTGTTTGTTTCCAGGAGGAACCTTTGTCACCACACAGTTATGGTGCTCCTTGATGTTTGCTCCCAACGTGGTCGGCACTGCCAATGCAACTGCCGCTGGTTGGGGCAACTTGGGCGGTGGAGTTGCTCAAATCGTTATGGTCTCCTTGCTGTTCGAGCCCTTGGTGAGCAGTGGCTCACCTGAAAGCAGCCGTTGACCTGGTTTTCCATATGTTCCATTTGCTGAAATGAATATTTGTTACTTTCCCTTGTTGGTTTTAAAGGGAATCTATCACTACTGGACATATTTTTACTTTTTCACGGGGGCTTGAGCAAATGGAAGATATTCTCACTCCCTGAGTTCATGGACTTTAAGCTTTTGGGGAAGACCATTCTAGTCTAGTGGCCAACGACCGTTTCATTTGGCCAATCCACTCAGGAAGTGAGATTTCCCTCTTTCCAACAATCAAAGTGGACAGGCATTTTTTAAGAGACCGCTGCCAGCTTCCATTGGAAAAGGGTGGAGATTTTGACATTCACTGTTTTCCCAGTTTGGTGTACGTTCACTTGTGGTTCAAGCTTTTGATCTGGTGGTTTCTTGCTTTCCGTTTTGTCCCTGGCAACTGAACGCGCCTTTGACCAGTTGCGTGCAGAGCCTGTGTGTGTGTGTGCTGTGTGTGTGTGTGTGTCTGTGTGTCTGTGTGTCTGTGTGTCTGTGTGTCTGTGTGTCTGTGTGTGTCTGTGTGTGTCTGTGTGTGTCTGTGTGTGTGTCTGTGTGTGTGTCTGTGTGTGTGTCTGTGTGTGTGTCTGTGTGTGTGTGTCTGTGTGTCTGTGTGTCTGTGTGTCTGTGTGTCTGTGTGTCTGTGTGTCTGTGTGTCTGTGTGTCTGTGTGTCTGTGTGTCTGTGTGTCTGTGTGTCTGTGTCTGTGTCTGTGTGTCTGTGTGTCTGTGTGTCTGTGTGTGTCTGTGTGTGTCTGTGTGTGTCTGTGTGTGTGTGTCTGTGTGTGTGTGTCTGTGTGTGTGTGTCTGTGTGTGTGTGTCTGTGTGTGTGTGTCTGTGTGTGTCTGTGTCTGTGTGTGTCTGCGTGTCTGCGTGTCTGCGTGTCTGCGTGTCTGCGTGTGTGTCTGCGTGTCTGCGTGTCTGCGTGTCTGCGTGTCTGTGTCTGCGTGTCTGTGTCTGTGTCTGTGTCTGTGTCTGTGTGTGTCTGTGTGTGTCTGTGTCTGTGTGTGTCTGTGTCTGTGTCTGTGTCTGTCTGTGTCTGTGTCTGTGTCTGTGTCTGTGTGTCTGTGTGTCTGTGTGTCTGTGTGTCTGTGTGTCTGTGTGTCTGTGTGTCTGTGTGTCTGTGTGTCTGTGTGTCTGTGTGTCTGTGTGTCTGTGTGTCTGTGTGTCTGTGTGTGTGTGTCTGTGTGTCTGTGTGTCTGTGTGTCTGTGTGTCTGTGTGTCTGTGTCTGTGTCTGGTGTCTGTGTCTGTGTCTGTGTCTGTGTCTGTGTCTGTGTCTGCGTGTCTGCGTGTCTGCGTGTCTGCGTGTCTGCGTGTCTGCGTGTCTGCGTGTCTGTGTCTGTGTCTGTGTCTGTGTGTCTGTGTGTCTGTGTGTCTGTGTCTGTGTCTGTGTGTCTGTGTCTGTGTGTCTGTGTGTCTGTGTCTGTGTCTGTGTCTGTGTGTGTGTGTGTCTGTGTGTGTCTGTGTGTGTCTGTGTGTGTGTGTGTGTGTGTCTGTGTGTCTGTGTGTCTGTGTGTCTGTGTGTGTGTGTGTTTTTTTCCGGTTCTATTTGACCATGGACCAAATCCAAATCGTACCCCGAGTGCACATCCCAGTGCCGACTAAAATAGGTTCTAAAATGGGCGGTGAATTCACCTACCCCAAAATAGGATCCCATTGGTCTTGACAACCACAGCCATTTGCTTTCCCCGATTTCTTTTGCAACCCTGGCCACGTCCCGCTTGCGAGAGGTGGCTTTGATGCGGACAAGGCTTGGAGATTGGCCATGCTGGTCCCAGCCCTTCTGCTTTTTCTTTGCGCTGGGCTCTTGAAGCTTTTGTGTTGGGACACCCCCACCGCTGCCCGCTTCAGCGTGGCCGTGACCGGGAAACGCAAAGAGCCGAGCTTCTGGGATTACGTGGAGGTGCTGAAAGACGTCCGGGTTCTTGTGATGTTGTTTCAGTATTCGGCCTGCTTTGGCACGGAGATTGTCATGAACAATCAGCTTGCCACGCATTTTCGGACCTACTTCCAGATGCCGTCCGCAGACGCTTCTGCGCTAGCAGGAGCTTTTGGTCTCATGAATTTGTTTGCCAGGTCTTTAGGTGCGGGTGGTGCAACAATAAAAGACCCTTTTGGTTGGTGTTTAAAAAAAAGCACTCACAATGACATCGGCCCGTGTTTGGGATCTACCCTCCCACCAATCAACATGTCCACAACCAGGACCCCCCAAAACGTCAAGTTCCATGTGAAAAGGGTGGGAGATGGTACCTCTTTTTGAGAGTCAGTCAGGTGGCATCAGCAGCGACCTTCTCTTCAAGCGCTTTGGATTCTGTGGCCGCATCTGGGCCCAGTTCTTTTGCCTTGTCTTCGAGGCCATTTCTCTCTTCTGCTTTGGGCTCGTGGACAACTCTCAGCCCTGGTATGTTGCACTGGCCGTTCTTATTTGCTTCTCTTTGTTTGTTCAGATGGCAGAAGGAACGAGCTACTTGGATCAAGGCGGAAGTTGCAGTTGGATGATTTGGACAACTCGGGCGTTTCCCAATATAGCTCTATAAGTTGCTTGCCTCTTCGTTTCCCTTCAACCACGTCTAACAGGTCCTGACATGTTGGTGCACTTCTTGAGGCTTTGCAATCGTGCCTTTCATGAACCCGCAGCAGCTTGCGATCGTCTCAGCCCTGGTAGGGGCCGGAGGCAACCTTGGCGCCACCATCGCCAGCTTCCTCTTCTACCGGAGCGCCACCGTGGACCCGTTGATGTGCCTTTGCCCTGTTTTGGGCCCCTTGTTTGGTCTGACCTTGTGTCTCAGAATGGGGAGCCCCTTTCTAGATGTTCCAGGACAAACCAACATCCCGACGTGTGGTCAAAGCTCAGTTGCCCTCTGACTTGGGGCTGGAATGACTTTTTTAATGAGCCATTATTATATAGGGTCCTCTTGCTTGGAAGGGAGGGAGGGGACTTGATGAGTTTTCCACAAAAAGCCTAGTACGTAGTTTGCGTTGTAACAGCTTTTCTTTGAAAGGCGCAGCTGGGGGTAAGTGGTATCCAAGCGCAAGATCAAATCAACATGCTTTTCTATACTGATTACGGATTAAGCAAAGGCCTTGCCACCTAACGTTACAAGTCGGGGCCAATCTTTTTTTTTTCCGCAACATGTGCGTGACTCAGCGAGGCCCTTCCAGCTCCACGCGGGCTACGTGCTTTTTTGGTCCTTCTTGACTCCGGTGTTCTATTGGCGCGAGCTCGGCGGCATGTTTCACGGCGCGAAGCCGGAGGTAACAGAGCAACATCCCACTGTGTTGCCTGCCTTAGATCTTCTGCCTCCCTTAGAGTCCACCGGCAAAAACTCCGATGTTGTTTAGTCAGCCTGCCTATCAGTGCCAATCTGGAACAAGCTAGTGCGGCACTTGAAGGAGGCCTGACTTTGTTTCTCGTAAGTTTTACTTGACTGTCAAAGCCAGGGGCCATGCATGGTTTTAAGCTGGCTTCATGCTGGCTTCTGTCAAAGCCAATCAACTCTGTGCTGTGCGATCCCCAAGGGACAATTCAGACAGAGCGCCGAGGAAAAAAACAACAAGAACTTTGAGCTTGGAAGCTTGAGAGTTTAGAGTTTCTTGTTTGGAGTATGGGCCAAAAGGCCCCTCCTGAAAGGCGAGGGCTTGGAGGCGGGTGTGCTTGGATCTTCGGATAGCAATGGATGGCTTTTGTCCTGGGATTTCCTTCAATGCGTTCCAAATACAGTGACACCCAAAGAACGAGAACCTAGTTTTACTGAATTGCAAGTTGCATCTGCACAGAGGCCATCAAGAGATAAGAGCGAGAAGAAAAGGGCTCTCCAAACAAGAACCTGTTGTCATTGAAGAGCACTTGGCAAGTGTTGCTTTGCTTGGTTAGCAGTTCCTGCCAGGTTTTGGTCAGTTTTGTTGCGCTCGAGTGGTTGCTTTCAACTGGCACATGACAAGCTTTTTTGGAGGACGTTGACTTAAGCATCAGCTTATACCTTGCAGGTTGCTGAGCTGGTCCCTCGCACGTGACAAGCACAGACATGCACCAGGATGGAGACAATCATTCTTTTGTTTCGTCCATCGAAGCTACTGCATTCTGGCGGGTGAGTAGCCGCAGTGACTTGATCTGTACCAGCAGGATGTGGTCTGAGCAGCGGTCCTTTCCCTACATGATTCTGTTGCCACAGTGTGTTCACCCCCGGTGTTGTCGCTCACTTGCTTGCTGTGCCTGCCGCCAGGAACTGGAAGGATGGAAAGTCGTTTTGCAGCCCGCAGTAAGAACGGAGCGCCAGCGGAATTCCCCATCCACCCGCCATCCGAAACAAGAACTATGATGATAACGTAGCGACATCCAGCTCAGTGTGCCTCCATTGCCAATGGGCCCCGGTTGGGACCTCTCCCATATCTGGAATTCCCATGCCTTGAACTGCCTACTTTTGGCTGCTGGGGAGTGGACCATGAAACAACTTACACGAAAGCTGCGGCCATGCGGCCCTTGGAAACTTCCTGCGCATAGACAGCTCTTGCTGTCTATGTAATCAGATTTATTTCCAGTGCTGCTGAAGTTTGACCGGGTTGGCTGCTTCCATGTGCCAGCAGGTGCAGGTTGTTGCGATTCCAATCTTTATCATTTACTCGCGAGTGGCTGAGTTTCGACACGTGAAAGTCTTTTGGCCAACTGTGACTGGATGCGTGTTAAAGAAGTGACTGCTTGGTACCTTCAAGGGCATAGCGGCTTGCGGAGAGACGGCTTTCCAAGGGATTTCCTAGTACACCCTGGGATTACGCCATCTGGGGAATCACCCTATTCCAGCCTGAATCCAGATCAAATAATGGTTAGTTTGGTTTATTTCGGATGATTTTGGGTAAACTTCCGGGGGAGCAATTCCAGGGCTTACTTGGAAATCTTTAGAAGCTTGCGTCTTTCTGACAGGGTGTTCTCCAGACTGGCAGCTTTCATCCGAGGACTTTGCATGCATTGAGAGCCTCATCTCCAATGGCAACTTTACCAAGCGCAGCTCGGATTCGTTTTATCCTATTGTTTGCTATGCTGATCCAAGAACGTGAATGTAAGAGGAATAGTAATGTCACAATTTTCCAGCGCCGAAAGCAGCATCAGAGCTGCGTATTGACTCACCTTGACTCAGCTTTACGGCTGAAATGAAGCACGGTGTCTTGGAAGAGCGATAGATGGGAATAGTGGCAAGGTTTCCTGTTTGGCTCTTAACCCTGCCTGCCGTGTGTGACAGTGAGGGTGCGGAGAAGAACCAGGGGCCCCATCAAACTGCGGACGCGTCATTTGGCTGTGCGTCAAAACCAATGGTACCATTTTGGATAGGTGCACGACCCATTTTAGTCTATTTCAGTGGGGATTGGGATGTTCACTGGGGGTACGATCTGGATTTTGACCCATGGCCATTTTTCTGGAAAGGCTTCACCCTGAACCCTGAAGGCGCTGCGAGTTTGGTCGCGACACATTGATGACACGCCTCCCGTTTGCCTTTCGCGCGGCCCTGTTGCGCCTTCACAAACCGCTTGTGATGGGCTTTGCGCCTAATCTTCCATTTGCTTAAGAACAATGTTTATTTTCCTTGTTGGTTTCAAATGGAATCTATCACTGCTGGAAATACTTTTTTCCAGGGGTCTCAACCAAATGGAAGCAATAGAAACATGTTGGACAAGTGTTCTCTGGCATGCAATACGTTATGTGTTGTCTTGGTGGTTTTGCATGTTCGTGTTAAGCAGAAGTGTGCTTGCTAAGTTCTCATGTCCGATCTCGCTACAAATGCACTTGGTCAATTTTGTTAGCTTGCTGCGTTTCCCTGCGCTATGTGTCCCATTATGTTTGTTGGGGTGTTCAAGCCGTTGTGCCACCCAAACCCGTCCGACCTCCTGCTCACCGCACATGTCCTCATGCTGTTGTGCACCCTCTGGACACTCTCAGTAAACATCAACATTTGTAAACCGAACATCAATTACACCGATATATTGCGTGTCACACATTTTGGGATGACCGTTGTTGGGTGGGTGGGTGGGTGGGTGGGTGGGTGGGTGGGTGGGTGGGTGGGTGGGTGGGTGGGTGGGTGGAATTTGTTGGAATGCCCCGATATCTCTTTGCGAGTTTTGGGAATGTGCAATTCAACAAAGCCAGCCGAGTAGGGCAATCTCCCGGAGATAGGCCTTTCAATGCATTGTGTTCAGAGCCAGCTTGTACCTGGAAACTTGCATCAACGTGTCTTTCTGCCGAAATTCTTGGCCCCAGGAATTTCTTTAAAACAAAAAACAAACGCTGGCGCGCGAATTTACCTCATACCGTTCGGGACATCAACTGAGCGTTGCTTTCGGCAGAACAAGGGGAAGAGCTTGTCCTTTGTTGAGCCTCGCATGTGTTTCCAAGACTCTTCGGCGTGCTTTTGTCCTGCGCCGGCGCAGTCTTCCGGCCTGCAAGACTGGCCGCCGCCCACGTCATGCTAACGGTTTCGAAATAAATCAAAGGCTGATTTTACGTAATCGTTCTGTGTATTTCCTTGCAAATCACTCAATCTGAAAACCTCGTGTTTCCAGAAGAAACACATCGTGATTTTTTGGAGGATTACATTTTTAGAGATTTGTTGGTCTCCTGGTAAAAGGGGGTCTCCCTCCCTGTTCTATCCTTAGAAAAAGACAGCAGGCAGGGGCAAACAGAAGGTGCAGGCTTGGCCACTTCTGGGTGTTCCTTCAAAAAGTTGTTGTCACCCTACGTTATGCTTGGAGGGCGGGTCGTCCTGGGGGCTGGGTTTGTCAGATTCCTAGGGTCAGATTCCTAGAGGCTGTGTTTGTTTCCTTTGATTGGACTCGCTCCATATTTAATTATTCTTAGTTTTTGCTAGACTTAAGTTGAACTTGATACATACACTAAGTAGAATATAAGAAGTTCGGTCCCAAAATTGTTAAGCACACGTTGTTTGAATTTCTACTGAATTGCAAAGCCGATTCTATTGGAAAGAAATCCTGTGTAGCATTTATTGTGACATAGAATCATCATTAATTAAATTAAAATTCAAAAGACGAGGTTGGATTCTGTCCTTATTAAATGCCATTTAATGTGAGATATAAATAGGTAGAACTTGATAAGTATTAAGTATTGTCAGAAGGAAACAAATTAGCGTTCCCGACAATGTTGAATACATGGTCCTGTGTAACAGTTATTTTGAAGTATACTAATCAGTATTCAAATTCTAGTTCGGCATAGACATTCTGATTAGAGTCTGTCCTTATAAGCTTGTACTTAATTTCAGTCAGAAATTTGATAAAGCTATCAAGTCACAAGGAGAATTCAGATGTCCCGAAATCGTGTTTGTTTGCTTACTCTCCCCAGCGCCACCATGGTCAGAAAACACCGTAAAAACACAGTGTCTGTAGCGGTTCGCGTACTCAATTCACATCTCCAGCAAGAGCCGCTCTTTGAAATTCGGTTTGAATTTGAAAGGATGCAATTGAGACTCAATAAGGCAATACTCGATCAGAATGCTATTGCGAATTGCATCTTACATTTGGACTCTAGACGGAGTTATTTTTTGAATGGAACTTTACAATTAAATTAGAGTTTAAACATAGTTTGACTAATAAGGAATCCAATCACTGAAAAGGAATGAATCCAATCACAACTTCTTTGTTTACTAGAATGAGTCTGATAATTCTATCCAACCCCAGGTCTCGAACGAGCAGATGAAGATGATGGGCTTGGTTTTTGGTTTTGTGTTATTGTTGTTGTGTTTTTTGTTGAGTTTTTTTTGTTGTTGTTTTTTTTGGGGGGGAGGAATCTGTAAAACACAGATTTCAGGGCGTCCCCTTCTGTACGCTTACCCCGCTTACCCCTTTTCACCACCCATGTTTACCAAGCCTTGTGCCCACGTTTACGACACCTTCACCAGGTTGCTATAGATGCTTTCTGTTCGACCGCTAGGCCGGGAACTAAGCGCCTGCTGCCGCGGGGAGGGCAAGGTCGAGTTGCACGCGATGCGCCGCGTCAATCGATGGCTCGCTGGCCGCGGGGAGTGGCCGGGTCACCCGAAACGGCCAGCTGGACATGGGGCATGGGTCAAAATTAAACCAGGGGACTGCAGGGTTTAGTCCATGTCTCCACTTACCAGGGTTCCGTTTTGGGTTTACTTTTTGGACCCACACCCATATGTTTTTGTTGAGGCTGAGCGATGGTGAGCTGTTTGACCGATTTCAAGGGAAGCCAGAAAGTAAACCAAGTTCTGGGCTGTTTCCCTTTGACCATGTCAGAGACGTTCCCGGAAATTGGACTGAATCCCTAAAAGTGATTCGGGAGCCAAGAAAGGGTTCTGAGGCACGCAAAATGTTGGGAAGTGTTGTGCACTGAATGCCTTTGTCAGCTGGAATGGCGTTGGCTCAGTACTTCATAGCATCAGTAGAGCAAAGGTTCGCCTAGCCTGCCTGGGGTTCGCGAAGGGTTCGCCCAACCCCCCGTGGGTTATTATAACGGCAGTTTCGCAAACTTTGGCTGGCCCTTTTTTGTAGTTGTGGATCTGTCGTCGCAGACATTCGAATACGTTGGTTGGGTTCGCAAACGTCCGCAAAGCGTGTTGTTGGTTTATGTGCCACTTCATACTCACAGTCTAGCATGCACCTCTATTGTTGCCCAAATTAGCAATACCTGCAGGCAGCTTCTGAGCGTTTTACATAGCTTAGCGAAAGCTCACGATGTGTGAGTTGGACAATGATCAGAATATGGGCCCGCGTGTTGTGAAATCATATTTTTGTTTAATGAAAAGTCATGCGCGAATCGGTGTTGCAAAACGACCGCACTTCCCACGAAGTCACGCCAGGGTTCGTTCTGCGAAGAAGCGTCTCGAAAGTGCACCGGCAAATCCAGACCGCCACACCTGCACTGCCGTTCTAGCTTGTAGTCACGGCGTGGAGTCTAGTGCCAGTGCCACCTGCACATTTCGCAGATTGGCGGGTCAGGGGCACTGATCAAACTTGTCGGAGACCTTAGTGGCTGAGTGTGGCAGTCACTGGCCCGGAGGAACCGTAGGATGATCCAACAGTATGCATCATTGTACAAGAGCCTCGTAAGGAACTGAAGCCGGTTGCAGGAAATCCGGGCCGCGATAATTTGTCCCGAGTGGTTTGGGGACATTTCACTGTGTTGATTGCACTTGTTGCTTGACGTGTACGGATTGACGGTAAGGAAGCACCTTATCGGAGCATGTCCATTGGATCCGTTTGCTTTTCTTTTCTTATTACATGCATGTGGCAGTTGCAGTGAGCTGACTCGGGGTTTGTCCATCCCGAACACAGGTTGTCGAAGTCCAGCTTGTTGGTCAGTTTCCCGGCCTCTCTGTCAAACCCAAAAGGGCTTCCAGTTGTTTCTACCATTCTCATGGGAGAATCCTCGGGACAGCGCTTCATGGCTTTGCTTGATTTAGGCAAAGCCGCCAAAAGCCACGCGCGTTAGGCTCACCTTACCCCTGACTAGCACCACCCCAACTATGCAGGGGACATGGTTCTCTAAAAGAGCTTAAGCCTGCTGGAGACAAGAAGCAAGAAGGTTGGGGATTTGGACCACTGGGAATACTTTGGGAATTCCATAAGTGAAACACCACTTTGGTATCACAGTGAGTTGCGACAACCGGCTGCATTGAGGAAGGCAACCGACGACAAGGAGGAGCTCGTCGTGGTGTCTCGTCCAGGTTTCTGGCGTCTGACTGGTCAAAGACCCCAACTTTTGGGTGTCGCTTGTGCTTTTTGGAAGGTACCCTTTTTTGGGTTAGCTTGAAAGAAAGCCGATGGGAAAGCACAATTTTGGTGAGAGTCTACATACCCATGACAATGTTTCCCCAAACCGAGTACATTCTCGGATGCTTGGGAGGTACTGCAAAGGATTTTGATAGAAACAAGGATGGGTTGCAGCCAGGGTCGGACGAAACTTGTTTGTCACAAACAAATAAAAGCTCGCGCTGCTGGCACTGTTTTGGGTGCTGCGCCGACTGCAGAAATGGATGTATTGGAGCTTTAATATCACATTCCCGGAATTTTGCATTGCCATAATGTTTCAAATGTTGGCAGATGTTTTGGGTTGATTGTACCATACACTCGTACTATACGCACCTTGGTTGATCCCTTTTTGAAATAGGAAGGCGTCCCATTTTAGACGCAGGATCCCCTTTTCGAGAAGAACAGGGTTATCCACCAGTCTGGTTGATTTGAACCATTATCTTCATCCGTTCAAAAACAGCGTAAACAATAATGGCTTGGGAAATACATGTTTTATCCATCCAATTCTCTAGGCTATGCCGTATAAAGAGAAGTAGGATGGATAGAGCTGGAGGATGTGAGTGAATGAGAGGCTTGAAAGGGAGGGAATGCCTCTCATCGCATCCTTTTCCTTGTCGTTCATTCTCCATTCCTCATTGCCCAGCAATATCTGTCTTTCAAGTTTGGTAAGGAATGACAAGGGTGAAACGAGGAAAGAAGTTGTAGACAAGAGAAAGGGAATGAGATGAGATGATGGTTCTCTTCATCATTCATCATCTCTTATTCCCGCTCCTCTATCTCTCTTCCCAAAACCCCAGATTCTAATGCCCGGGATTTCCTGAGAGATAGACTGCAAGTCAAAAGGAATGAAATAGGATGTGGAAAGGAAAGTCACAGACTGGATACGAGGGCAGGGGATATGATGGTGTACAGCACGACATATTTGGCAATTGCTGCGAGACTCGGCCGTTTCTCAAATCCACAGTAACAGGGTGTCTCTCAAGTTCAAGGCACCCCCAAGATGGTTGGTGTCAACATGCGAAAAGGGGGACCTGTATTTTGAGAAACCTCCAAATCCGTTTGTCCTTCCAGTCCTAGGTTTCTTTGGTCTCACGTTTCTCTTTGCAAGGCTTCCCTTTGTTCCAGGATTGGGCCTGGAGTGATGTCGGCAAGCTTCACAAGGTGGGTCATGGCCGCTGTTTTGAAGTTAGCGCCCTTCAGTCCCATGTTTTTGTGTTTGAACATCCACCTTTTGGGGCAGTGAGTCTCTTGTGAAATGGGTGTGGGTCAAAATTGAAGCACCAGGGGACCGCAGGTTTTCGTCCGGGCTGACCCTATTTTTGACCCACAGCATGGCCATGGACATGTCTTCCTAGCCTTGAAGCCAAGCTTTTCTCGCGCACGCCGTGAGGTGAAGAAGCTGCCAGCTGCCCGCGTCAATGTGAACAAGGGCCTCTGGGACCTGATCCTTCAACGTCGGTATAGTTTAAGAGATCAGCATTATGTCATGTTGCATCCATCTTGGGATCTGTCGGAATAGCCAATCGGAATTTATAAGGTGACCTTGGATCAAAATGTTATACCCTCTTTCCAACCAACATGGAAGTGGACAAAGGGGTTCCAACCGAAAGGAAAGTAGTCTTCCAGAACCCTTCTGTCAGCTTTCATGATTGGAGGGAGGGTACTTTTTTTTGTTGGGGTGGTTGCTCTTTTAACCAGCAGGTTTAGTTTGACGTCACATGGACCCGGAATCAACAAACTGGGCTCCAGTGGTGCCCGTCAGAAGCATATTGTGAAAGTGCAGGCATGTCCTGGACAGGGTTCCACTTTTTGATTGCCCCAAGGTAGAGTTAAACTCAGGGTGTTTCATTTCCCCACACCTGCGTTTATTTCTTCAGACGTGTTTTCGTCAGGTTCCGTGATAGTTTTGAGGGGCATTGAGGGGGAACTAGGGACTCTTTAAATGGCCTTTAAGCTTCGCATTCAATCCGAGGAGGGGTGTGTGTGTGTGTGTGTGTGCGCGTGATAGCTGGTTCCACATCAAAGCCCAGTCTTGTATGGTGCAAACCCCATATTATATATATATATGTATGTAATGTATGTATGTATGTATGTATGTATGTATGTATGTATGTATGTATGTATGTATGTATGTATGTATGTATGTATGTATGTATGTATGTATGTATGTATGTATGTATGTATGTATGTATGTATGTGTATGTATGTATGTATGTATGTATGTATGTATGTATGTATGTATGTATGTATGTATGTATGTATGTATGTATGTATGTATGTATGTATGTATGTATGTATGTATGTATGTATGTATGTATGTATGTATGTATGTATGTATGTATGTATGTATGTATGTATGTATGTATGTATGTATGTATGTATGTATGTATGTATGTATGTATGTATGTATGTATGTATGTATGTAATGTAATGTAATGTAATGTAATGTAATGTATGTATGTATGTATGTATGTATGTATGTATGTATGTATGTATGTATGTATGTATGTATGTATGTATGTATGTATGTATGTATGTATGTATGTATGTATGTATGTATGTATGTATGTATGTATGTATGTATGTATGTATGTATGTATGTATGTATGTATGTATGTATGTATGTATGTATGTATGTATGTATGTATGTATGTATGTATGTATGTATGTATGTATGTATGTATGTATGTATGTATGTATGTATGTATGTATGTATGTATGTATGTATGTATGTATGTATGTATGTATGTATGTATGTATGTATGTATGTATGTATGTATGTATGTAATGTATGTATGTATGTATGTATGTATGTATGTATGTATGTATGTATGTATGTATGTATGTATGTATGTATGTATGTATGTATGTATGTATGTATGTATGTATGTATGTATGTATGTATGTATGTATGTATGTATGTATGTATGTATGTATGTATGTATGTATGTATGTATGTATGTATGTATGTATGTATGTATGTATGTATGTATGTATGTATGTATGTATGTATGTATGTATGTATGTATGTATGTATGTATGTATGTATGTATGTAATGTAATGTATGTAATGTAATGTATGTATGTATGTATGTAATGTATGTATGTATGTATGTATGTATGTATGTATGTATGTATGTATGTATGTATGTATGTATGTATGTATGTATGTATGTATGTATGTATGTATGTATGTATGTATGTATGTATGTATGTATGTATGTATGTATGTATGTATGTATGTATGTATGTATGTATGTATGTATGTATGTATGTATGTATGTATGTATGTATGTATGTATGTATGTATGTATGTATGTATGTATGTATGTATGTATGTATGTATGTATGTATGTATGTATGTATGTATGTATGTATGTATGTATGTATGTATGTATGTATGTATGTATGTATGTATGTATGTATGTATGTATGTATGTATGTATGTATGTATGTATGTATGTATGTATGTATCGTATACACTCATAGTGTATATGTGTATATATATATATGTATATATATATACATCATATATATATAGTGCATATCAGTATGTACAATTGATCTCCCTTGTTTTTCGATAGAAGCCAATTCGCAGTCGCCTGGACCTCCGCGGGCACAAGTGAAAACATGGAGCCGTTCGCCAAGTTGCGCGGAATTGTTGATCGAGAGATTCATCCTGGGGATGAAAGAGCAGTTTCAATTTGGAGAGGGTCTACCGGGAAAGTACTGATGTCACATGGCCCCCTCTTTAGGATCAAGAGGGCTTCTACTACCCCAAACTAGCCTGGGACAAATAGTGTATGCCACTCCCCAACGCAACGACATATCTGGAAATCTCTCAAAGGGGAACTCCCACAATGAGTGGCTTCCTCTTGTATTGCTTTTTGCATTTTCTGAGGGTTCCTCTTTCAGCTGTCAAGGGACACAAAGAGAGAGACACACCCTCACGCCATTTCTGCTTGGCCCCGTTGTAGGGTGAACTCCCTCTCACTTGTCCAGTGACCCTGGTAAAAAAAGGGGCTCGTCGAAGTCCTCAGATGTGGGCCAGCGCAGTTTGTGTTGCACGGGTGCCCTGAATGGCGGGTTTGAACATATGTTATGGGAGAACACCAAAAGGGTCACTGTCCAATGGTCATGAGTTGACCACACTTCTTTACCGTTGCTTGAAAGGAGCACAGCTTTTGACGACACATGAGTGTGTATTTCTTGAGGGTACCCTTTTCAGGGGCAGTTTTCAATGCAAACCAAGAGGCAACCACCCATTTGTGAGTTCCCCAATTTCAAGGCAGACCCATATATTTCCTTCGGCAGGCATGGTTGGCTTCATGGCTCCATGGCTCCATGGCTCCATGGCTCCATGGCTATGGATGTGGTGGATCCACGGGTTGCCACGGGTCGAGGCAAGCCTGCGAGCGAGCACGCGCTGCACCAGCGCGTGATCGCCCGGGACGCGGAGGATCCGCTGGCGGAGATCGGGGTCTTTAGCTTCCTGCGACCAGGCCGCAGGTCCCTTTTTGGGCGCGACAAGCCTGGAACAACCAGTTGGGGTACCCCTTTTAGGTTGGTTTAATGGGAAGCCAACATGAAACCCGCGATTGAAGGGGTTCCCCGAGTTTGACATACCCAATTTTCAGCTAGGCTGGGGACGTCACCACAGGCGGTTTGCGACGTCACCCATGATGAAGGGGACCCCTTGATCCAACCTCATATGTTTTGGTCTTTGCGTTCGCCCGTCAGAGTTGGTCCATTTGGAGACGTGGGACACTCTAAGTTTTCCACCAAAGCCAGGGACATGCATGATTTACCTAGAGGCTAGAGGGAATTTGACCATGACAATATGAGCCCCATGGTAGAACTTCACAAGTTGTGGCGCAACGGGTCCAAGGCCATGCATGACCTATGGCGCCCAAATCCTTGATGGGAGAACCAAGAATAACTCGGAGATCGGGAGGGCGGTTGTCATCTTAGTAGTATTCGACTGTGGTATCGCCGAAAAACACCTTTCACTATTCGGCCGATCATTGCAGAACTGCTCTGAGTAAAAGATTGAGTCAGACTTCACGAGCTCTCGAACAGCGCGACTAGATTCATGTGTTGGACTGTATGGTAGAAGTCGCCAAACTATGCACTGCGTGAGGCTGTTGTACCCCTTGGCCGCTCCTAGGCTAGATGTTGAGGTCATGTTGAGCTGACTAGATGTGACTGAAACTCAACGGTAGATCATTGTTGGTGTTGAGAGCCGCATCGTGGACATTGTCACCTCAATCCCCCTGTTCGCCCAAGTCACCCTCGCGCAGATCGTTTGAAGCAAAGCCATAGCAATTTCTTTCAAGCACCTGCAACTTTTAACGCTTGGGGATACTCGTCTGGAGTAAGTCACCGTGCATCTCGCCAGCCCAGCAAGCCCAGCAAACAACAAAGATTCACCATGACCCCTCCCCTTACGGCTTTCTCGAAAACCCAAATCTGCCTGTTGGCTGCTAGATCCCCGGGGCCAACATCGGGAACTTGTCGGCTGTTTTTGAAGGTGTCCCCAAATCGGCCATGCGTTGGCAGCCCGAGGTTGCAGACTACCTGAGTGCAAATTGACAAATGTTTATTTCAGGAGGCGATGGATACGAAAACTGATCATGAGAGAGTATGGCTGTGGGTCAAAACCAATGGTACCATTTTGGGGTAGGTGAATTCACCACCCATTCTAGGACCTATGTTAGTGGTTGGATTGGGATGTTCACTGGGGGTACGGGATTTAATAACCCATGGCCATATGACTTTTGCAGCACTCCACCAGAGGCACGGCTCAAAAAATATGTCGCATCGCCTGGCTGAGGCGGCGATGCGACAACATCCCGCAGCAGCTTGGAGAATATTTTCCCGGGTCCAGGGTGTGGCTCAAAATTTAAGAGCTTGGGTTACGCAGGTTTTGGTCTTTGTTTCTATTCAAGGGCCACACAATGGGTACCACTTTTTTGAGCCACAGCCATGTCACCGATTTTGCCCCTGGCAAACGGCTGAGCTGCGCTGATTCTGATCCTGGCAGCCATGACAATCTCAACGCTTGCAGCGGAAACACGGCGCAATGAGGTTTGGGTGTGCTCAACTACGGAATATGTCTATATAGTTCTACCATGTTATGCACAATAGTTATGGCTTGGAATGAACATTTCCTGCTGATTACTGTGTTCCGCATGCTACCAGAGAGATATCTTGTTCAGCAAACCAAGAGTTAGGACAGTGGGTCACCTGAGTGAAGTTCAGCCAAGTCTCTCGAGATTTGTTTGAAATTATTTGTTTTGAAGTGTTGAAGGATAGAGGTCGTAGCTGGCAACATGGTTGTTTCTAGTGCGCCCAGGTACATCCTCGAGATGCTCTCGGCATTTCAAGTGGAGAACGAGGTGTGGCTGGTTCTGGAGCATGCTGATGGCGGGGATTTGTTTGGCAGCTCGGTGTCAATTGCTTGATAGGGCTTCATTTGCGATGAGTCCATAGCCCGGTGGTCGCAACAGCCCGGTGGTCGCAACCAGGCGTTATTGGGCAAATCCGATCCGCGAAACAGGCAGGTTTTGCGGGCTTTGATTGCATTGCGCTTTGCGCAAGATGGTAATGTTTCCTCAGATTAATCAATCTGGTGGGGTTTCTTTGGTGTTCACAGGAATAGTGGTGAAGGATCCCCTCTGAGCTGGGACACCTTTTAAAAAGGAAGCGGTTGGTTCAGCCCATGACAAGAGGGTAGAGAAACACCGGGGCAGAGCTGGCCTGTTCGAGCTTAGGCTGGTCGACTCTGGGTGAATGCACAGCTTAGCAAGGGATGCAAAAGGGACCATGGAAATCTTGGTCAGGTAAATAGCAAAAGGACCAGTTCGTCAACCCCCTGAAGCAAACCCAAAAGCACAAAATGGGACCTCATCGCAAAGGACCAACATGTCTTTATGAATGCAACATTTTGCGGGTGAAATGCGAGGTGTTCGGGTGGCTGTTAGATACTCTACTTTGAGCGACCGCTTGCCGGTGCGATGGACCGGACCTTTCAGTTTGTTTGTTGTTTGACTGGCGCTTTGGGTGGAGGTCCAGTTAACATACACCAACAACAAGAGCGCCATGTCTTTCTGTTTTTGCCTGCCACTGCAGGTTAGAGGTGCCGGCGCTGCGCTTGTGGATATCAGGGGGATTTGGGTATGAGTCAAATGCATTGATATTTTATGGGCTTTGATCGAGGTCAGGGTTGTTGACTTCCTCAGAATTAGCACCCCTTTGTGATTGTTTTGCTTTTTGGGGGCCTTTTTTAATTTTCCACTAACCAGGCCAAAAATATAGTGTGTTGCCGGGGTCCTAATTCCAGCCAAGTTCACAGGTTAGTTTCTTTTGAGATGCACCAAATCAAGAACCCCCTGCTCACCTGTTGTTTGAGTGCTTCCAAAGATAGGGAATGGGCGGGTTCCCTTCGGTTTCCTGTTTTGAGCCAACCAAAGAGAGGACTCCGTGTCCCAATGTGCAAGCCAACCCCTGGACTGGCCTCACTTTGGGCGTGCCTTTGTCACCTTCAGGTTCGATGAACATGGCCAAACCTCTGGGTCGTTGCGCGATTCGGCGCGAGTTGCAACCGTATTAATCAACCCCAGTTTATTATTAGGGGGGTGGGGGCCTGGTCTGATTCCCCACTCAACCCAGTTGAACCCCCCCACCATTAATGGACTGGTTGGTTGGAAAGTATGGGGTCAACATTATTTGCGGGAGCTTCCTTTGGGAATAGTTCATGTATATAGCAGGTGATTCTTTAATTATCTTTAATTACAGTTGGGTACATTCAGGGTGGCTTCCTTTCGGGATGGTCACTGGGATCCAGGGAACCACCAGTTCGAAGGTGATTCACTTACCTTTGGAGAGGTTCTTTGGCGAAAATTGACAAATTACAGTTGCGAGTTCTCAAAGCAATATTGAACCACCATTTAGAAAAGTTTAGAATTTAACTTGAACATATTCCTTGAACATTTCCCTTGAACATTTCATTGCGGGGTCATTTTCCTTGAACATTCAGAGTTGCTTCCTTTGGGATCCACGGAACCACCGGTCAGACCGGCAGCGATCGCCTCCGTTTTTGCCTCGGCGATCGATCCGCCGATTCCGCCGATTCCGCCGATTCCGCCGATTCCGCCGATTCCGAGGCGTCATCTCCTCCAAGCGGCCTGGGGCGCAGATGCTGTTGCTTTGGACCTGGCAGCTGCTGCAGGCGGTGCGCTTCCTGCACAACCAGGGCCTCTTGGCACACCGGAAAGACGTGTAAACTAATATTGCCGTGGTTGTCAACACCAATGGAACCATTTTGGGGGGGGTTTTCGGTGCACCACCCATTTTAGAGCCTATTTTAGTGATTAATCTAATGTAATGGTGATATAATATAACAAACAATTACAATGGTGAATGTAATGAATCTTACAATGGTTAGTATAATGAATCTTATAATGGTTAATATAATGTAATGATTACACAATACAACGAATATTGCAATGATTAATATCATGATTAATTCAATAGTGGCTACTCCTGTCATCAGTTTCTTTGGTTTGTATTCAGTACACCCATTTTAATTAGCAGGCCCTTGTAAAGAAAGACGTGGGTTTGGTTTGGCTCCCTTTGGCTCTTGGGTCCAAAAGATCCTCCTTTGTAGGAAGATCGAACAAATGACACGTACAAGAGGAGGCGCATTATTTTGGCAAGCCATCTCAGCGGTGTTTCAACCAAACTTTGCATCGCAAACTTAGGCCCTTTTTTGTTTGGTTCCTAAATCACGAGAGGCAAAAAGCCACCATTTCTGCGTTCCTTATTCCATTTGGCCAGACTTGCCTCTTTGGTGTTTTGCTTTTGGATTGCTGTTCTGTTCCCTTAGTAGAACAAAAGTAGGAACAACACCCACTTTTTGCAGTCTAAGTCTGGCCCGGCGTTTGTTCGATTTCATTCGCGCTATACCGGTGGAAATCTTTGCTACTGCTTTGCCCGAGGAATTGACCTTTGATCTGGGTTCTGAACAGCAACCATGAGTTTGACGACATAAGCAAGTCGCAACACATGTCGGGACTGTTGGTTTGGGGGAGGACCGTTTGGGGAGGACGGTGTAGGGACGGCACAAGCCACACCGCCCACAAGGAAAAGGGAGCACAGCCTACTTCTCCCATGCCAAACAAGTAAAGTTGTCGGCTGGCGAAAGTGTCCCAGAGGACACCAACAGGGGATAGATGGATGTATTTTCCCAAGTGTGTCCACACCCTCTTGTTTGACACCTGAGCAGCTCTAAAACCCCCCCGTTACATCCCAAGCAAGAGTTGTGTCATAACAAGGCCGCGCGTAAGCAAAACCCTGCACGGCGTAAGCCGGCGTAAGCACTGTTTGGGGAAACATGCTGCGTAGGCACCTGCGTAAGCTCTTCTTCGTGGTGGCTTGGTAAGTTTTGTAAGCACGCGCGGAAGAGTTGTTTCACACATGTGCTTATGTGTTTATTGGTGGCTTGTGCTATTGCTGTTGCAACCTAGTCGAGCTTTGCAACTTGCCCGGAGACTTTGGCTGCAGGAAGACGTCTAAGACCGCATGTGCACACCAATAGAAAACACAACCAGCAGAACTTTGATTGGGAGCTTTGGGGCTCATGCTAGGTGCTGTTGCAACCTGTACTAGGACAAACAAAGGCTTCTGAAACCGCTGATCTAGGAAAACTAAAGCGGCTCGGGCGCGTAAGCTCGCGTAAGCAGGCGCGTAAGGTTCGCGTAAGCTCGTCTAGCTGGGCTGCCCGCTAGCCCTAGCGATGGATGCCGCTGCCACGTAACCCGTTTCTTGATTTGCAGTTATAAGAACAAACATGCCAAGCCGATGAAACTCGTGAGGGCAGTTCTTCGTCATCTTCTTCCTCAGGGTCACCCACTTCACCTTGATGGTGGCTGCATGAGAAAAGGAGCCCGCGTAAGCAATTCTTGGGGCGAAACGCTCAAAACGCCCACGCGTAAGCGATGCGTAAGCTTAACATGATCGCTGACTGCCGCGTAAGCGAAAACATGGGTTGCGTCAGGAAAGCGTACGCTCGCGCGTAAGCAACTTGATACGACATAGGGATTCATGGGAGGTTTATAGAGTCGCTCACCTGGAGAATCACAGCGTCTCCCTCCATAGGGTAGAATGAGAAGTCTCAAAAAACACAAAACGTTGGAGAACAATAGGGGACTCTCAAACAAAGCGAAACGGCCGCGAGTAAGCAATTTCGACCGTGCCTCAATTGAGGTACCTGAGAGAACCCCAGGTTCAGGTTCCGAGATTGATGAAACGTCCGCCTTTAGCGAACTAGGCGCAAAGAAAAAGAGATCTAGAGCGACCCTCAGGCAATCCGAAGGTGTTGTGCATGGTGGCTGCCCGTAGACCGGAGAAAGACTTTGAGTTAGACCCAAACGGGGTGTGCCCAAGGTATGCTTTCTCCATTCAGCATCTTTTTGTTGCCCTTTCTGTGCGGGTGTCCTGCTAGAAGATAGACTCGACAGATCAAACAGGCCTGCAATTGACCGAAGGGGTCACTGGTTGCCAAAGGATGGGATTTTCTGTGAGAGGCGAATCATCCCAAAACAGGTTGGTTTCTTTTATTTACCTGCACTGGTCCTGAGGTCGCCCCTGAGTTTAAATCAATCAAAAGAACAAGCAATGGCTTGGATTTGGCTTTGAATCCCTGGTTCTTGAGGCTTTTTTGGGAAAGCCACTCCAAGCCAGCCGGCCAAAGCACCCGGGCACCGGTCACAAGCTGAGCTGAGCTCGAGGCATCTGCCACCGAGACATCTCCCTGGAGAACGTGCTGCTCAGCGGCGGAGATGTGAGGCTCATGGACTTTGGCCAGGCGGTGACTTCCAACGAGTCAGGCGCGAGACGGCTAGACGACCGCGCGCGGGGACGGACGGCGCGTGGATCGCTCCCGTTTTCCTCGGTTTGGGCGGGGTGTGTGGCTCGGAAAGGGACGGTAAGAGAAAGCCGCAGGGCGGGAACCCTGGAATTCCATTCATGAGGTTTCTTGGGGGAGAGGGACCCCTGAAATGGATTGAAGGGCCCCCGGCTTTTCTCTCAAGCTGTCCAAAACATGGGGAAGCTCTTTGATTATTGGGGTGGAGTTGCTGGAATTCCATTCATGTTTTTGCTTTTTTCGCCGGAAGGGTCCCAATTGAACATGTAGGGCGGTTGGGGAGTGGGCGGCTGGGGAGTGGGCGGTGAAAAGGATAGCCCTTATTGATTGACATGAATTCAAGGAAAGCGAAAAGAACGCAAACTGAACAGATGAATGATGACAATAGCGATGGTGCTACTGGGGATCTGGGCTGCTTGGCCTGCAGGACCGTTTATTCTGTGGCTTTCCCTGCTTGTGCGAAGAACCAATCAACACGTGTTTCAAGCGCTGGGGATAGGTTAATTCAGGCACCGCGCCTTGCCCGTAGGCTCATGTTTGGCTTCAGGTGCTTCAGTTTGTCCGGGGTGAGGCTTAGTCGATGCATCCATCGCAATGGTTCTGACTGCTTAAGCTTTCCAGCCAGCCGATTGAATTTGTAGCACAAGACTCGTTTACAACAAGACAATTCCTAACAAGACTCGTTTATGCATAGAACCCGCGATCATATGTGTGTGCGTGAGTGAAATTCGGAGAGAGAGAGAGAGAGAGAGAGAAGCAAAAAAGTGCGCAGGATACTGTTGGCTGGTGATGTGGTCCGGGAAAGCAGCGCCGGCGACGCGAAAATTCGGCAGGCGAGCTGCTGCGGTACTTTGTGCCAGCGGGGAAGCCCTACTATCGCCCGCCGGAGACGTACATCCCCAACACCCGTGCCGCGGCGAGAGGAATCCTTTCTCCAAGCTTTGGTGCATTTTGCTTGGATTTTAAGACTTTAACTTTTGCCAACTAATGGGTTTTCCATTAAACCACTAAAAGTTAAACTTCTAGCAGGGGATCAGAAAGCAAGCGAGCAAGAGTTGTCCTGTTGCACCCTGGGATTGCACGAGGCCCTTTGCCCACCTTGTCATTCAACGCGAAAGGGGGGTGGCAGTGCCCCATGCTGTCTTTCAAGGATGCGAAAGACCAGCATGGAGTATCGGACCACAGCCGCTGAGGTGTTTCTGTCAACTTGCCCACCTGAAGGGGCAGCGCCTGTGACCTTTTTTGGAGAACGTTCTTGTTTGCGGGCAGGGCTCTTACTTGTTTTGCGGCATCTAACGTGGAAACGCGCAATCGCCCAGCCAGAAGCACTCCCTCAGGACTCCCTCATGATATATGCGTAATGTATAATCAACTAGCTTTTTTTGTTGGGGGGGGGGGGCGGGGGGGGGCAACCCCCAAGGAAGCGTCTGGTGGCGAAACCAGCAGAGGGGTTCATGGCCCTCATATTGAGGGTCTCGGGATCCTAGGAATCAGGGTGGGGCAACATATGGTTTAAACACCACCTTCACAAGAACTCATCATCATAACCAACGGTTTAAACACGTTTAAACCAATGGGTAGCCCCACCCTACCAGGAACTGGTAAATTCTGCCGCTGTTCGGCTTCAGCCCTCCGGCTTCCCTCAGGTGCCATAGAGGTCATCGCCCCGAAGAATTCTGGGCTGGGGCAAGTGGCCTTGGCAGCCACCCCGGCGCAGGAGCTCGTTCAGGGGGTTTGGGGTCTCAACTTTGGTGCATGTTGCCAAGGGATGTTAGGACTTCAACTTGTTGCCAACTAATGGGTTTTCCGTTAGACCACTAAAAGTTGCACTTTTAGCAGGGGAGCAGAAAGCAACCGAGTCAACATTCTGGGGCTTACCGAGTGCCTTTAAAGGGAAGCCGCGCGGAACACCAAGCACTGAGGAGTCCCCCAAAAATCAGAAATCTATTTTTTCTTCGGAGCATCAAGCAAAAGAAGATCCGCCGAGCACCTTTTGGGCTCCCCGGCTGTTGAGAACCGAGATTGCTCGTACAGGGTGAGGCCCCTGGAATTGGAGAAAGCCGTGTTGGATCCGGTGCATATTGGTGAGGTGTTGTCCCTGGTTTGCCTTCAACTACCAACCAAAAGGGGACACCATTTAGAGAACCCCCCATATAATGTAAGTACCTACTGGGTAAGTGATTGCTATATTGAATTCATGGCCAAGGTCACCTCCAGGCGAAAAGGTTTGTTCGAAACCCTCTAGTATTGGTTCATCGGGGATGGTGCCAACCGAGACTTGTCAGGGCTCCTTTGAACATGTTTAGCAACCTACGGTGAATTTGGGCGGGACATGGGGGACTCAATGCGCGTCCCACAAGAACGGGGCGACTGGGGCGACTCACGAATGTCCGCATGTCCGTTGCGGGTAAATGTATATTTTGGCCGTGGCTCCAATCGGTGTTTTCAAGCAAAGGGACTGCTGCAACTGTTTTTTTTGTTCAGTGTCACTTTGCACATCCATCAGAGGCAGATGCTGTGAAGCCTTCGCAAGACACCTGCACCATCAATTGATAAACTTGCCAGGCAGGAAAACGATCTGTGATGAAGGTTCCTCTTTGGGAAACTGTGGTTTATTTCTCTTTCAAAAAATCACAGAATGGTTAGCTAACACCGATGATGGCTTGTCTATATGGGCGCACAGCAATATCAGGGTATCTGTTCGTTTAGGGGCCCCTCTCGGTTCCTTGCGGTTCTAATCCATTTCAACCCAAGCTTCAAGCCTGTATCCTACGACGTGCGGGTTCATGAGTCCAGTGACAGATGTCCGCCATGTGGGTGTGTCACAAGAAAACACCAACCGTAATCCGGCCATTGTCCCTCTCCGATGTCAGGGAACACCGGGTTTAGTTTTGGGAACCGATTGAACCAGGTTTTCACCGGACAACATGGCGCAGGGCTTTCAGGGTTCCATGTCCGAAATTTTTGAAGGACTTCCTTTGCCATGTGCGGCTTTTGGAGTCCGCGCGCCCGGGGCAGCTCGTAGCGGCAGAGCCCTGGGGTGCCTTGGCTGAATGTCGATGTGGAGTCGTGGATGGACAGTATCCGCTTCGTGCCAGTTGGGATTTGCGGATCTTCCCAACATTCATTTTGTGTTTTTCATCTATCGCCCGTCCACAGCAGTGTACAGCATAGATAGTAGAATTGTGTTCAATCTGTGTGCATACGGAATATATATATATTCTGTGTATGAACTTGAAGCATTGTACACACTTATACGAACGTGTATACATGTAATTCTAGTTGGATTAGGCTGTAAATGCAAAATGATTTTCCACGTTTCTTTGTTTTTCAGGGACCCAGCAGCACCCACAAAAACAATGGGAAGTGGCTCAAGAAGACTTGATACGGCCGAACGAGACCACAGGCCTTGAGAGAGAGGGCAGGGTCTTTGATGTCTTGTCAAAATCAGAGGCTGGGGTTGCTTTTCTAGATATCCAAAAACAACCATGGAAGCTGAAACGGACCTAAAGACAACTTTCCTCTAAAACGGGCCATTTGGCGGGTTCCAATATTTGTGGTTGGGAGGCTAAGCGAAGCAGTTGTGCAATGGCACTTAAAAAGGGTAGCTGACTGAGGCTACACAGCACCGCCGGTGGACGTTTTTGCCTGTGCAGCCACTTGGTATAAAATTATTGTCATAGGCACTTTGCCGCTTATTGGGCAAAGTCCCACACCTCAGCCGTCCAATGCCGACTTACTGCCGGTTGGTTTCATTTTGTTAGTCCAAGTCGAGTCATGGACCCAAAAAGGTCAACCTTTTCTTTTGAACCCTGTGAGCTGCCAATAACTTGTACTGGATGGCAAAAGCAGCCATGCTTCCCAAAGTAGGCAGACTAGTCTGAGATGTTCGGCTCAAGAAAAGACAGTTGCGATCCCCCATAGCTGTGTCTACAGCTCGCTGATGATTCTGGTCATTTTCAACTGGTGGTTGCCGAGACAAGAACTCCTTCGTGGTGGAACAGTATGAAGAGTCATTTCACGGTATATTAGATTGCAGTATACAAGTCAAGGGAAAGAGCTACGTGGCCCCAATACATACCCTTTTTCCCTCCTATATATTTGTGCAAACATCGCAGAACTGCTCGTGCAGGGATTCCTCAGGTCAGTTTGACTATGCTACTGGCAATTAGATAGAATTAGTTCACATCTACATACCCTTTTGTAGGTTGGTACGTTTGATTATGAAATGGAGTACATGGCCAAAGCACATACCCGCAAGGTGTACTGATCTTCCACGTCAATTCTGCAAGGTGAGCATGCTCATCATGTTCTTCGCTTCACCGCCCTGGCGTCAGGCGGCGACTTTCACGGCGGGGCTTTGGTGCCGAATTGGCCCGGGAAAAAGACTTTGGACACAGTTGCCTTTTTTTTCCGCTGAGTCTACCAAAGGTGATTGACCTTTTGGATTGGGGAAGAGCAAGCCAAAATTACAACCAGGGTGTGCTTTTCCCTGGCCACTGGAGGTTTGCAGCAGGTTGATTGGGGCCCCAACCCAAGCTGGAGAGGGGCGGCCGAATCTGCAACAGGGTTGCGGGCCGAACAACGACAGCCAGGGATGAATGCTGGTTTGTTTTCCTTTGGCTTTCTTTGTGTCATGCTTTGTGGAGTAATCCTTGGAACCAAAGAACAGACAGCTGCTTTTCATGTATGTGCATTGCTTCACCGTGTCTATGTTCATTGCGGTGCTCGCTCGCGTCGTTGGCTTCTTGCAAAGGAGAACCGGCGGACAATGCCGGTGCCACCGGGCCATTCGCAGTGTTTGCTGGCAGAGAGACGGCCAAATATAATATATATATATATATACATATATATATATATATATGTATATATGTATGCATATATACATATATATATATGTATGTATGTGTATATATATATATATATCACATGATATCAAATGAGCCGAACTAACTCAAAAGTCGAGTAGCCAAAACATGGTTTTGGGATTGTTGATCTCAGAGCCTTTTGTGGCATCCGCCCAAAAAGGTGTTCCATGGACTGATAAAGGGCAAAAAGGGTTAGACTTAGGATTATATAGGCCCTTTGCCACACCAGGGGTGCTAAATAGCTGCTTACTTTTTCCCAAGCAAAGCCAAAAGGGGATGGCTAGGGCCCCCAGTAGTGCCCTGTTACCCTTTTTTGGGGGAGGGTTCCCCTACTAAAATAGGCTGCAGAAGAAAAAAGGACATGGGGCACCCTTATTCTAACCTGTCTACTGGAGG